ACCAACTATCGCCAAGCTAACACTGACTCCTTCAATCGGTTCATCCGGCACAGTGGGAGCTCCTCGGCGTCGTTGGCCCATTTTCCACCGGAGCCATTGCCCGACCATTGCCCGACCAACCGCGTCGAGGTGCTCGTGAAACCTCTCGCCGAGTCGGGCAAATACCGGCTCGAAGGAAACAAACCGGGGCAAACCAGCGGGAACGGAAAGAACCTACCAATCGTCCCAGTTGCGAACAACAATCTCCCGATTTCCCGACAGGCGCCGCCCCGGGAAAAGGATCGTCCTCGGTCTGCGGAATATCCGCGCGGAATGCCAACTACGGAGTCGCCTCTATCTCCCGTTTCCTTTTTCCCGCCCGCGTTCCCCTCCCCGCGCATCTACTTACACGGCCCGAAATGCTTCCCCGAACTTTCGACAAACGCCCTGCTTACTTCGTTTCAAAAGAAAAAGGAAGGGTCCCTCAACCCCCCCGTAACCCAATTTTCCGGGCAAGGATACACGGCATGCTTGACCTGCCCCGAAACGAATTTGGCGCGAGACTCTATCGAGTTTCTTACCCTTCAAGCAGGATTTCCTTTTCGTCCTGTCGCGGGAAATTAATTTTTGCGATAACGATCCTTGATATGCTCGATACGTATCCTTGTGTGCTTGATGTGAAATTTATGAAAAAATGTACTTGATGTGGTATCTATGAAAAAATGTACTTGATGTGGTATCTATGAAAAAATGTACTTGATGTGGTATCTATGAAAAAATGTACTTGATATGAAATTTATGAAAAAATGTACTTGACGCGAAACTCCACCGAAAGAAAAGAGAATCTCTCGGTGGGAAAAAAATGTCCCGTCCAGTCTGTCGCGGTGGACCGATCTCTGCAGTAAAGACACACGACAGTGCTCATTTTCTACGAAAATGTATTTGGCGCGAGACTCGGCGTAGCCTCTTGATTAAAAAAGCTCTCTAAGCTGGTTCGCGCCGCCCGCGGGAGGAATTCTCGTTTCCCGTTTATCCCGTTTATCCCGCGAGTCGTCCGGGGGAGAAATTGAGGAAGAGGAAGAGAAAGAGAGAGAGAGAGGTTCTTTACAGAGCGTGTTCCGGTGTTCCCGGGTCCAGGAAGCTGCGACGACGAGAGAAATTCGAGGACCTCCGAGAGCCACGTGGACGAGGCCAAAGGACAATGGAAACCCGGCACAATGGCTCCAACGAGTCCTCGCGCCTTGAATAAAAACCGAGGAAAGTGGACTGAATTACCGTGTAACTATTATTTTCATTAAACTCCATCTCCCACCCTGCCTGATTACGGATTTACGGTACCCTAAGTACTCCATTAGTGGCCCTTGAGGCTGTCACAAGGTGAGTAATGTGAAATAAACGTTGAAGTCAGGTGATGTAAAATAAAACGGAACAAGTGGAAATGAAATGAATTAAGCTAAAAGCGAGATAAATTAAGCTAAAACGACATGAATTAAGATAAAACCGGATAGGACCTCGGAGAGTGGGCCGAAAATAGGGAGCCTCCCTCAGGATCTAAGGGACTTATCAGCAAGGATAAAATGATATAAATTAAAGTAAGAAAAAAAAAAATCGGCTCAATTGAAATTAAATGAGATGAATTTACATCTCGGAATATGGGCCGAAAATAGGGAAGGATCTGAGGGTCTTATCAAAAGGGAGCCACCTGTGGGCACTCGCCCCTTGATATCGCCCCTCCACCTTCTAGCGCGGAAAATCGGATAAGTCTGGAAACGGCGGAGGCTTTTATCGCGTCGCCGTCCTTTAGGTCTCGGAAGAAAAAGCGCGACACCCTGGGCGATAATTATATCCAGCTGGAAGGAAGCTCCGGGAGGCGGCATTTACCAGGAGGTAGAGAGAAATGCGCTCCGTTTCCCACGGGACCCGGGGTGGAGGTGAATTTTAATAAAGTCCAGGGCGTAGCGAACCTCCTCGAAAGTAATCCGACGTGTTCCCTTCCTTTCCATCACCCTTGCACCTGCTTTCTCGTCTTTCTTCCCCGGGAAACGGCGGGTTCTTTCGCGAGAGTGATAACAGGTGATAAGGGTTCCCGCGGAGTGACAACTCCGGATTTGCTCGGTTCACGGGGAAAGATATTTCCTCGATAACACTTTTTTTTATCCTCCGTTCACTATCACGAAAAAATCAGAAAAATTAGTTAAAGCGAAGCGAAAGCGTTTATCTTCGAGAATTGGCTAAAGGATGTAATCAAAAAACATTTTCAACGATTTTGTTAAATGAATAATAATTCCTTATTCGTGCGATTTTCCGCGAATATGCTCAAGCTGTTCCCGAGAGAACCGAGGGATTTCGGTGGAGTTTCGCGCCGAAGTTTGGGATAGATAAGCTTGTGATAAGGACGGATCCTTCCACGGATGGACACGGTCCTTTAGAGTTGAGTACTTCGCTCACTGGCCGTGTCAAATTTATGCAGATCCGATCTGGACGCGGACCTGCCTGTAATGAAATTCGTTCGTAATGCATGCAGTATGCAGATTGGCAGGACTAAGGCCGATCGGCGTTTGCGGGGCCGTGTTTTCCGCCCAGGAATCCCCGCGGACGTGAAACGCACCTAGTCATTTAGTATTGGTAATTGAAACTTTCTAACCACGTTAATCAGACTTTCTCGTCAATAATTAGGCATACCGAGGAATATCAGCGGAATTTTTTTCAGTGTATGTAACATTTTAGTCATGACACTTCACGCAATGAAGGAGAGGAAGAACGAGAAAAGCCGTCCCTCTGTCCTCTTTCTTTCTCAGCCTCGGACATTTAATCTCCATATAACGAACTCTGAATCGTCTTCCCGAGGAGCGATCACTTTTAACCACTTTCCCGATATTCCCCGATTCCGTCCAAAAGCCTCTTCGAACTTCCAAGTCGAGCCCCGAGCCAACTTTTCCAGAGCTTTTTCATTCCTTTTGGGAGGCAGTTAGATAGCGAAGATAACGAAGATGGCCAACTTTCCTCGAGTTCCCCCCGTTTTTTTTTTTCATTGTTTCCGGGGAAGCGTGATAAAGATAACGAAGATGAAACGCCCCTACGAATCCAATTCGATCGAAGATCGATTTGCAATTTTTTCTTGATTTTCTCAATTTTTTCTTAATTTTCTCAATTTTTCCTATTTTTTTTCGCTCCTGTCCGCAGCTTCCATTTCATCTCCTTACCGCCATCTTGGCGAATAACCCGACCAAAGACAATTTTTAACCACTTCCCCGACATTCCCGAAAGCCTCTCCCCAACTTTTTCAGGGCGCTCTTTTTCATTCCATCCGTGGGAACCGGCGATAAAGATAACGAAGAGGAAGCGTCTCTCTAAATCCAATTAGTAATGGCGGGCCTGGGTGAAAAATCCGAGGGACCCGCGAAAATCCCGGTCCCTTCCCTCAGGAATCCCTTAATCTAGAGATCGTGGGAACGGCCCACACCGATTTTTCCTCGACTTTCCTCCGCAGTTATTCCGACTTCCTCTGCCGACGTTTTGTCCCGACTTAGCTCCCCCCTTTAGGGATTCAATTTCCGGAAGAGGGTCCCTAACATCCCGGCTCGAATTTCGAAATTCTCCCCCCCCGCCGAAACTCCGACGTCGTCGCGGTTAAATGTAAATTGCTCGATACGTCTTAGAAGATGATAAGAGGGGGCAAGGGACGATCAATCACCAGGGGATTCGCCTAATCGCGGATTAAACCCTCCCCGACTCCGTCATTACCGAGTCGTTTATCGTTAACCCCGGAGTGTGTCCTCCACTTCGAGGCTCGACTTATCCCGAGAATGAGAACAGGATAAATGAATACGAGAGACGCCAATTAGATAGAGGAATTGAATTAAGGAAGAGTGAGGGAATTAAATTAAGAAACTAAATAGAAGAGCGGAATGAGGAAGGTAAGTAAAGGAATTGAATAGAGGAAACTTTTAGAGGGGAATTAATTACAGGAGATAAATAGAGGAGATAAATACAAGGGTTAAATAAAAGAAACTAGAGGAGCTGAATTAAGAAGCTGAACGAAGAAACTAAAATAATGGGACTAAATAGAGAAACTTATGGAGGACAATTGAATACGAAAAATCTCCCGGACTACGTCGTAACGATATCGTGAAACGTTAAGTTGAAAAATTAATTACAGGAGATAAATACAAGGGTTAAATAAAAGAAACTAGAGGAGCTGAATTAAGAAGCTGAACGAAGAAACTAAAATAATGGGACTAAATAGAGAAACTTATGGAGGACAATTGAATACGAAAAATCTCCCGGACTACGTCGTAACGATATCGTGAAACGTTAAATTCGCGCCCAGAGCTTCCGTTTCGGGAACGTTCCCGAGAACTGCTTAGGGATGAAAAAGAGGAGAAAAGGAGAGAAGAAGGTAGAAGCGTCGCTTCTAAATAGCACCGAGCAAGAAGTAACGACCCGGGGCTGAGGTCTCCGAGGTGGAGAGTCCTGTACACAACCGGTCGTTAAAAGTCCCCCTCGAGTCGTACCTTAACGGCGAGCAACCTACGAACTTTGAAAAGACTCCTCTCTCGCAGCTTCGTTCCGTCCGTTTAACGGCCCTCGTAATTTCGAGGTAAACGGCGGTGCCTGTCAAAATAAACGGCACTTCACGGAGCGGCCCTCTTAATAACGAATAACGCTCATGGCCGGATAATGAGGAATAACGAGAGATTTCGCGTTTTCGAGAGTTCTAACGGCAATCGGGGGACCGCGGAATCTCCGCGCGGAAACAATGGCCCGCTGCGTTATCACGGGGGAAGACTTTCGTTAATTTCGCGGGATTTATCTCCGATTGGAACTTCTGCTCATCCCAGTCGCGGTGATAAGGCGTCGCGACGTCGGAAACGTACGAGGAGATGTGGATGGGGATGGATATTGCTTCGGAAATTGTCATGCGTTTCAATAATTGTTTCTCGGTCGTTCTCCCGTGGTAATTGAGTCTTTTCAGAATTCCTGACAGAAAGTATCATTTATTTTATATATATTTGCGGAAGATGAAAAATCATTTCTTTCTGGGTGGAGATTCTGCTCATCCAGTCGCGATGATAAGAGTACATGTACTAGGCGGAAGAGGGATACATATTATCTACATTATCACGTATTTACGTAATTATCTCTCGAGTCTCTTGAATTCTTGGCGCTCCTAACGAAGACTACCATTTATTTTTTATTAATTTTTTCTAATATCGCGGATGCATCGGAACCAGTCTCCTGTCTCATCTTCTGCTCATCCACTCGAGGTGATAAGGCGTTGCGACGCCAAAGGCGGAAAGGAATGTTATATTACTTCGAAAATTATTATCACTCATTTACGTAATTACCTCCCGAGACTTCCCCGATGGAAACTGTCTCCCGGGTGTCAAGGTTCTTTATCGCCATCTATTTTATTCATTTCTGAAATTTATTCTCTCTCTACCCTGTAATCCACTCTTTCACTCGCGGTGATAAGATGCCTCGCGACATTGTAGATAAATTGCGACGTAGAATAATCTCTAAATAATAATTACGTATTTGCGTGATAATTATTTCCTATTATCATCCATTAAAATCTGAGATTCTTGGATACTCCTGGCAGAAATTTTTATTAATTTTAATAATCCTCCTAAAGTTTGGTACGTCAAGATTTGTCTTCAATGTAATCTTTTACTCTTCCAGTTACGAAGATAAAACGTATACGAGAATACGAAAGGAGATGGATAACACTTCGGAAATAATTATTACCCTCTTGCCCGGTGATTCCTAAATAATTGACATTTTGTTATATCCTTCGATTTTATCAGTTTAATGAGTCTATGCGAAATTCTATCTAAGTATGTCAAAATGTTGCGTAGAGCATGTTTATATGTACATAAGCTCTATTTTACCTGACAAGGTATCTACTAGCGGATATCTATTAGGCACTTTGTATGTGCCACATTGTTCGCCCGCGAGCGGAATAAATTTAAATAAAGCGGACCTCTTATCAAATTACATTTCCTAGACAGCGGGAAGTGTATTCCTTCCTAACGTGAATATATCCACGCGTAGAAAAATATTTTTCGGATTCCATACAATTTTTCTTCAATGCGACTTCAATGACAATTGGATAGAAAATTTTGCATATCGAATGGTCGCTTTTTAAATTCGCCTAATTGAGTTATTCGCGGAATTATGGATCTTTCTATGGAAAATCGGAAAATGTCTCCCTGGGTAGAGCTTTCCAAAAAAAAAAAAAAATCACAGGGCCTCGAATGAAGAACAGCAGCCGTGAATATTCTGAAACAAAGGGAGGAAAATCTCACTATTGACTCTGCGACTGAATAAATTTAAATAAACCCGAAACTCTATCGAATTATTTCCTCGCTTAGACTGCGCGGAAGGATTTTCGTTCGAGGAAATCGGAGAAAATTTCAGGAAAAATTCCGAAAGCTTTTCCGCCCCTGCTTCTGGAGTTCATTTAGTCTATTGTTGGCTTACGGTTAAATAAAATCCTCTCGGCAGAGCAGAATTACAGATTATGGGAAAATTACGCAGAATGCAATTTTTTCTTAACCAATCTACCTTAAATTAAAAAAGAAACCTTTGAAAAAGCTCGCTTTCGTTATTTCTCAAGTTCCATACATATTCGACGATTTCCAGATTTTATAAATGTGATCATAAGTAGGATCTAAGTCTCATTAAATCATTCCTTCTTCATAGAAAAATTCAAAGAGAAAATTCGGAAAGCTCGCTTTAGCCTCTCGATATCACCTGGTAGTTCTTGACAGAGTTTTGGCCCCCTCGGTTCCGAAAATGAGGAAATCGCTCCTGGTCCCGGTGACTTCCCGTGAAATCGCAGGGACTCGACTGAAGAGCTCGTCCAGGAACGTCGAGAGGCGAAGAAGAGAGATATAGAGAGAGAGAGAATTCGATTTCACTCGACTTACCGACCAGCTTCAGGAATTAATTCGCCGTCCGATCAGCCTCGAGCTTCGAGTCCCGAGGGACGCTTAACGAGGTTTCCGACTTCGTTCCGGGAAGAGAGATAAATAAATTAAGTCCTCGACGGGGGAGCTCCTCCGGATCCTGAAATAAGTGACAAAGATATTCAGGTTATTTAGATTCGTAAGGACGGGGCGAGAAACGGTGGAAAATCGTTAATCCGTAATTGGGCCTCTTTAAGGGATCCAATTAACCCTAATTAAATTCTGTTAAGGGAGTTGAAAAGGGCGAGGAGAGAAAAGAGCTAAGAAACGTGATAAAGCGAATCGACAACAAACGTACTTTATCGATCGACGCTCACGAAGCACTTGTGTATTAATTTTCCATGTCGACACGTAAAAATCGCATTAAAAAAATGATACGCAAGCAACTCAAGTTCAGAGATAATATAGAAAAAAAAAAGAGAGATCGAGGAAATGCGATAAAGCGTATCGTTCCCCCTTGATTATGGGTATTTTATCAATCGACACCTGCGGGATTCGTCGATATCAATTTTTCCTCGGCATGAAAATCCGTATCACAATTCGAGACCTCGAGGAGGTCTCTCCTCCTCCTTTTCCACAGACATCAAAAGCACCGACTCCTCGATTTTCATTTTCCACGCCGAGGTAGCGATAAGTGCACCGATTACGGAGGTGCACTCGCTCGTTTATCGGCAATCGATGGAAACGTCCAATCAAGAAACACCCCTTTCACGGTCTAGACTTTCGCTTTCCCGAGGGAAAGCCGCTGATTTTCCCGACGAAAACCTCGATTTCCAGTCACTGCACCTTTTGAACGTTATAACGCGCTTATCAGATTATAAAAAGCTTCCCAAATAACTACAATGAAATTCGAGGTGACAATTGTGTTCTTCTATTCATAAACTTTCGTCCAGAAAATTCCGTCCGTTATCCGGTCCCGGAATTTTGTTAACTAAAATCTCGATAATGGGTGATAACGCGCCCAGCAGTTAATCAAAAAGTTTCGAATTAAAAACTCAACGTCGGAATTTTATTTCATACCCAGAAATGAAATCGAAATTTATTGCAAGTGAAAATTCTTATTAAGTCTGTGGATTCATTTTCTGCGCATGGCTTCGGAAAATCCTGATTTTTTAAAATTAAATTAGCGATTGTGGGATAACAAATTTCGAGTGATAACGTTCTTAATGGTTAATCGAAACGCCTCGCCAGCACCGGGAACAAAATCCGACGACTCGACGTGGCTTTTGCACTTTACACCCGGAAAACTTAGCCCCTTGGCCGATTCCCGAGTTTTATGACAAATTTACGGGGGCTTTACAGAAATCGAAAAAGGTTGGTCTCGAGGAGCCCTTTCGAAGGAACGTTTTCCGCTCTGCGGTTTCCTTCCTAAAGAAAATTCCCGCAAGGTGCCACGTGTTCGAAACGACTTCTCCCCAATTTCCTCAAAACGGTGGATTACCCCCCTTTCTAAATGATTGCACCATTGTTCCTTCTACTCTCACATTTCAATTCGGGTTTATTCCTAAAGAGAGTGCAACGGAAGATACCGTTCAAATACGAGAAATATAAAATGACTTTAGAGAGAAATAAATATATAATTATATCTTCGGACAAATGAATTGTTATCCCAGGGTATAAAATGAAAGAATGGAGGAAAAAGGGAGAGAATAAAAAAGTCCCGCAAGATTTTCGGTCATACGTTCCCGGGCGGAAAAACCGGGCGAAGGGCAGTTGGGCGCGATAAGTCATTTCCGGGGCTAATTTGCATAGATGCGCGGCGGACGGTCGGTGAGCTAATCGTCGCCGGCCATTCCGCCTGCGGCCAATCGCGGACGGGCCCGGCGGCGCTATCAATTCGAGAGAGTCGTATAAAGTCGCGCGACAACGGCGGCTCCCCTTACTAGCAAGCGTGGGTCCGGCCTCGACACGCGCGACTTACCTCCGATCCATGATGGCCAGGGTGAAGGGAAGCGTCGGCACCGAAGAGTCCCCAGGGAAGAAGTCGCGCCAGGGGTCAGGAGCGCCCAGAGTGGGAGGAGGTCCTCTCCCCTCGCCGGTCGGTGGCCTACTAGCGGGCCTGCTGGGCCTGCTGCTCCTTGCCGGCGGGGCCCGGACCGCCAGCATCCGCCGGCCCCCGCGCGCTGTCATCGACTACTGTGACAGGTAGGTGCGTGCGCATCCCGGCCACGTGGTCCGCCGAGACCACGTGGCCCGGGACTCTGGAGTCCCACGCGGCATTCCCCATCCAGCCGCGGACCCGGAAGCAAGGGGTGGACGAGAATGGCTCTGCGGGGCAAGATCAAAGTAAGGAAATTTAAGGTGATATGGAAACGCCGTTCTGTGTATTTATATTTTGGATGAAAATGTCTTCTTTTGATTCTTCTTCGGGATAAATACATTTTCCTTATCGAACATTGACATTTCGCGAGGTTCAAGACCCATGTACGATCTTCGTGATCGCGGGTTAAAGTTGTAATTATTTTCACTTCTGATACATACATATGTGGTACTTTCATAACACCTTAAGGGGATGTGAAAGGGACCGTTTTCCGAACTATTTCGAGAGAGGGTCACGAAAGGTATTTGTGTTCTCTCGCGCACGCCCTTCGACGCCATTGTTCAGAGTTACCCGTGGGCACAAATATCCCTTAGGAGGTTCTCTCTTGTTGCGATTTCTAAAACATTGGAGCGTATAATCGTGCGCGTTCAGTATGAGTTTACTCCAGTGGTTGTCCCCGGTGTATCGAAATGGGGAAATGGAGGTCTGGCCGCGCCGAGCGAATTAATCGACTGCAATTGGCCGCGCCGCGATGACCCCGTCAAACCCCCGGGTATGGCTGGATGACGAACGGGTCAAACGATACCAAATGGCCAAAGGCCAAAGCGAGTCTCGTCTCGCGTCAAAGACCCGCCAAAGACCCGCCAAAGAGCGCCGGCCGGCCGCGCGGATTTAACGCCCGGCCGCAAAAAGCGAGAGCCGAAGGGTTTACGAGTCGCTTTATCGTCCCCTGGATTCCTCTTTTACGCCGCCGGAAGAGGCCTCCTTCGGGAACCCTCGAGCGGCACGCGCATCCCGGAACCCTCGGGAGTCCCTCCCCTCTCCCTCTTGACCTATCTTGCCAAAAAAGACCCGAAAAAAACGCGACCTCGCATTAATCTTACGCGTCATCCGTCGATCTGACGGAAAAACCGGAACGATCGATCCCGAATTCGGTGGTAGAGAAAAACTTGGGGGAATGTTACTAGATGCGAGAAAGATTACGAGGAATCGTTAATAAGGATGTCTTATCAATATGAAGAAAAAATTCTTATTACTAATATTTGGATGAATGTGTGATTGTTTTAAATAGATTTCTTAAATAGTGGATAAGTTTCTGGGGAAAACTCTTGGTTTAGGAGCAATACGCATTCCGCATGTGGTTCCGCATGCTGGCCACTTTATTCAGCTGTTCTCTGCTGCGGAAAATTCCATGGAGGGGAAATCTTGAGAGGAGGAATTTTCTTGTAACAGGAATTTTGTTATCCGCCGAGAGAACTTAAAATGTAAATATCTGCAGTGAGAGCGAGAACAATGAACAATTCCGCGTACGATTCCGCAGGCCGGCCACTTTATTCAGTAGTTCTCTGCTATGGAAAATTCCGTTGGGGGGAAATCTTGAGACAAGGAATTTGTTCGGCCCAGTGATTTAATTCTCTATTTATCCGAAGAACTTAGAATGGAAACAGCTTTAATGAGACCAGGAATAATGCGCGATTCCGCAGGAAGTTCCGCATGCTGGCTACTTTCTCGAGTTGCCTCCGAGCTGCGGAAAATTCCGGAAGAGAAATCTTGAAACAAGGAATTTCCTCACGACAGGAATTTCCCTGTCCCTAGGGAAACCTTAGGATGGGAACAGCTTCAATGAGACCGGAAGCAATGCGCCATTCCGCATGCTAGACGCTTTCCTAAATTGTTTTCCGACTGCGGAAAATTTAGAGGAGAAATCTCGAGACAAGCAATTTATTTGCAATAAACATTTCCATATCTTCAATTTTCCGGATCCTAAAAAGCACCGCCGTCGAAGAAAACGGAACGGACATAAAAATCAAGTCGAACGTGAGAAATTTTTCGATTTTCCAGATCGTGAAAAATATTTTCCGAAAGAAAAACGGAAATGACAAAAATCAAACTAAAAATCGACAGGTCGAACGTGAGAAATTTTTCGATTTTCCAGATCGTGAAAAATATTTTCCGAAAGAAAAACGGAAATGGCAAAAATCAAACTAAAAATCGACAGGTCGAACGTGAGGAAAAACTCCTTTCCCATCTTGCAAGGATTTCCCCTGGACCAGTGATAACGACAAATTCACTTTCCCCTTCCCCTGATTCGGTGATAACGCGGGATCGCCCGAGTGACGGATAACGGGCAATTAATCGCCTAATCGATCGCCGATCGGTTTAGGAATGTTTAGGGATCGATAAGGGGGAGATCCCGTTATCACTAAACCGTGAAAATTCCGAGCATGCCGATAGACCGCCTTATCGTGATCCATCTGACCTGCTGATAAGCCTGAGACTTTTCCACGGGGTCGCGTTATCGGAGTTCCTGTCTCGGGGTCGGTCGCCGTTAAACGCCGTTAAAATGCGATCGATCGGGAAACGGCGTCATTACGTCCTCGTTACTCGGCGCCAGCTTCCGGCGTTATCGCGCCGATTCCGACCGCTTTCAAATCCAATTTCCTCCATCACCTGTTCACCTGGATACCCCTGAGAATCCCCTGGGAACCCTTGCCCTGTTCAGCCGTTTTCTCTCGCGGTAACGACGAGCTGAGCGTTTTCGTTAAACGGAAATAGAAGTCATTACCCGTAACTGGATACTAAAGCCTAAACGAGGTGAAAAATTCTAATATTCTAAATTTCACTTAGAAATCCTAAATCGACGTTATCTCGCGTTAATGGCGAGCCAGTCGTTTTCGTTAAACGAAACTGGAAGTCATTACCTTTCGTTAAACGGAAATGTTACCTTTAACGAAAAATTCGACACGTGGTTCCGACATTTCTACACGCAATTCTAGTATCACTGATTATCGCTTTCTTTTTTTTATCGCTGGATATTCATGATAAGCAATAGGTACTTCCCCGGTAGAAATTCGTTATCTCTTGTATCGTTTCCGCGAAATTTCGCGGATTTCGGAAAAAGATTCCATCGCAGGGACGATTTGATAGCGGATTTATCGCCGATTGATTACGACCTGATTACAGTCTGATTGCGGTCTGATTAAGATTCTTTCGAATCTTCGTGCATCAGAGCAAGACGAGGACAATTGGCACTCCATATGCAAATGTACTCGACCTCGAACGTCCATCAGTCGTCCCCGATTTGCGTAAAAATCGCGAAAATCATCGAACCGTTCGATCCGCTCCAATTCTCGTCCACTGTCTCTCTCCCCTTCTTATCACTTATTAAAAATGTTTCTGCATTCCGAGCCCTTTCGAGTAAAAATCATTCGTAAAGTCAGAAAATTGCGAAAGTATATAGTTAAAAATATTTATCCTGCATTTTTAGCATACAATGAGTAAATTGCAAATTATCACTTGTCGCCGTGCAATTATGAAATTTCCGAAACGTGTTTCCTGAATTTAATACAGTGTTTTTTTAACAGTGGATGTCGAGTAAAAGATAAAAGAAGGATTCTAAAACGCGAAGATGTAAGAAGGACGGGGTCCGACGTCAACCCACTGACTCCTCGGTGATAAGGATGATCCCGAGGATCCCAATTAGGCCCGACTCTAATTTACAGGCTCGGAATTACCGAGCTCAGAGTCCGACTCTAATCGAAATACGAGAGTGGATTAGCGAGTCTTGGACGAGCTAGGCAGGGACCGTCGTTACCGACTCCCGCTTCCAGGTTAATTCTCCTTCCCACTTTTCTTCGGTTCTTTCCCGGGAGGAAATTGCGCCCTCCGCGGGATGGTTTGCAATTTAGAGAGCCGCTAGGAAAAATAAAAGGAGAAAATAGGAGGGCCGATCGAGGTAATCGGCCAGGAATTTTGGAGAACGGGAGGAAGACGGAGAAATGGGATCCTCGGTACTTTTTCTAGTTTTTTTCTTCCCTCTTTTTCTCTCCGCATCGATGGCGATCATCAAGAGAAAAAAGGACACTATTGTCCTTCGATCCTTTTCTCTGCTTTCTTTTTATTTGCGTGCAGGTATTTTGTCGCAAAGAAATAAAATGAGGAATTCCTTGGAATTTTTATAGTTTTCTGTTTTCCATTTTCTATCTATGTGCTATTCACGAGGAAATGCGAGTAGAGATTCTTGGTTCATTTTTCATCCTCTTTTTCCACATGCATCATTTTCCTTTCCGTGCGGCATTTCCGATATGGGCAAAGAATTGATGAAGAGGGGAAATGGAGTCCCTTGGTCCCTTTTTCTTTCTTTTTCTTTCGCATGAATCTATCTCGACTATCCTTGTCTTTTTCGTCCTTTAGCCTCCGGTCCTTCGAGGACTTCTCTTGTATATAGACTTTTCTAACCGAAGATGCTTCTTCTTTCGGATTCCAGCCTGATTTACTGTCGTGGCGAGTTGCTGAAGACCGTGCAGCTCGCGGACATTTTCCCAGACAGCAAAACCTTCGTCGACCTAACCCAACTGAACGACCCGAATGTGACATACGACAAGTAAGTAACGATTTCCGTGTACCAAGTAAATAGAGCGAGGAAAACCCGCTCGTTACGCAGCTGGCTACGATATCGGCGGATCCTCCACTTTTTTTGTTTTGCATTCTAGAGGCGAGAGGATAAGAAAATAACCTAGTGATAAGGATAAGGGACAACTTGGGCGAAGTCGCTAATTAACATACCAAGACTTCCTTGAACCTCAATTACGACTCTTTTCATTTTTGCGCGTAAATTGTACGTGTAATTCTTATATGTCATTTTCACGAATAAAAAGTTTGTTTATCCATATCCAGGATCAATCAGCTGATGAATCCGAATCTAACGTGATTACATTTAATCTCAAAACATGACATAAAATTCGGCGTTAAAACATCATATTTAAATCCTGAAACATCACGTAACATTTAACTTGAAAAAATCGCATTGCATTTCACCCTAACAATATCAATGCAAGGTTTGACTCTAAACTTTCAGCTTCGAAAAATTGATGAAACAGACAAACGGGAATCCGAATCGCACGCAGATCGAGGACTTTGTTTGGGCGAATTTCAAAAAGGACGACGAGCTTTTGGATTGGAAGCCTCCTGATTGGCAGGAGAATCCGGCGATCCTGGCTCGAATTCAGGACCCGAAATTTCGCCAGTTAGCGAAGGACCTCAACTCCATTTGGAACACTTTGGCGAGGAAGATGTCCCCGGATGTCGCCGCGAATCCTGGTCGACATAGTCTCATCTACGTGGACAAAGGATTTATCATTCCTGGTGGGCGCTTCAAAGGTGAGGAGTGATAACGAGCCTCGCACGTCTCTCCTTCTCTTCCTGTCGATTCGATAAGACCTGGCGATATAAAAAATTGTACACTTTGCACCTCGGAAATCCCACTTGTTTAGAATTTAATTAAAGAAAAAAATGAAGTTCAATCGCACTTTTTCCTCCCTCAGAATTCTATTACTGGGACAGCTATTGGATCGTGGAGGGCCTCCTATTGACAGGGATGCACCAGACTGTCAAAGGGATTCTGGAGAACCTTCTGTCAATGGTCAGCAAGTTTGGATTTATCCCAAATGGCGGAAGAGTTTATTATTTGATGAGGAGCCAGCCTCCCTTGGTGATTCCCATGGTGAGTGTCCCGAAAGAGGGATTCCCTAGGGACCAGAAGGACGGAAGGGGGAGGGAAAAAATAACCAGGAGTCAGGTTATTATTTCAGTGCCAGGTGTTTTCCTCAAGGATTTACCCCTAAAGTTATCCGGTAATGGCGGACGTAACTCTCCCGATTGGTTAACGAGGAAGAGAGGGAGAGTATTCGCTCTTCCTTTTTTCTCAGCTGCGTAATCACTGCACAAAGGGAGAGTCTCTCCTATTCTTTTCCCGAGTTGTTCCACGTAATCGCGACACAGAGTGAAAGTCTTTCCTCTCTTCCAGCTTCTTCCTTTTCCGAGTTTCCGCGCAATCACCATCTCGTAAAAAGTGTCCCTCGTATCTCCAATATGGCTCTCCAAGATTGACAAATATTCCAGGCGATTTACCGTGATATTGCGAAGTAAAGAAACTCGGCATAGTCTCGCGCCAAATACGTATTTCACGTCTTTTTGTATTGCCAACAAATTTGCTCATTAAATATAGCAGTGCTATATATTTCTTCTTTTTTTTTTTTTAAATAGTAAATTTAGGTCAATCTTCGTTTTCCTTAATGAAATCACGCCGAGGAAAAGATGGCGCGCTTATCGAGCCGAAAGCTGCCGAAGTTGGATAAAAGTTTTCCCCGTCTTGGGGATGAAATTTTTCAGAGATAAAGGGAACCGTGTTATCAGGGGAAAACGCCGGCGGGGAACTTTCCGCACCCTGTCATATTTCTTGGTTACACCACGCCGTTGTACCTTGGCGAATGTGGTTCTCCAATTTGTTCGGAGAATTCCGCTTTTCGCTTTTTCACGCGGATGAAAACCGCGAAAATGGAACCGCGGAGGAAGATAATATTTATCCAGAGCACGTGGAATGAGATTGCGAGTAAAAAGTACCGCATAAAAAAGATAAGGGAATAACTTGTAAATCGAGAAACCTTTGTACTATTCCCGAAATATTATAAACGATCAAGAAACATCCTAATTTATTTTCCAGTTCGTGCGATAAATTTTCTTTTGCGAAATTGACAATTTCGTATGACGCGACTTTACTACGATGCAAAATTTCGCAAGATAGACTCCACGTAATTCTAATATGTTTTCATTTCCATTTTTTGACGGCATATTTTGAAAATACCATTGTCTTGTTTATCACAGGTCGAGAGATACGCGCAGGCCACCAACGACTGGGCTTTTGTGGAGAACAATATCGGGCTGCTGGAAAAAGAATTCATATTCTGGCAACGAGAGAGAACCGTCGATGTCACGAAGAATGGTAAAACATACAAAATGGCGCGATACGTGGTCAGCAGCGAAGGACCCCGGCCTGAGAGTTATCGGTAGGAAAATCAGCTGATACATTTGAACCAAAGAAATATTTCGACCACTCGAGGAACAATTTTCTGACTGAAATAAACTGGAATAAATTGGATGCAACATTTGTACAGAATTACGACCATTGATTTGAGTTCATCTGAGTGAATTATTGAATTAACAATATATTTCTTCGGTTCGATGAATATTAATTTTTGCACTCAACATCTCATAATATTTATGCCTCGATATTCACCTTAATTTCTGCACAGAAATTCATTTGGAAAATTTCGTCCTCCGTTCCAGGGAGGACTACAAAGTGGCGCAGAACGCAAAGGACGAGAAATCCAAAAATGAGCTTTACAATCAGCTCAAGGCAGCTGCCGAAAGTGGATGGGACTTTTCGGCGAGGTGGTTCGCCCCAGAAAATGGCAATTTGGGAAATCTCTCCGATGCTTCTGTCAGCGAAATCATTCCTGTTGACTTGAACGCATTTCTGCAGAGGAACGCCAGGATCCTGGGAGAATTGTACCAGAAACTGGGCAATTTGCAGGTATTACCTGAACCTGGAATAATTCCTCTCTAAATACGTTCAGTGATGAGCAAAATCCATATTGGTCTCATACATGTAATCAGTACAGCTTGGCGACAAATTTTATAAATATTTGGACGTTTCGATACGTATAAAATGATCATATCGCATTAATCTTGAAAAAATGAGGAATCAAGACCAGGACCGATTTTGCTCGTTATCTAGTTAACGTACAATTAAGTTGTACTCCAGAAATGAGGTAAACGTGGAAAGCTTTCGTCCTTGAGTACACCCTCCAACAGGATATGGATATCCCTATCGAGGCTCAAAGGGATCAGGTATTCCCACGGTTTACACCAGGAGAACAATGTTATCCCCAATTGTAAAACCCAACTCGCCGCGTAACTCCACGTACATCTCACACTTGATGTACACTTGAATTATAGAACCAGGTCTTAACCCACTCGAAGCACCGATGATGCCCCAGGTGCGTCGTTCTCCAGTTATCGCCGAAGCAGCGGCTCTTCGGGTATATCTTGAAGAGGAATCTAATGGACGGGAAAAAAATTCCGATATGGAGATAAAACCTTCGAGTGGGTTAAGTAATGGTGGAATTATTTCAAGCTGCTCACCTTTGCCCCAGAAAGCGCAAGAATTCATCGGCGCCAGCTGAGCAACGAGAAAGCTCCCTGTAGTCAATTTTAAAAAACGTTTCGATTAAATCGATTTTTTTTTTAATCCCTCAGTCAATAAACAGGATATTTGAATGTACCAAATTACTTCAGTATTTCGTATGAACTATCAGGATATTAAATATATATTCGAGGAAATATTTTGTCTGAGTGCAGAAAGCGCAACATTTCTTCGCCACGGCTGTGAGGTATCAACTGGGCATCGATAAGGTTCTCTGGGACGAGAAGGAAGGAGTCTGGCTGGATTACAATTTCCGAAGAAATCGCCCCACTAATAGATTCTATCCCTCCAACCTGACACCTCTTTACACCCACAGCTATGATCCTGCCAAGTCGGCGGACATTGCCAGGAAAGTGTTGAAATACCTCGAGAAAATCAAGATCACATCGTTCATGGGTGTGTCTTTCATTCTCTTCCCATCCTTCGAATAATTAAGTGTGAAAGAAAATTTGATAGAGGGGGTTAATAAATTTTTTCCTGAATTTTTAGGCGGCACTCCAGCATCCCTGGACCACACGACCCAACAATGGGACCTACCCAATGCTTGGCCTCCTCTGCAGTCCATTGTCGTGAATGGTCTCAGGAACACCGGATTCCCTCCTGCACTTCGCCTTGCTCAAGATTTGGCTGTAAGGTGGCTGAGAGCGAATTTAATCGGGTATTCAGAGTACAGCGAGATGTTCGAGAAGGTGAGTCGCTCATCAGGAGTGAAATGAAATTTCTCCCGATATTCGATTATTCCAAAGAGTCTTCGCTTAATAGTATCAGGGAAAAGTTATTCTCAAATGTTAGAAGAAAAAGAAAAGGTGCTTCCCGACTTGGCTTCGTCTTAGATGAAATTTGGTCGGAAATTCGACCTCAGCTTAACCGAGCTTATTTAACTTGGCCTCGAATTTTCTTAATCTTGGTTTAAATTTCGCCCGAAATTCGACCGCAGTTTAACCCGACTTGGCTTTGATTTGACCAAGACTTGGTCTCGACATTGCTTGCACTTGGCCAAAACTTGGCTCCGGTCTCTCAGGGGGGTCGAGGGGCAAAACAAGGACCCGAGCACGAGGGGATGCGAATCCGGGTCATGTCCTGCGAAATCGCACAGGTGTCCGTCTCCTCGAGGGGAGTCGCGACTCGTGACAAAGGGCGCGGCAAGGGGGAGAAGGAAAAGGGGCAGCAGACAAAAGCGATGCGGAGTGGGCCATCCGATAGGCGAGAGATGGCTAATCCATCCGGACCCTACTCCCACGTTCCTGGCTTCCATCCCAGTCGTTCCTATTCTCCTCGACGAGCATCCCCGGAAACGTTATCACATCGCCGCGCGTTTCGAGACACGGGATACCTGAGATAACCTCGACTGATTCCTCTTATCAATGTATACGTACACGAGGTGTAAGGCGAAATTCTTGTAAAATGCACGCAGGAAAATATAAATACATACTTCCGGAGTAAAATTTGTAACGCGCCCCCCAAACTTTCTGAGGGTCCATCCCTTATCACTTGTGCGATATCACTTAGCCCCAAGTTCTCAACGACCCCCGATGGGAGTTCCTGACTCCTCCGGATATTATACCCTTTGTCCAATTTAACGTAAAATTTCATTTCGGCTCCATTGAGACAAACAGGCTCCCGCCTCTTATCACTCCCTTTGCTTCCCTCGGCTCTAGTGATATCGCGTAAGTGATATCACTTAACCCCAAAACTGGAACTCGCCATCCAGGAAGGAGATCCTCCTCCTCCGCGTTCCCCAAATATCTACCCCTTTATCCAATTTACTATGAAATTTCATTTCTTAGCCATCCCTGTATACAGTGGAAAAGAAGAAGGTTCATTGAACCAGGGAAATGTTTATTAGAAATTATTTTATATATATTATATACTTCGGTGAAACTTTTTCTGCAGTCTACATATCTGCTCTTATCACTCCCCACATAAAATTCAATTTTGTCACAGACAAGGTTAAGAAGAACTTCCCAATTGTTGCCACGCTTTATGGCACACGTTCGCGTCGAAATCCTGGATTTGAAATTTCCGAACCCGAAAAGCCCATTCTAGGGAATAATTAACGAGACCCTGGAAGCAAACGGGGTCGTTACACGACGCCTCGATGTAATGGCTTTCCCGTTGCACGTCGAACAATCCGGTGGAAATTCGTAAGAGCTTCCGGCCCCGCCTCCCGAAATTGGGGAACACCGGAGGAAACAATGGCGTCGGTAATATCCCTCGAGTTCTCTATATTTTCCCTGCACAAAATGTCGTGGATATTAAAAATGCTCGACAACTCGCGAGAACCACCCTTGAACAGCCCGAGGACACGAGGGATAAATTGATAACGAGCGTAATCACAGGAATCCAAAAAACTCCATAATCCGTAATTAGTCCCTACGATAACATAATCAAACAAAGTACGGTGCAATTGAATGAAAAAATTCGGAAACTTTCGGTACCGGCAAAGGCAATTTACTTAACATTAAATCTTGCACGAGAACCTCGTGATAAGGGAGAGCGATGACAAATCCTTCCGATTTCTTAAATAATAATTGAATATACGTGATTCTGTAAATAATTAAAAATAATGCGATCGAGGGAAACGTCGGGAAACTTTTGATAACTCGTAAGAGCGATTTATTTATGATTAGTCGGTATACGAGCCCTCCTGATAAGGGCGAGTGATAACGCTTTGTACGGGGCGTTTCCATTTTGCGTAAATACTCGGATGTTAATGAGAATGCCGAGGAAGGAGGATACCCGCGTATTTGGGTTTAAATTAAACCAGCTCGCGTCTCTAGATTTCCCTCCCTCGATTTCCCTTCCTCCGCTTTGCGCGTTTCTCGCCCTCATTGGCCTTGTTTCGCGTTATGAGGACGAGAGAGAGAAAGAGGAAGGGAGAGAGAGGAAGGGACGAAAGAGCTCTTCCGCAGACTTGCGAACTCCAGGATTGAGTCCGGTGATAACGATAACGCTTCCGTTTAGATCCTTTGCGGTTGCTTCCAGTGTAACGCCATTTCTTTTTTTCTTCTCCAAATGGAGATGGAAAAAAGTACACCGTCCAAGGTGGAACTGCACCCGATAAAATTCCCACTTTTTTTTATATCACATGTGCCTGATTAATAAAATAAAATGTCACTAGATTCGCCCTAGTTAAATGATTTCTAGGCATTTTTCCGCGTTTCTTGTCCTTATTGGCCTTGTTTCGCGTTATGGGAGGGCGAGAGAGAGAGGAAGGGGACTTTTGAGTCTGGTGATAACGATAACTCGCTAATTTAGATTTTTTAACGTTGTTCCTTTTTTTTTTCAGTATGATGCTGTTTTTCCTGGCCAATACGGAGGGGGAGGAGAATACACCGTCCAGGCTGGATTCGGATGGACCAATGGAATAGTCTTCGAGTTCCTCGACATATATCCTAACGTCACTGCGGATGACTCCAGAATGATGGCCTCGAATTCGTTGTCAAGAAAGTAACAGGTGAAGTTAATAATCCCATTGACGAAGAATTTTAATCGTATTAATTTTCTCCACGATGAAGTCATCCTTGCGTAAATTCTGGAAAATGAAATTTCCTGGCACATTGACGCTTAGATGGCCGCATGTAATTAAACTGATCTAATTATAAGTGCCGCATGATGGATTGCGGACTTGAGTGCAATTCCAAGGATGCTTTGGTTTGACAAATCGTTTCCTCTCCAGAGTGAGGTGCCCTGTTCCGAGGGGATGAACGGTCTCTTATAAAAGGCCATAGAAAGGCCGTAGAAAAGTTGAGCCAATATCCCGGAGTACTTTCCTCCCGGAGTATTTAGAGTTCCTGGCTTGATGGTCACTTTCTCGGCTCCCAGGACCGAAATCCCGATTCCCGCGGGACTTGCCGTCCAGGAGAGGGCGCATCTTCGTGAACCCAGGCGAAATAAACGCCGGTCGTACCGCGCGATCATAAAGGATCCGCCTTTCCGTAATATGCATCCGCTTCTCTCCCTCTCCTGGCTATCTCCCTCCGGAAACGGAACGGCCAACCGGACGCCGGACGTTCCCGGAGGAGATATCCCGGCTTTACGAGGTCCGGCTTCGGGCACGTTGCCTTTCTTCGATTCCTTCACATCTAACCGAGCTTCCTTTACGAGGATGTACTCATGGTCGACGTCCTTTTCGATTCCAGATGCCACAGGACCTTGCCGACCCACGAAATCTAGTCTGAAGATGGGCCCGTCGAATCTACGCACGCTTCTCCAACCATTTACGACGATGGACCCGGTTTCAGAAGATCGGGTTGATCGTCGACCTCCTCAACTTTGGCAGGCGGCCACCAACCTCTTCCATCGACTAATCCTGAAGATGGCGGATAGCCGAAGAGCTTCTTACACAGAACTTTCCCTACAAACAGCGGTCCCGAAGATACCATCGGAAGATGTCGTTTGCTCTTCCACTTGAGAAACACCTCCCAGGTCGCTTCGGAGACCGAAAAACCAACATTAAGGTGGCAGGACATCAGGTGGTATGTCGCTTCTCGCCGTTCTTATACCCCAGCTTGAAGAGGTCCTTGAAGACGACGTTGAAGACGACCTCGACGGATCCCTGGACCTTCATACGAGCCACTGGAAGAGTAAACGTCGAATTTAAAGCATCCTCTCGAGGAAGTCCTCACCTGGAACCTACACTCTCTTCCGTTTCCGGAAGCCAGGATGTCCATATCGATCAGTTCCGGCCTCCTTCCTGTCAGCCAAGCCGCGAATTGCTGCAGACTCGAGGACGACTCGGGGACGTAAACGGCGACCCTGAAGAGCATGACCAAAAGCGTTAACGAGATAATTTGGAGGAGGAAATGATAGCGCGTTAAGGTAACGATGGGGTTTACGTTTTTCGATGGCGTCCGGCTGTCAAAGGCACGTGGCAAACCCCGTAACCTCTGACGACGTCGTGTCCGAAGAGGTCTAGCCCATAAGTGGACAGTATTAACTGCGGCCCTGCACAAAAAGTCAGTTAATGTTACGAGATGCGTAAACGGTTTAACAGTATTATAAATAAATACGAGCGATGAGACATTTAATTACCTTCTTTATATATCGCGGTTTCTAATCCTACGTGCTCACCAGAAAATCACGAAAATATAAAAATATAAAAATCGTCAATTTGTGGGCGTTGCGGTTTTTTCTCCGCCTAATTGTATCGAAGAAGAGGATTACTCACATCCGTGCGGATTGGTGCTCTTGAACGTGACGTCAAGGGGAAAATTCCATACGGCGAGTCTCCTGACGTCGCTTCCGGTGATGCTCATTTGCGTCAGGCCTTCCTCGATGCCCTCGAAAAATTAAATGGCAATCCTTTCTCGAAGCTCGAAGCTCGGTTAGGAGGAATTTACGAGAGATGTGCGTATACTTACTGCTACCACGCTCCATTCGGCGCCGAAGTGATAGCGGTACTTGCAGTACACGCTATCGGCGTCGTAAAACTCGGCAAAGTCGATGGAACCTGTCACCGAGACGAAAAACTCACCCTCGACCGACATCGAGACCGACGGCCTTCATAACAGTCGAATACGGAGAGAAACGCAATCCCGAACGAGGGATACTCGACGACGCGGATTTGTGGCGTCGTTCGTTGCCATGGTGACGGCTAGGCGCGTACCTAGCAACGGGACGCAAAGCGACTCGCGCGCCGCTACTTGCGCCATCTTATAGAGAGACGTGGAAACCTCTCGCCAAATCGATTATCGATAACTCCGAGGTAATACTATCTTTTGGTAATGTTCATTGAACGTTGCCTGGTAATTATCGCGTAATTAGCGATCAAACGGAGTCAAATGTACCCATTAAACGATAATTCGGCACCGCTTCGGTCACTCATCGAGTTGGTGCCGCGATCAAGCCTGAATATTTTCTTGATATTCTTTGGAAAGCAACTTTCACTTCACTCATGAATACGGAAATAGTTTGTGAAATGATTGTTACCTACATTTCAATGTTTTACACAGCGCGGTGATTGTTAAAATTCGAAAACGAGACATAACTCTTGCGGATTGAATTTCCGGTGTCATGACGCGAAACGTTAGAATTTGAATTTTATACTTTGCACCTTATGGCGATGCGCGCGCTACTATCGGCGGTTTTCGGAAACTTCAGACTGTCTGACCGATCACTCGATCGGAAAAGAAAAGTAACAATTGTTTCGTAATTTAACAAGTCGATGACGTGATCGCCTTATGCGATTCCCCCATCTAGGTTACCAAGAGACCATGCTATCTCTCTCGCACTCCTTCTGGCCGTGAGTGTGAGAAGGACATACTTATACGGGAAAAGTACATAGTCTCCCGACTGAATTACTATCTTTCTTGCCGCGCATATGCAATAGTCCATCGTCCCTTCTTAGCCGTAAAATGACATACGTGATTAAAACGTGTTCGTGTATTTATTCCGACCTTAACCTAAGATAATTTCCTTTTTAATTTATAATACTACCATGATTTAGTTGTTATTTTCTACCAACTAGTTTCTTCTTTGTTTTATACATTCGATACGCTACGATTATAAGGAATAAGGTAAGTTTATAAACGCAGAAATTGTTATTAGTACGTTCATACATCCTACAAATAGTTTTCTGTGAGGGTATGATGATGAGACGATTTTTCTATGATAATAGAGTTATATTGAATTTTAAACTGTAGGAAAATTTATAAATTCTCATATTTTCTCTGTCTGTATCATGGTCACGATTATTAATTCTCTGTCAGGATATTTAACGGAAAGGTAGAGAATGGAAGATCACGGGACTATGAATGGATTGACAAAAATCTCGGAGCCTGTAATAACAGTTCCGAACCCACGTAATTTCCAACCAACCATCATGGCACAAGTCACGGTTTCACCTATGCCAGGACAATCAAAGTACACGCAACTGCTCGGTATCATCGAGGAACTGGGACGTGATATACGACCAACCTATGCCGGTAGTCGTACTTCTATGGAGCGCTTAAAGCGTGGTATCGTACATGCTCGTATTTTAGTCAGAGAGTGCCTCATAGAGACAGAGCGAAGTGCTCGTCAATAATAGATAATATTGGTTAGGTATAAACTTACCAAGACGATACTATGGATAATCGTCGCAGAACTACCTCGCTGACTGAGACCCGTTTAACTTAAGTCTTCGTTAATACTCATGCGCTTATAATGTAACGATGTTTCCATGACTCATATTTTCTAGAGTAATACTAAGATGGACCAATGCAGGAAGACAAACACGTGACCTGATAACATTAAAATTATACTCTTTTTAAGCTTATTCTAGCAAGATCTTGATCTCAAACTTTTACTAGTTACCGAAATACCAAAGCTAGTCCCATGACTGGATTTCATGACGCTCCAAGATACACAGAGTATCTTGTGGAATATTTAATATACTTACTAATAGATTTTTGAACTACCAAACTTTTAGAAATGTAAGAACTGTAACCGCGCATTGTATCAAAGAAGTTCATTTTGATGAAATACGGCCTTTTAACTGATGTCTCTGAAAGTACAAATTACTCTTTTTGAATGCAAAACATATTAGCGATTGTCAAACATTAAGAATGAATAATCTACATCTAGGGTGTACAAGCATATTTATTTAAACATAGAATTAATTCATGTGGCCTTAAGGCATTGATTAAAACGGGTGACAAGTAGTTATAGCTGTAACTTAAACGATAAATGTTCCTTCGCGTTCCTGGCCGAATGTTACGTCAATATAACTTAACAAGAAAGAAACATATGTATCAGATAAATATTTTTTACAATTCGAAACTAGCATCGCCGACTGATAACTTATTGCTGTGCCTCGTTGATCGATTGTAATGTTAATAATCGAATAATAAAGTGACTCTTGTTACTTACCACGATTTTTATAAATTCCGACAGGATGGATTTATTTACTCCCTCAAAGTAAAAATGTAGAAAACCAGAAAATGATACTGAAGAGAAATTAAATGAACCCATTATTGTTTATGAATCTAAACTATGCTGTTTGTTTCAGAGAATTTGGAATCCTGTAAACGATGTTCACCACCTTGGACAGCTTCGATACGGAATTCCCTGCAGATTCTGTGGAATGTTGCCCTGTAAATGAGTTCCATCGAGTGATAGCTTGCGGCACCTATCTTCTAGTTCCCCCTGATGATAAAAAAAGCCAACCATCTCATTCGGATGGACGAATTGGCAAGGTCCACCTTCTTTTAATCGATGCCAATGGAAAACTAACATCGATCAACAACACAAATGTTCCTGCAGTCTTCGATATGAAATGGGCAAATGCCAGACTCTGTGATAAAGTGTTACTAGGTGTAGCAAACTCTTCAGGTTCCTTGCAAATGTTTCAACTGGAGAATGATGTAGAAGAAAAACCAAAGCTGAGCCTCATAGACGAAATAAAAATTGCTCCCGAGGATACGACTACAATGGCATTATCTTTAGACTGGAGTATAGGAAAATGGTCAGACGACATGTGTCAAGACTCGAACATTGTTGGGAGCTATTCTAATGGTGCGATCTCATTATTCAAACTGGATGGAGAAGGCTTCAAAGAGATCACATCATGGAGCGCTCACCAGTTCGAAACATGGACTGCAGCTTTCGATTATTGGAACTCGAATGTTATATATTCTGGTGAGTCTTTCGTCTGATATATCTGGTAAACTTTTTGTCCTGTATATTTTGATGAAATATTTGAAGATATCTAAGAATCTTTAAAATCACACAATCTGATTTTAATTAGAATCTTCCAGGTGGCGATGATTGCAAATTTCAGAGATTCGACACAAGGGTTGGATCGAAGCCTACCAATGTTAATCGCTCCCACACTGCTGGGGTCACAAGTATCCGCAGCGATCCATTTAGAGAGTTTTCCTTAACGACAGGGAGGTAAGAATTGATTATAACTCTAATTTGACTACGATCAAAACTTAACTCATTACAGCTACGACGAAACCCTGAGATTTTGGGATACTAGAAAGCTTCGAGCACCCTTGGGAGAAACGGTTCTTGGTGGTGGAATTTGGCGCATCAAGTGGGACCCCTTTGATCGAGAACGTCTACTCACTGCCTGCATGTATGGCGGCTTTAAGGTGGTCGACTGCAAGAGACCAGAAGTTCCGATTGTCCATAAAGAATGTCTGGAACATGGAAGCATCGCTTATGGCTGCGACTGGTCCTTCATAGAACCTGAAAAATCCTCCCATGAAGCACTGATCGTTACCTGCTCCTTCTACAATCACCTCCTCCGTTCCTCCTTGCTTTCGATGACAGACGTTGAGAGCATTAATTCCTATATTAATAAAACAGAAATATAAAAGAAATTATGGATTTGCCGCGTCTAGCGGACTTAGGACTCTTTTTCTAGTTACATAATTGTTCTCGGATTTCAGCATTAAAATCCATGATTTCGTGATCGAATAACTCTGTAACGCCAGCTTCCCCTAGCATTAACATTCAATATACTCGACCCGAATTTGCAATACCTATAAAAAAAACCATCCCACCGATCCCCAGAGTATTTATTTTATACTTGGCACTCCGCATTCTCCAAAAGAACCTTGAAATATTCTAAAATAACCACTCGACGATTCCGTCCTCGGTTTCCCCGTTTTCAGGTTACGCGCGGCCTTGAACAATCGAAAATCGATAGGTCGAGGCCTCGATCTGAAACCGTCTCCAGCGCCATCTCTGGAACACAGCATCAACTACATACACCAAGATCCACGTTCCCTGGTACGCCTGCACCAATCAGCTTCGTCGACCTTGCCCGTGCGGCGCTGGAGGGGGAAGTGCATCGTCACCGCAGTTCCCGCAAGTCCTCACAGATTCCCGCAGATCCTTGCAAGTCCCCGGAGGTCGCACATCGTAAAAGGACGTCACCGCCAGGATATCCGCGTGCCGAGTGTCAAACCCTCCTTGTCAAGTGAACCAGGGTAACCGGGCAACCTGCCCGAGGTGAGTCGGAGGGTCGCTCGAGTGTTAAGGCGCGCGATGCCGCCCAGGAGGCGCGTCGGGTCTCCGGCGTCACCATGCCCGTCGTCGCCGATCTGAGAGGACGTCCCGTGACGTCAGAGCTGGACACCCCCCTCCTGCCCTGCTTCCACCGGTCCCATGGACGCCGGTCCTGGCGGGCCGCCGCCGAGTGGCCGCGAGGGCCGAGGGTGAACCAGGGTGGACCTAGAAGGCGGACTTGCAACCTCCTGGTGGCGCCTGGCAGCGCGCTCCTTTCGGCGGGACCTCGCAGCATGCCCTGGGCCCGCGGGACCCGCCGTTCCGCGCTCGTATTATGGCTGGTGGCGAGGCCGGCGCGACCAGACCTCGGCAGGAAAAGCAGTACGACTACCTCTTGAAGTTCCTCCTGGTGGGCGACAGCGACGTCGGCAAGCAGGAGATCCTTAGCGGCCTGGAGGACGGGGCTGCCGAGTCGCCCTTCTGCAGTGGCAGCGGTGCGTACAGGAGACTCGGAACACTCTGAACGGTGGTTCGCATAACCTCTGTGTTCGTACCATGAGGTCTACCTCGAAGGAAGGGAGACCTCTCCCCTCGCTTCTTACGGTTAATGTTAAAAGATCTGTTTTATCGGTAGTCTTTGATTGTGGGTAAGAGAGATATTGTTTAACGCTAAAAGTGAGGTATAAGGATAGTCGCTATTAGAATTGTATGGGTAAAAAAATGTGTCTTGATAGCAACAGTGAGGTGTGACTATGAATTGTAGTTTTTAAATGGCTAAAAGATATGATTTGCTGCTAAAAGTGAAGTACGAATACAAGCCATTGTTTCTATAATTGGAACTTTTTTTACAGCATACAAAACCACGACCATTCTCCTCGATGGCAAGCGAGTCAAGTTGCAGCTTTGGGACACTTCTGGGCAGGGCAGATTCTGCACGATTATCAGATCTTACTCCAGGGGTGCGCAAGGGATTCTCCTTGTCTATGACATTACTAACAAGTGGTCCTTTGACGGCATCGACAGATGGCTCAAGGAAGTCGAAGAGGTTAGTTGACTCGTCATTACAAATTGAGGTTGTACCTTAAAGTGACATGTACATGATTTTTTCCCCAGCATGCCCCAGGTGTGCCGAAAGTCCTGGTTGGAAACCGGCTGCATTTGGCATTTAAGCGCCAGGTAGGAGAAAGGGATGCGGAAGCATACGCCGCCAAGAATCGAATGGCCTTTTTTGAGGTTTCTCCTCTCTGCGACTTCAACATTCGAGAGAGCTTTTCGGAGCTGTCAAGGATGGCTCTGCGGCGCAACGGTATGGAGAGGCTCTGGCGCTCGAACAAAGGTAAGTACCGCTGAGGTTTGCCTCGCAGGTGAAAACTGCAGACCTCTGGGACGCCACTTTCCCACTGCCTTAATCCCTGAATATCTCTTTAGTTCTCAGCCTCCAAGAGCTGGCCTGCCGAGCCATCGTCGCGCGGACGACGGTTTACGGGATCGACCAGCTGCCGCTGCCGACGTCCGTCAAGTCCCACCTTAAGTCCTACGCCATGACGACGACCTCGCAGCCGAGATACAACGGTAACCGGTCGCTGACATCAAGCAAGACCCTCGGCTCCCACCACCGGAAGCTGCGCTTCGGGGGGTCAGGTGGCAGCGGCTGCGTCGGCTGCGGCGGCGCCAGCAGCGGCTTCGTCGGGCCCTCCACCCCGGGCAGCTCCCCCGGAAGCATGACCGACGCTCGGGCCAACGGGTCCAGCTGCGTCGGCCGAAACTCTTGTGCAATATCCTGAGGGTGAAGCCCCTGGGGCTCAGGTCGGGAAAACGTTCGAGTGGACCTCGAGTGCGCGCAGCTCCGTTTCTTCTCTCTCCCTTTCGCCTCTTTTAGCGCGCCCCCTCGGGGGGAATAAATGAGAGACCATGGATCTTCCTCCGGAAAGGCCGGATGGGATCGTTTATTTTTCGGTGTTCAATATATAGAAGTTAGTTTAAGGACGAGGACGAGTCTCCTGTGAACGCGCCTACACCCTTAGATATAAGCTCTTCTCGGTCGACGCACATGCGTGTTACAATAGATTTAAGGGCGAATCAAACGTGTCCGTGACGTGTTTGTGTTTATTCGCGTTGAGTATTTGTGCAGGAGTAAAGTCGCACACTAAAGACGCACACAGCAAGCATGCAACATATACTTCGCCACGAAAAGCATGTAACGAAATAAATGTCTGCCCTATGTGCTTCTTTAATGTGCGGCGTAAAGAGGACATAACCTCCATCAGTGCGCAGGAGAAATATCACGGACACGGTACGGACACGGTACTGATACATCTGAATGGTTCATGCGATGAATTCTATTTACACCCGTAATGTCAGTCGCGACTCGCGACCAGCGTGCGCTGTCATGACAAGAGACAAAAGAAGGCAACCAATCGCTCGCCTATGTACGATCCTGCGATCCAAGGATCTACCGGATCAACCTCGTCCAGGACCGATGTCGGGGGAGGAGGCTCGTCCCCTGCCGGACCCGGTGCCCCGGAGGATGGAGGAGGCCCTGGAGCTAATCAACTCGGCCAGCCTCAGGATCGAGGACTGCGCCGTCGAATGGCAGGCCCGGGTGTCTCGCCGCCAGTGGCAGGAACTAGAGGCTAAGGCGGTCCCGAAGGAGTCCTGGGAGCGCTCCGTCCTAGCGCGCACCTACTTCCTGGACGAGACCCTAGATCGAGCAATGCGAGCCCTCCTGGCCTCGGAGAAGGCCTTTGCCGAGCGCCTAGCCGAGTTTCTCGGTGAGATCCCGGTCATCCCCGAGTCCTACCTCAGGATCTAATCCCAGAGTCTGACCCGAGTCGTCCCCAGGTCTCCTGCGAGGCGAGGAGCCGGCAAAACGGCCGGAGAGACAGACTCGCGACGCGAAATGCCAGTGCCCATCCGAGGACCTCGGGCCTCCAGCTTGCGTCCGCCGCTCGTTCGCTGACCTGGTCGAGGCGAAGATCGGGTTCGACAACAAGTTCCTGGGCTTTGGAGCCCTCCTACGTGCGGATAACACTGCTGGTTCTAACGCAAACGCGACTGCAACCGCTTGTCCCTGCCAGATCTGCTCCAATGTCCCGGTAAGTCCTAGATGTCCTCGATCAGACCTCGAAGATACCCAAGTTAGCCTGATTCCATGGTCCAGGATGAGCACCAGGGCACCATACAGCGGGAAGTGACGATCGCAAAGTCGCCTAGACGACGAGTTGTCAGGAGGCGTGGGAGAAGACGGGTAGCTCCCTTCAAGGCCAGGAGCCCGAGGATGGTGCGGTCCTCTCCGGAGGCTGGAAACGACCGGGCTGCCTCTGTCATCGTAATTGGGCAGCCAGGAAGCCCTAGGGCTGCCCGGTAAGCCTTCCTCCTGCAGGCCAGGGTGCGTTTTAAACGCCTCCTTCTTCCAGGGATGTCGATTGATGGTCCAGGGTGGCGAGGTGTGACGTCCGTCCTGATGATGGGTGTCCTGGGTCCTGGGTTATCGTGACCGTGCATGGTCTCGGGGCCTTGGCGACATGGAAAAACTCTGAGCTTGTAATTGACAAGAGACATCGATTAATTTATTTAGATAAAACGTCTTAAAATGAATACTCGTACAATTAATATCGTTAATAAGCAAGCGTATCACTCGTCGAGGCACTCCGTTCCTCGTCGATGTCGCATCAACGATTCCTTCATATCTTCGCCCGGGGGAGGCTAATCTAGTCGAGGTGTTTCCGAGAGACTCGCCGCTCTCGTGCTTGTCCTCTTCAAAGTACGTGGGTCGAGGTACTCGACCGGGTTCGCTAACGCTGCAAAGTCGAGGGGTGGTGGAGCGTGTCGGGGCTTCGGAAGTGTCGAGGTCGACGGCGATTCTTGGTCTTCGTTTTCCGGCTTCACCTGAACTCGTAGATCTGTATGCTGTGCTCCGGGACGTGCCTCAAGTTCAGGGACTGATACCTGCAATGAAGTTGATGAAGAATTGTGCAACGAAGAGAATTTTCTTAAGGCTTCGATGAAATTCTAGCTTTTTTCAGGATCCACATGATTTAAGTAGTTTGATTAAAAATAATAATTATAATCTACTGACTCTTAACGATTAAAATCAACCTTGTTTTCATTGGGGAATTTACCATTCGGAACTGCGATGGTAGTAATACCCCTGAATTGATGAGGCTGACTTTTGGAAGCAGATATAGTAAAAGCCTGCAAAGGAGGCGCCGTTGATATCTTTGATTCTGTGGTCCGGAACCAGGAAATGCTCCTTCCACCTCATAAATACGAAGTCCGTTCCCTTCAGTGCTTCGTAATCAAATGTGTCCGAATTGAACGTCTTGGCGTACCGACAGAACGACTCGAATTTGCTCTGCAATCGCAAATTATCCCAGTTAACCTTGATCGCAGCCTTATCTCAACTCCTGAAAGCGATACAAAGTTCAAGGACGAACCCAATGCTTCTTATCGACGTCTTCGTCGGCTTCCCACTTGCGAGTGAGGAAAGGATATTTCTTGGAGATGATCTCACCGTCGAAGAATGTTGTCAAAGTTGGAAACTCTTCGGTGAGACCCTTGATCTTCAGATACCCGCAGAGGTAACTGTTCTCCTCGTCAATGTGCTATAAAGAGAATTAAAAACAAATTCATTGCGTTACAATGATGAGCTAGACTCATTCAGCTAGAATGTTTCATCATTAAATCAAAGCGCACAGGGTTAAGAGGAAACTTAGTTAGTTCGGTATTACGCATCAATGGAGGGAACGAATGGCAGATGTCCAGGAGCTTCGCTCTAACCTGCAAAACAACCTCCACGTCGTAGCTGTTGCCCTTAGATTTTTGTGAGCCCTGGAACCTCGAGCCGTTATAAAGGAGAGACTTGGTGACACCCGGCTGCTTCGAGTTCGCGGGCGGTGGCGGTACCACGTCCACCTTGACCGGCATCCTCTCTCGCCTTTCTCGCGCCGATCTTCGCCCTGGAGCGAACGCGTTAATCTCGGTCGGCGACGACGGCCGACGTCGTCCTCGTTCTCATCTCACGACTCACGGGGACCAGGGCCCTTGGGGCCTGGGAGTCATCCTCGACGAAGACGGGCTTACCCCGGACACCTGGTCGTTCGAGCGCCCTCTATAGGGAGATGTGCCCGATATGCGTCACCCGGACGACCCGGACGGCTCTGGTCAATGGCGACCGTTGGACAGCCTTCTCGACTCTTCTACCAACCGGAGCGGCTGGTCTCGGCTGCGGATCTCGTTGATAGCTGTGGAGTCGCGAAGAAATGGTTAACCCTCGCTTTCCGGGGCCTGTCGGGCTGCTGTTCGGAGCTGCAGACGTGAACCGGGTGCTTCGAATCGTCTGCCACCTAACGAAACGGGTTGCCGCTGGTGACACGGAGTGCGGACGACTGACGACGACCCTGACACACCATCGCCGTGGATTGCAGGGAAGGTAGATCAGGAGACCGCTTACTGAGAGTGTTGCTGGTTCAGAGTGCGCGTGGAGGAAGTTCCACTTTAAACTTCCACTTTAAACATCCACTTTGAAGTTCCACTTTGAAGTTCCACTTTGAAATTTCACGTGGAAATTCCACTTTGTTTTATTCTTTCGACTTAACACTATTTAACTACCAATGTTATAATTACTAGAGGTCGATTTTGTATTCCTGGTAAGAGTGCTCACTTCTCGCATTTTCACCTCATTCGTATTTTTACGCGTGAGTGAAGTCGCCATGAGAATTTTCACTTGCGCGCACTGCGCAGGTCCAATATGGCCGAACCGAGCGACCGCGGCGTCCGCCGACTCGCGGATTTCGCTGTGCACGAGTACTCGCGTTTGCCTGCGTTTGCCGTTGCGAGTGTCGTTATTCGATTGAGTTCACGGACTTACATGAACGCGTACGTATTGTGCAGGCGGATGGGCAATATTTGCGTAGCAAGGTTTGTTTAGTGCACTCAGGGTCCGCTGTGATAAACGCGTTCGTGCCGAGGAACAAAACACTCTCGCCAGGTCGGAGCATGTCAGGGACGCAGTGGCAGGCTGGCCTCGTCTTGGTCACCGAGGATCGCGGAAAGTGAGTTAGACACGATCACTGCAGCTGTGGTTCGCCCGTCAGTGCTTGGCTGGACTCTACGTCCAGGAACTTCGAAGCAGCGCGTCGAACGAAGATGGCGGACACTGCCGCCGCCGCCGTTGTCGTCGCTGACGCGAACACCAATTCTCACGAGGTCTCCGAAAATCACCTCCCTAGGAAGGGCAACGACCAGTGGGTGCGACTCAACGTGGGAGGAATGTATTTCCTGACGGCCAAGACAACCCTCGCTAGGGATCCAAACTCCTTTCTCTATCGGCTCTGTCAAGAGGACTCCGATCTCATCTCCGATAGGGTTAGCTTTGATTTGCACTCCTCTGTGCGTAGAGAACGAGGTATTAGGTTGAACAGAAAGTTATTGTAATTATTGTTGTTTATGATGTTTCATGCCACATGTATTACCGATAACGCTTTACTTTAACCTTGGTTGTCAGCAATCAAATTTATTCCTATCTCATCTTTAATTATCACTGTCTCATCTTGAAGCGCTTTAAAATGGTATATAATATGGATGTGGATGGACAATTTTATTTAGAAACAATACATTAAGTCTTGTAACGACTGTAATAACTTTCTGGACAATCTGACACAATTATATTTAAGCTTTTGAATTGTCCTTACAGGATGAGACCGGTGCGTACCTCATAGACCGAGATCCGACTTACTTCAGTCCAGTTTTAAACTATCTACGCCATGGCAAGCTGGTTATTAATAAAGACCTAGCGGAGGAAGGGGTCCTGGAGGAGGCAGAGTTTTACAATATCACCGAACTCATCAGACTGGTGAAAGAGAGAATCATCCTCAGAGATGCACGGCTGCTGCGCGATTCGAAGAAACACGTCTATAGAGTTATTCAGTGTAACGAGGATGAATTAACGCAAATGGTATCCACGATGTCGGATGGCTGGAAATTTGAGCAGGTAGGTTTTGAAAAAGATATTAACCTTTTTATTACTTAAAACAAAAAGAAAGAAATTGCTTACTTCCTTAAATAAGCTAACATTTTCCGTATCATCTGGTAAAAAAGTTGTGTTATGAGATATCCCGTCGCAAGTGACAATAAAGGTTAAGGAATCCAGATTTATTCTCTGTTCTCTGTTGCAGCTTGTCAATATAGGCTCGCAGTATAATTACGGAAATGGCGATCATGCCGAGTTTCTGTGTGTGGTGAGTCGAGAGTACGGACCGAGTCAATTAAGCAGTAAGGAACAAGAGTCCACCGATCGTGTAAAGGTACCGATAGCTTGTTCAAACGTAACGCACTCCCATTCCAGTCGAAATAATAGCAGATAATATAGCATTTATTACTCCCTTGCACCGTCAACGACGACCGCGGGGCATCCACCGAAGATCGGCGGTTTACTTTCGAAATCTACCGGAATCGTGGACGAGGCGATTTCTCATATTCTTATCGTATCACCACTGCACGGTGCGTTAATTTAAACATTCTTCTGCCAAAAAGCAGTTTTCTTCGATGATTTAAAATACGTTTCTATTTCTCAGCTTTCTACGTCCTACTATATATTAAATGAAATGTAGAAATGTATTTTTGGCAAAAGAATAATTGAACTCGACCCACTGTGCACCGGATAGGTTATGTTAAAACGCGTAACCGACCTCGCCGCTCAAGTTATTATTCCACTAGGCCGTAGTGCGTAGTCTCCTGCATGAGCATGCCATTCCCAATATTTTGACATGTTGTCATTCGTTGCCACCACCCACACCGTTGTTCCATTGTATACCACAGCCATGCCATCGTACCAGCGTACTACCACTGTCGTTGTCTTATTCGTCGTCGTTATTATTGTAAACGCATGCGGTTAAGCGAATAAAGGATTTTTTTCTACCAACCGTTGGATTCCTCTCCTACGCCATGCATGATCCACGCTGCATGTTATGTTATAATTATTTGTCCGGTGCATCGTTTCCGAGCCGAGTGTCTTGGTGATAGCGAATTGTGATAGATCGTTGTACCTCTATCTACGGCGAATGCTCCGCGGCCTTGCGAACGGTGATAACGACGCCAGAAAAATACTCATCGAAGAGTCTGGGAACCTCTCGGAGGAAATGATTTTTTATTTATTTCAAGGAATTATGATTCTTCGACAGCCCTACACTGAAAACCCTTGCATCCAATTTATTTGAGTTTATTTCGCATCCCCTTAAGGGAGAACTTTCATTTTTATTTTATTTTATTTTATTTTTGAGCGCAGCGCGAATAAGTGCAGCTCAGCCGCAAAGCGCTACCAGTAATCGGCCATAAAATGGACATTCGCTTGGATTTTCTAGGTCCTGCAGCAGAAGGGCTCGCGCATGTAAACTCTAGTCCCGTTTCCTTATTCCATCCCCCTCGAGCTTCGGCCGAAAGTTCTTGGCAGCCGGAAAAAAAAGCGAGACACCAGAAGACTTAGGCCCTGCCGATTGTCATTTCGGAGCCGAATTCGCGATAATATCTCGAGGGACGATCACGTAGACCGAGCGATCGCGTCGAGTGCAAGGGAAAGGAGAAAAGCCAAGGGAAACGAAACCTGGACATTGGAGAAAGCTACACCGAAGTACAGGGAGGACCACGAAGAACCAGGACCAATCGAGGGACGCGAGGGTGCATTTAAACGAGAACGAAGACCGACATCTCTCTCTCACTACGTTTATAATTTCCTCTTTCCCTCTCTCTGTTTCCTCATCTCGAGCTTCTGCGACTAAACGCCCACCTAGGAGTCTAGATTCGTCGTTTCTTTTGCACCGAATTGTACAAAAGTCGAGCCTCGTTTATGACTCCTCGCAGGTACTGCGCATCTCTATTGTCTCGATCTTTCTCTCTATATCGAGGTTTCTTCGGGTTAGCTGCAATTCTCCACTTCGTGTACACTCTGGGTGGAGCTTGGTGTTCAGGTTACGGGGCGCGTAATCACTATTTTACACCTTTTTTAGTACAAACGTGCAGGACTTTCCGCACTTGGCCGCGAGATGGCGCAATTAGCCGTGGGAAGATTAATTCGAACGTGTGGACACTCGTGTGAAGATATTGTTCGTGGAGATACACTTTTGTACTTCTCTTGTAAAGTGTGGTGCAGTCGGTTGCACTGAAGTGCAGAATATGCAGCTAACCCGAACAAACCTTATATATATCTCTCTCTAACAAGGGGAATATATCCCAGATGTACCTGATCGATTTTATTCGTTCCAACTTTGTACCGTATCGGAGAACAAGTTAACACTTTTTCTTATAATACCCTTTTTATATGCACTAATTCGCGAGTTTGAGTGACATTTCATGGGTGACAGGACCTTCCTTGTGTTCTCCATGTTTACGTTGTAAAGTTAGAAACAATTCGATACATCCAGTTCGTAGGAAAAGTTTCATGATCTTCTTCTCGGATGCCACTTGCGCATCCCCTTGATCTCGAGAGTCGGCACCTATATAGAAAATGAGAAATATAGGTTTTTAACGTACAATACGACATGTCGGAATCTAGAAAATCGGCAAGATACACCTGGGGATATTTTCCTTGTAAGATGTAAAGGGCGCTCCCAAATATCTCGTACTTTGAGTGACTGCAAACTGAGCCGTAAGAATTGCCGTCGACGCCATCTTGAATTTTCTGCAACATCAGAGCAGCCTCTTGTTACGGCTCATGTCCACGTGTAACGCGCGAATTTATTAATAGTACGCGAGCATAGTTGATATCGCTCTGGCAAGAAATATCGCAAGTTACTTGCACGTCGACATGAGCCCATACACTTACCTTTATGCGAGATATCTGCGAAGGCCTTTACGAGCCGTGAACGAGTCTGCGTGTTTACTTACCTCTGCACTGCCGCTACGTAAAAACATAAAATGGGTCGCGAGCGCGCGAAAGTCTCTCGCGGATAGGGAATAAAATGATTAGGTTAAGGTAATCTCGCCCGTCGAGTCATTCGAACCGCCCTTTTCTGGTCGAGGCGATGGCACACGCCGTACTTAATAACGTTCCCCGTGTCATGGCCTCCGTCCCCGTATCATCAAAGTGTCATGGCGGCCGCGTCGCCCTGCGAACGGATTTTCTTACGAGTTATACGAGTTTTACGAGTTATAAGCAAACCTGGCCGAGTGTCACCCTCCGATTTTTATGAAATTTTACAGTTTTCCACGTTTTTAGAGCTATCTCTTTACTTTTTACAATGGCGGGAATTTAGGATTTCTGAAAGGACTATCCCAAGGAGCGAAGGGATTGGATGTAGTAAAGCGCCCCAATGTTTGGATTTCTAAATTTTAAATTTTGATTCTAGTTCAGAAACACAGAGAATGATCAAAACACAATTTAGAACATTCTGTCGTAGAAATTATTCAATTGAAAATGGTTTTATTCGAAAATTATTCCGCGTATATGAGACGCCGCCATTTTGAATTTCGTATTTTTAACTTTCGGCTCAGTTTTAGTGACATTAGAAACTACTTTAGATCATTTTATCGCGTGTGAATATTTGTTTCAATGGGATAACGATAACGGCGTCTGTCGCGTTACGTTGTAAAAAATCTTGTATTTGCTTCGATATCAAAATTGAATCGAAGGGAGGAACCCTTCCAAAGGGTCAGTCAGGATCGGAGAGCATTCGGAATGGTTCGTTACACTAAATGCCAGACACATGCGAAGGAAGGGCGTCGGTTTGAACAACACAAGATGCGACGGGTAGTTAGTCGTTTGTATTTGTTGTACCATAAAATAAATAAAGACTTTGTTGTACATCTTCGATCGTTCATGCGATCCAGTGCAGTCGCCACGGGCTCTCGTCAATAGAGATGCACCGAAGCCTCGCGAATTTACTCGCGACTTATCTATGAGTCGATATCTCGCACTTTACGGCATACTCGCGATAGTTTTTAGTGGCTCCTCCAAGTACTTCGCCAGAGCTTGGGCTTTCTCTCGGAGGATGCCGAAGCCAACGTCTCCCCTAGCGTAGAGGCACAACAACAAGTTGGCTACTTCGGTGACGACGACCTTCCCTTCCTGAAAATGATACAGTCTGCGGTATTAAGAAAAAGTCAATGGTGACAATGTAGTGATCGCTCTTACGGCTCGTGTCCCTGTGCAACTGACTTGCGACATTTAGCAAGACATGTCGTAAGTTACTTGCACGTGGACTCGAGCCATTAGGAATCGTCGATCGGAGGAAGCTTTGAAACTAAACGATCATGCTAGGAATGTAAAAAGAGCACTACCGCACAATCCATCAAGACAAATCGCAGCTCGTCCTCCTTGAACGCGTTTCGTCCGTTTTTCTCGTAGGCTGACCAGATATTGCTAGTTATAGCAGCTGTCACTCTTGCGTCTTTATGCCCGTAACCACTGTACGCCAATAATCCACCGTCCTTACTCAGCAACCTGTAAGGTTAAAGGGAAAGGACGCCCGATCGCGTAGAAAAGGCGAGAATTAATCGAGACTGGACGCCACTTGACGTTTTTACGAAAATTCGGAATTTCTTACAAGGTATTCTCGACGCCTCCTGTGTTCGCTCGGGTCAGCACTTCCATAAGAGCTCTGGGCTTCAACATCGTGTTTTGCGCCGATCTTCACGATTTCCGATTACTATTCCGCCGTCCGCGTGACGGCCGAGAAACGCGGAATACTCGTTTCCGGGTCCGCGTCTCCCGAATTCGCGTCAATTCTATACTATCGGCGACTATCGGCAGTCCTGGTCGAGAAACTCGGGACATCTCGTCGTCCGCCATTTTCTTGTCGATTTTGGGACCTCGGCGGAGTCGCCACTTCGCGGAGAATGGTGGAACCGCCTTACGAATAAATAACTCATGGTAACTCTAACATACCACCAGATACTTGAATAGGGTTACCATCGCTTAAGCGTTACCGTGTTCCAGGTATTGCCGCGAGATGGGGCCACATCTCGATTCGAATTAACTCCCGCCCTTTTCGAGAAAGCGCAAGAAGAAAGGAGAAGAAATCGAGGGAAGCGAGTGAAATATGTATCCCGGCTCGGGAAATGGAGGAAAGTCGAGGTGATCGATGCCCTGTCAACTCGAGATACGTCGGAGAGGTTAGCGTTTCTCTCGGTGAGCCCTTTCGAGACAGAGGTGCAATCCAACATGGCGACGCGGCGCGGGTAAGATGCGAAGGGGTTGCGAGGATCGAATTGTCACGCTATCCGGTCCTCGCAGCCTAGGACGACGAGAAAGAATCTCTTTAATCGAGGGACGCCGCATTTCTCGCGACTCGCTCTCGCAGTCTCCTTGAAACGTAACCAGGCTGCGAGATGTTCCGGTTCTTTCGGCCCCCACTCCCTAGAGGGCCGGAACGCCGCTTGGAACATCTGGAGAAAAAATCAGGTTTGTGAATTAAAAGTAAGAAGAAAAGGCTTTGAATCATATCTAACTTAAAATTTAAACTAAAAACTACTTACCTTTGGCATGCCGAGCTTCCTTTCAGAGGCAATCGTGTAGGCCAACCAAAATGGAACCTGTAAGGCGCCAAACGCGAACAAGGTCCAGCCGGCAGCTAAAAAACGTTAAGAGGAAATAATTAGAAAGGATTATCATTCATTTATCTTTGATCCATGGGAGGAAATATAAGGATGGATACTTACCGTAGGCGCTTTCAGGATAGAGGACCCCGCCGTGGGTGAGAGGGTGCAGGTCCACCAGGGTATAGATAAAGATAACCCCGAGCAGAAGAGGAGTGACCAGACCCCAGCAAAGTCGCCAATAAATCCCAGGACGACGACCCAGCATGAATTCCACGTCGTCCAGGAAATTCTCCAGCCCGTAGATCCAGATGATCCCGGTGACTTCAAGAGTTGCCAGGAAGAAGATGATGAAGGAGCCCGCGTAGTAGTCGACCAGGTTCAGCACGAACTGACCGCCCTGCGAGGGAGATAAAAATAGTTATTAATTTCAGAAGGAGGTGAGGAACTTGAAGAGGTAGATTTAATGGCATACTGGAGTGCAGTAGACCGTCCCCAAGGCGAATCCGGTGATCGACGTGGCCAGGGCCACTTGCCAGTACTTAGTTCCGCGAAACTGGTCGCAGATGATGCTGACGATGGCTCCAGCTAGTGCCACGGCGCTGCCGATGCCCAGAACGTAGAGCATCAGGAAGAAGAGCACCGAGAAGAACTGGAAGAAGAGGCTTAGCTTCTGTAGGAACTCTTGCAGGAAGACTGGACTAGGTCATACCTGCGGCGCCACGGTGAATTTTGCTATCGCATCAGGGTAGGAAACGAAGGCAAGCCCTGTTCCACCTCGCACCACCTTGCCTACATCGTCGACACCCATCTCGTGGGCCAGGTTGCCGAGGACCCCGAAAATTGTCACGCCAGCCATTAAGCTGGTGAAGGTATCCAGGGTAGTTACTACAAGAACATCCCTGTGGAGATAAAACTGCAAGTGAAGCCATCAACGAGAAATTTCTTGGACGGAGGATATCTATACCACGAAGTAGTATAAGGAGATATATATCCCTAGGTGAAAAAATCGGGAATTATTCTGGGATTAGTCCTCACCTGTAGATGTTATGTCGGAACTCGTTGTAGGAGGCGTACATGATGACTCCTCCGAAGCAGACAGAGAGGGAAAAGAAGCACTGGGTAACTGCGGCGTACCAAACCGCAGGATCGAGCAATTTGGACCAGCGAGGTCGCACAAAGAAGGCGATGCCGTCCAGGGCACCCTCCAGGGTGACGGCTCGAACCAGCAAGCCAATCATCACTACGTAGGGGAAAATGGCGAGGAAGTAAGCAGCCTTTCCGGTGCTTTTAACGCCTCTAGCCAGGACTGCGAAGATGCAACTCCAAGCGATCAACAAACCCAACATCAGCCGCCAATCTGGCAGACCAATTCCATCCGAGATGTCCGGCTTCTCACGCAAAACCGTCCTCCTGTAGAAGGGCGAGAAGTCACCGGATTAGTCTTTAAGAAATTTCGCGGGGAATGAAGCTCTACACTGACAATTAGTAAAAGGCAAGTTTCCATTGTCAATAGGCACGCAAGTGAAATTGTATTATGTTAAGGAATAAGTTCGCACCGTTGTTAACGTAACAACGTAATTAAAGCGGCGGGAACTTATTCCTCAACCGAATTGAACTTCGCTGCAACGAAAGATGCCTTTCCTTTATGTCGAGCTTCACCCTCGAGATGGTATCTTCCATCGCTTTTTTTCAAAGCAAGAGGACAGACGAGCTTGCTGCATTTTCCGCGTATATTTTCCGTGTGTATTACATTCCATCAGGAAACATTTCCTTCACATCAGGTGCGCGATACGCAACGTGCATTATCCCGCTCGTGTATTCCATTCTCAGAAAACATTTGTTTCACTTCAAGTTGTGCGATAAACACACGTTTATCCGCCCGCGTATTCCATTCTTAGGAAACATTTGTTTCACATCAACTGTGCGATACGTAACGTACGCTTTTATTTATATATTCATTCCATTAGCATTTACTTCACGTCCAGTGTGCGATACACAACGTGGGTTTTTTTCCATTTGCGTACTTATTCGATAAAAAAAATATTTGTTTCACTTCAGGCAAGCAACACACGACCTGCACCACGTCTGACCTCTTCTGGAGCCAAGAAAGGAACGAGGACTTCACTCACAGGAAATACAGCTCCGCCGAGCTGAAGACGCGGTCCAAACCGGAGCGGTTCGCCCGCGATACGGAAGAATCGACGCAGGAATCCCCCCACTCGGGCTGGCAGGTGGACCAGGGTAGAACGGAGCTGAAGCTGCCCACCATGTAGAATAAAGTCACCCCCATAAGGGAGCAGTAATAAGTGCCGACCGCCACCATGGAAAAGGTCTGGCCCCAGCCGACGCCCTTAAACCCAGGAACCGCCGACCACACCTTCACCGAGGACCTGCTGCTGAACTGTCCCAGGATCATCTCCAGGTAGTAGAAAGGCTTGCCCACAAGGAAGAGCACCACGACGTAGGGCACCAGGAAGGCGCCTCCACCGTTTTCGTACGCGGTGAACGGAAACCTCCATACATTGCCGAGACCGATCGACATAGCGACGCAGGACATCAGGAACTCGGTGCCGTTCGCCCAGGTCTTCCTGGAAGATGGCACCAGCGGGGGAGTAGCCTCCCCGACGAGGGCCGTGCTCGTCAGGCTCTTCGAAAGGACTCCTGGACGCCCATCGTCGTCCAGGAACCCGGAGTTCTCTCTTCCCAGAGGCGGATGGGCTGTGGATCGAGCACTGGTCCAGCCGTTCCCGGTGGAGGTGCTCGCCGTCGTTCCCGTCGCATTCACTCGACCTAGCTCCATCCTCGCGTTCCAGCGCGACCTGGCGCGCACCTTCCCCGAGTCTCAGCGCGACCTGTCGCGCGCCTTCCTCGGACTTCGGCGCGACCTGAAAGAGTCCCACCGCGGGCGTTCTCGTCATTTAAGTAGTCTCGGCCAGAACACCCGAGGCCGCCCTCGGAGAGAGCCGTCGTCGGGGCAAGCGCGCATCCTAATCTCGCGAGCGAAAGTCGGCCCTCCTCGGAGCGAGACCGATCGCTGTCCGAGGAATGTCGGTGTGTTGTTGCCGGTTATGTATTACAACACCGCGCAAACATCGCGCAATAATCGCCGTCGCTGTAGACCGCGCCGGGAACACTTTAGCACGCCTACGGTACCGCCGATCAAGTCGTTCGGATCTAGGAGTCGAGTTTGTACCTCGAATGTACACCGAGAAAAATTCCGGTATACAACGCTTTGCAAGAAGTATGATATACAACGACGGAAAGAACGAATAAGCTCTACGAGTTGTATCCTTTCCTTCCGCGGTTGTATTCTCTTTTCTTATTGTTGTACGTACCAGACGCTATAGCAAATGATGTTAACTAAGCGCCGTACTAAATGTTGTACCAAACGATGTTAACCAAGCGTTGTACCAAACGATGTTAACCAAGCGACGTACCAAGGAATTGTATCAAACGACGTAAACCATGCGATGTACCCAACGATGTGAACCAAACAAGCACCGAGGACTCCCGGAGACGACGATCGCTTACCTCGCGAGCTCGGCCGAGATGACTGCGGATCGACTTGCGAAACTTGTAAAAATGCGCCGGTAACGCGTTCCGTAAATCGATTCGCGTGAGTCCGGTTGCGTCACCGGTCCTCGCGGAACTCGAGGAAACTCGGTAACCGGGAAAAAGCGATACCGCCGCCCCGAGGGGACCGGGAAGTCCCCCTCGGAAGCGGACGTTCTTTTGTCAGCGCCTGACGCGGCGACCGCGCGTCTTATCCGAACGTGCTCGGAAGTAATCTCAGCGGATTCCTCCGGTGGTCTTTCTTGATCTCTTTCGCGGACGGACCGTGCTCCGAGGCCGACAACCAGTTATCGTCGGATCGAGCCGGTAATCTTGGAGCTCCCTTTCACCCGGGGTCCGATTCCGTCGAGGCGACCTTCGCCTTCGCCAAAGCGTCGATCGACGGGGTGTTCTCGGGGAGCGATCGAAAGTCGATCGTGGTAGTGGTCTTTCTGTATCTGTATCTGCATCCGTATCTTTGTTATACTTCAACAATGTTAAGCCACACACCATGGGCATGGCGCCGGTTTCGGCGATAGACAAAAACGGGGCGAGGGAACCCTTCGGGAATCTCGGTTCGACCTAGGGAACTTTTTCGTTCCTGGAGTACCTTGCGACGTGTATAAATATCTCTCAGACAATACTAGCTAGCGTAAACATCGTAAACCGATTCTTATCATTCGCTCCGTGCGTGCAGTCCATCCATATCCGTCGCGAAATGCTTTTTCAGGTGATAACCACGAATTAACCGGTGTTTGGCCAGTCGTCGAATGAGTTAACGACAGAAATCGCGCGCAAGGCCCCTCGAGCGATTCTATTGTTCGACTCGTCACCTGTCGACGGTCTAGGAAGAGCTTACATCCTTTTATGGCGTCATAATCGAGTTTCGGCCTCCATCAAAGATACAATTATTGTTAGCCTGTTAACCGCATCGTTTCCACCGCTCACTTCGTGATTCACGTGTGACCCTGTAACGCGTGCGTATTGCGTAAATATGAAGAAAAGAGAGACAAAAAAAAGGAACAGAAAAGGAGTACGCATACTAATGAGTCGTAACGAGTGCGTAATCCGGAATATCGTTCCTTTTATTTGCTCTAATAATAATTTGAGCGCCTCGGTGATTTCAATGCTCGATGACGGAGTACCGGCAGGGTTGGGCGAGTAAAATGCCCTAGGTAATTTACGTAATTCTTTTTTTACTGTAAATTACTAGGCATTTTACGTTACACGTCTCAGGTGATGTAAATTACATTAATGCGGGACTTTATGTTACCTTCATACCAGAGAGAAGATGAGTAGCCACGTCCCCTAAAGACAAATGATGTTTCATGAGTCTCAGGACCTACTTTATGGCCTCCACATTTCCGTGGTGAAATTTGTAACTAATCGGCACATACACCCAATTCGGGAAGTACTTTCCCATGCGATTTGACCTCCCAGATGTATATAGCCTCTTTCGTATCATGATATATGTAACAAAGTGCCGAGTAAATAAGGGTTAGGTGTTCGCGTAATTGACCCAGGCTTAAGGTTTTCTTTATTCTATATTTCGCACTGTAAATAACTCCGAACTGATAGAAACTCGATAGCATTAAAAGGTAGGCGGCGCAAGGCTTGAGCACGTCGACCACCGTGTCTGTGACTTTACTTAGCCACTGATAACTCGGACACACAAAGAATCCTCTAAGACTCTGGTTTAAAGGCACGTGAATCCTCTATACACTGTAATAATATATAGACGCAGTCGACGTCGCGATCGATCGAGGCGACACCTTGTAGTTCGTCGCGACGATGGCATACTGTACTCAGTTATTACACTTTAGCTTAATACTAACGTTATCTCTGGACGGACTCTTTAAAGGCGTGAGCTAGAGCGCAAAACACACACACCGACTCGACAATTTCCACCAGTGTGCTGACACCACCCTAACTCTATTTGAGAACAATTCACAGAACTTGACAGTTAACGCTAGAAAGGGTTCGACGCAAAGCGGAGGAGAGCCCGGAGAACTTATGGTGAAGTGAAACACGTCGAGGAACTTAAAAGTCGGTAAAAAAGAATCTTCTAAACACCAACCTTGCCGACGTTCGCTTTTTATACCTCTGAGCCATCTGTGATTTCCGTGTCAACTAAATTTTCACTCCGAGGCCTCGTGTTACCGTCGTTTTAGCATAGCAGCGCATAAGACACTTTTTTAGACTTTATTCCGTTAAAATGCGAGTTTCTCGATTAACAGAGTGCCGTAAATTCTTGTACAATTCCTAGGAGCTCACGAGTCATGTGTCAAAGTTTCGGACGGATATTCAATACCCTTAAAAAAAAAAAGTGTCTTAGAGTCGACTGATCTGATGAGGGTTTCACTCCACCTTAATCGTGCTTCGACAAGTGGCGGCGTTCCAAGAGGTACAATTTGTTTGGACGGAAATGATCTCCCTTGAAACACCGACGGCCGCATCGAAGCGACGATATAATTGGAACTTTAGCCAGGAATAAACCCTGGTAGTGATTTTGCAGTCATACTTTCTCCTCCGCTTTAAAACTCACCGATGTGCAGAAAGAATTCGTGAAAAAAAAAAAAGAAAGTGGCAGCCCTCGTTGCCAGGAATTCTCGCTGCACTTGGACGTCTCCTGGTTGCTTCTCGATTCGAAAGAAACATTTTGCATTCCTTTTACCGAGACTCGATTGCTGGTTTTGCCCATCGCGCACCTCGATGTCGAATCTGGAATGCCAACCAGGAGGCACCCTTAAAAAAGAGAGACTTCAATCAGGCACCTGACGGTAATCAACCTCGTCCGCTATAATTACGCAGTCCGTCGACGGTACTCGGTCGTTAATACTTTCGATAAGTGAGCTCGTCAATGACCGTGAATACTCGCAATTTCATCCAGACTTCTCGCATCCAGCAACCGGGATTAACGATGAGCAAAATCGGTCTTGGTCTTAGTGTTGCGAAAAGTGCTTCGACCAAGACCGATTTGCAATTGAACTATTAGTAAGTGCCAAACTGTAAGGTGAAGGCTGCAATTGCCCTTTCTGCAAGACCGCAAGGCCAAGTCTTAACTAAATTTTCAAGTCCAAGACCAATTTTGCTCATCGCTAAGTAGGACCTCTTTCATCAGCTGGTTCTTTCCTTTTCAGGGGTACCCATTAAAAAATCCCACTCCAAGCGATCATCCGGTTCCGTAACGAGATTTTCCCTTTAGAGGGAATCCAAGAGAGAGTCCAGAAGGTCCAGCTGATTCTCGTCCCAGCCGACAGTCGCGATCAGCAGTCCCGTGAGGTCGTCCTCGGTAAGGCTGACCTAAAATTAAAGGACTTTTAATTATCCCACGCATTAATTCATTATAAATGTCCACGCAAATGTAATGTCGCGCGAAACTCTGCCGAGTTTCCCAATAGAAGTTAGATGGGACATTAAATAACGGAGTGAGAAATATTAAATATAGAAGGAAATTTAGGCTGACCTGTGTCGATTCAGGGACCTCGGAGAGGCTTTCCGGGATGGGAGGCGAAACGCTGCTGGGAGGAGTCTCATACAGTCCCTGAGGATTCCCTGCTCCTTTGGGGCGGGTGTCCCGGTTTCCTTGGACCCTGGAGAGGATCCCGGTAGACCCTGAAGAGCCCGTTTTCCCGGCTCTGGCCCTCTGCGAGGAGGCGCGTCTTTTCGAGCGACGACCTTCTTCCAGTCTGTCCAAGTCCAGCTTCCAAAAGCCACCTTTTCCTGGCTCGTCCTTCGCCCTGGGCAGCTTGACGAAGCACTTGTTCAGCGACAAGTTGTGGCGAATCGAGTTCTGAAAGATATGGAATTAAGTCTTGGCCTTGCCTTCTCCTTTCGTTCAAAAGAAAAAGCAAATAATCGATGTATGTCGCGATTGTAAAATTCGGCGTTTTTTAAAACGCGACTGGAAGCACATTTACCTGCCACGCAGGGTCCGCCTTCTTGTAAAACGTGAAGTTCTCCCTGATCCATCTGTAGATGCTGGACAGGGTCAACTTGTTATCATTGGCCCTCATCGCGAGACAGATCAACGTTGCATAGGAGAAGGGAGGCTTCGCGTCGGCATCCCGTCGATACTTTTCAGCGTTCTCCGCAAGGTCTGAAAGACACATCTAACGTTAGATAAAACAATCTTTTCGACATAGCGAACGATATACCTAGCGTAACATTTATAAATATCGCAGACTAAAAGATGTCTCTGTATCGATGCTTAGATCGTGTCATTTAAGTAGCGATTATCCCTGGAGTAAGAGTAAACCTTTATCGGCGATGTTGTCCTTATCTAAAAGTGGAAATGTCTTATTTTTCTACCCAGTTCCGCCTTGAGCAAGGGCGACATCTTGTTGGGGGCCCGATGTCCGCCCTGGGAGGGCGGTGGAGGAAGTGGTGGAGGTAGCGGCGGCGGGGGCGACTGCTGCTGGGAAAACGGCGACGGTGAACGCGGGGGTGTCGGCAGGTTCGACACGCTGGTGATGTCCAAAGACTGGAGCCAGGAGAGGCTCGTCAGCTCGGGTTCCTCGGCCTCGTTCGACTGGTCCATCCTGGCCGGAAGAGGACTCCCGTCCATCGTCTCTCGCCTCGCCTTCATCGTCCTCGGTCGCTCCTGGTCATCCTCTGGGTCCGAATCCTGGAAGAAACCAGACTACGTATAAGTACAGTGGTATTTACATATTGTATACTCTCGTACAACGCGAATATCGCGGTCTTGCATTTTTATTTTTTGCGAGACTGCACAACAAATATTAATTTTTTATCATCATTAGTAGGGTCATCTATTCTCGACGGGGACGTCGACCGGCACGTCACGACGAAGCGGGATATCTCCGAGGTCCGGATCGATAATCAACGACGGGGGACACTCGGCACGTGGCCTCCACCTTGCACCTGCCAGGGGACCAGGGGGGTCCGACCCCCCACGAATCTGCGTTGGCGGATGCCCCAAAAAGCTCTGCTGATTTTCTATCACCTCGTCCTGGATATCGCTCGAGGTATCGGTCGAGGCATTCCAGCCCTACGAGGCTTCTTCAGGGTCTGGCAGCGACTACGAGCAAACATCGGTCCCGAGGGGGCGGAGGCCCCATAAAATATTCAGAAGAATCGATCCCAGGCCTCGGCTCGAGTGTTCCCGGCGAGCAGCCTTGACCTCTGCTGCGAGTGTCCGGCTTCCTGGAAGAGCTCGGGGAATGACGAGCCGAAGAGTAACCATAGGTCGGCGACGAAGAGCTTGCTGCGACCCGGCGACGTCGACGCGACGACTTCGGCGACGCAATTTCTCTCCATTAGCAGCTCGACCGAAGGAATCGATATTCGAGGTTCCCCACTGGTTCGCGTGATAACGCGGCTCGGCGAACCCGAAGAGCGTTTCTGCAACTCCCCGAAGATATTCCTCAGGGTAACTATCATCCCGTGAGAGGTATGGGGATCGTTCCTGAAGTCGACGCTATTATCAAACCTTGGGTATATCATCTTCCTATGATAATGCAACTTTACGTGGCGACGACGAAGAGCTATCCTGCGACTCACCGAATCTACGTCGGGGGTCGGGGTACCTCCTGGTTCCTATCTCCCCATAGAAGGCAAGGGACCCATCGACGTTGCCGATGAACGTTGGGGTCTTCTATTCTTTCTTGGATAACGCAAAAGGGAAGGGAGCGCCGACCCTGCCGGAGAACCTTAACACTATCGGTGAACGTCGGCACTATTGGGTAACGTCGATTCTTTGATGGGTCTCCCCAGGTCGTCGCAGGTACTGGTTATGGGAACCCCCTGGAGGAGTGTAGGACGGGAACTGGATCACGATGCGACGCTTTGGGGCACTCTGGTACCCTCGGGGACGATTGTTGGCCGGACACCTCGGGACCGACAGGTGCGCGACTCGCCTCGCCTCGCCTCACCTCACCTGGGTTCCACCTGTGGGGGAGGAGGAAAACGTTAGAGAGGTCTCGATCGATTCGAGCGAGTCCAACCTGCCCAACCTGCGCAGCTCCTCGTTGGCTCGGCCACTCTTCGAAGGGGTGCACCTGCCCGGGTGGCCGTCGCTCTTCAGGGTCCCTTCGGCTTTCCACCCCCGAAATGTCCCGCCTAATTTATCCCCAGGACACCTGTTCTCCTGTTTGTAAATGAAAAACAACTATATTTTTCTATAACTACTATTGCCTCCCTGGTAGTGTAGTAGGTGGAGGGTCCTCGAGGTAGGTCCTTCAGGGCCCCCTCTTCAGCCCCCGACCCGATAAAACGTCCTTCCTTCCTCCAGGTGGAGTCCACCTCCCGCATACCCGTGCTTCCTTCTGCAATTTAAAAAAACATCTGACTCTCCCATTCTCCGCTATTTCATTTATCCAGAATAGTGAATATTCATTTTAATAGTCATCAGGGATTATTCATCCCTTGCCACTTAGGCCTGGTTCCACAACTCGAGTTAACCGAAGTTTAACTACTAGAGGCGCGGTTTAACCCATGTAAACCTCGTTTACCTCGACTTCTAGAAGCGGTACTACCGTTTCCTCGTTTCGTTATCATCCCCCGATAACGAGGATCGTGCGGGCTCGAGGTAAAGTCGCTTACACCGAGTGTTTTAACGTTGCAGTTTACCGTCACTTTATTACCCTCTCGGTTACAGTGCTTCGACGTCGGTGCAAGCTTGCCCTAATTAAATCGCCGGAACGCGCAACAACAAGGTACTTTGTACTTTGTACTTCGCCTTTCCACCAACCTTTACCAAGTTGTCGCCGCCCTCCCTCCCTCCTCCTACGCGCGGTAACTTGGGAGCGAAACGTTTAAACGAAACACGTCGTATGACCTATGTACAATTGGCAAATTCGGTACCGACTCGCTCGCTGGTCGGCCGGTCACGGGAACGACGGAATCCGCGGCGACGCTGTGTATGTATATGTACACGGATGTGTATGCACGTATGTACATGTGTGAAGGCACGAGCGTGCACGCGTACGCACGTGCAAGTACTCGCATTCGCATATACGGGTCCCCGTGCGACATACGACCTATCGCTTGGAGTGGTTCCTAGTGTGTAAGCCTACTTGCCCGCCTACCTAGGTGGACGCCTTAAGGCGGTACGAAAGGATCGCTCTAAATACTCCAAAACGTCAAAATCCCACTTTTCTCGAAACCGGATGCACCGAATCATTTTAGACTTCATCACATAATTGCGGAGGCCCGGAGGAAGGGCGCGATACTAGTGAAACTTAATTAATAAAAAAAATGTTTATTTTTCCCGAAGAACATGTCTCTTTTTTTTTCTCGAGAAATTAATTTTAGGGAATTTCAAGGCCTTTATGAATCTCTCCGTGATCACGCGCGGAAGTTCCCGACGATTCGGTGCACCCAGTTTGGGGAAAAGTTTAAGATTAACATTAAATTAATATTGAGAATGATTCTTTCGTGACGCCTTAAGGTGGGGCGAAAGTGGCGTCGGAGAGGTCTCGTTTATTAGACTTTCCTTCGAGCTGGGTTAACCGGATCGTCGGAAATTTTACCACGTGAATGCGGAGGCTGCAAGGAAGGTCCTGACACTCGTAGAATTACAATTTTTATTACATTTGTTTACAGATGTTAAAAAAAATTACTTATAAAAAAAAATGATATTTCATGGTCGTCAGGACCTTCCTTGCAGTCTCCGTATTCACGTTGCAAGGTTTAAGACGATTCTGTAAATCGTAATTGGAGAAAAGCTGCGCGAACGAGTTGGATGCCACTTTCGCATCCCCTTAAAATGCATAACGCTCGTTAATACGCGCAAGCGTCGCAAACCAGATACAAAAATGTCTGCCGCTTCGAGTTCCGGTAGTCTGGGGGTCGTTAGGCCCTGCGCTGTATCTTTATCGAAACGGAAACTCCGAAATCTCGAATTTCGGCTCGAATGAGTACGCGACTTCCCTCGCTCTCCGAGTTCCTTCTTGACCGTTCCGTGACGCTCGAGGGCCACGGCGTAAGGGTACGTTTTCACAAGCAACAATACTGCAAAATGAACCGCAGCTAAACGCCCGGATTTCTTGAAAATCGCCAGATAAACATTAGGGATGAGACGTAATGAATTTCGCCCCACAGTCCCGGGGTAAAATTTGGAAGAATTCGGCACACGCAGTCCGAATAAAAGCGTCCATAACCGATGGAACCCTCGGACGCCACTTTCGCACCGCCTTAAGGGACGGTAAAAAATGCAGAGGTAGATCCTAATTCGTGTCAAACTAGAGCGAAACATCCGGTCTGCGACTAATAGTCCTCTGTGTACCTCGTGTCTATTCACACGGTGGAGTCGTGCTGAAGGTGCGAGATGCGATAAAAAGTCGATAATAGGAAAGTACAGGTAAGTAAGTAGTCCGCTCTCGTCTCTACGATTCCTTCGCTTCCGTCTCCCCCTCGCTTTGCCATTAATAATCGCGAGCGAGTTCCCGCACTATCTACTTGGAGTATTTCCGTGGACGTCGCGACCCCTAAGGAACGCTTCCCCTTCGGCAGGTTTCCCAGGGTCGACGATCTTCCCCGAGACGACTGACGCGACCAGACACGAGCCAAGGACCGGGAATCGTTGATCGACACGACTATTCCGCTCCTAAGGTTGATTGGTGGTGAATGGCGTGACTCCATTGTTCGCCATGCTGTCCAGGACGCTGCTGATGTACGCCGCGACGTCGATCGAGGCCTCCTCGGATCGCCTTATGAACGGATGCTCCAGCAATTTGTTGTACTTCGGCCGCTGGGTCTCCTCCTTGATCAAGCTGAAATCCGGAAGAAACCCCATCAGCCAAGAAATGCGTTGCTTAGATACAATTGCGCTTACGAGGACAGCATCCAATAGTGCATGACTCGGATGGACATATCGTGCACCTGGGATTGCCTATCCTTAGAGTGACGCGCCAGCTTACATTACCGCTTGAGTATTCAATATGGCGTTACCACCAAAATTGGTATATATATGAATATTAATTTATCGACGTCGATTAGATTTCTCAGCGCCTTTCATATCATCTTAATACAACCGATTTGAAATAATCCTTTCTACCAGGTGTTGACGAAGTTGACGAAGTCCATGGTGAATCGGTTCCCGTTGTCATTGGGCGAGAGACGAGGCGGGTCGCCTTGCACTACTTGATAAAGCTGCTCGAAGACCGAGTTCCACTTAGGGTATGGGAAATAACCAGTCGCGACTTCCATCAGCGTGATGCCAAGAGACCAGACGTCGCTCCGGACGTCGTACCCTCTTGCTCTTTGAGGGTCGATCCTCTCCGGCTGGTCAGGCCCAAACAAAATGATTACACTTATTAGTAATAATATAATTAAGGCGACACGTAAGTGTCATTCTACATCCAGTTTAGGGAAAAGTTTTATAAATATTTTCACGTTTTGATATATATATAGCATGACCCTTTCATATAACCTTAAGTGATAATTTTTCCTTGGAAACTTACGGCCATGTAAGGTCTACAGCCAGCATCGCGAGTCCGTGCGATAGAGTCCACCAACTGGCCCGAGATTCCGAAATCACAGAGCTTTATATTGCCACGTCGGTCCAGCAGGATATTGCTAGGTTTGACATCTCGATGGATGATCCTCAGCTTCTCCTTCAGGTAATTTAACGCCCTCACGGTGGCTACGGTAATTTTACCTAGAATGCACTCAGGTATCCTCTCGTTTAGCCTTTCGTATATGAACTTGTAGAACTTGTCCAACGATGTGTCCATCAGCTCCATGCATATCCAACAGTCACCCTGTGGAATAAAAAGAAGTAGAAAAAGAACGAGATGAATAGCGTCTATAATTAATACCGCCTGCGTTAATTCGGCCAGCTTTTGATCATTTTTAGGCACGAGGTCAGATATGTATTAAGGACACATTCCATGTAAGCACTCGAAAGAAACTCGATAATCACCTCTTTGAACAGGGCCCCATAAAACTGGACGATGCAGGGACATTCATTCGACTTCATCACAACTTCCAGATCCATCAGAAGTTGTTTTTGCTCCCTTTCGTCAACTGTCGAGCGAATTCGCTGAAAAAGTCGTTAAATATATGAACATGTACCTTACTTCTCTGTCTCTAGTCGACAGGATCCAAAACAATTCTCACCTTCACAGCCATGACAGTATTGCTTATCCTGTGCGTCATTTTATTTACAGTACCAAAACCTCCTCTCCCTATTTCGCCCAAATCTTGGAGATCTTCGCTGGTAAAGTCATACACAGTGTCCGGTGACAGCTGCAGCTTGCCAGTACTCTGCATCGACTGGCACATACGTAGCTTTTCCCTAATTAATTAAATTTTCATTAATTCAATGAACATTTTTTGTGCAGATTTTCACTGTCATATTGATAATCAGTCAGCGGGTAAAAATATATAGGTGTAGGTTTTAAATTAATTGAAGCTTTCTGGAACTTTATCCCATTTTTTAGAATATAATGTATTCCTATACCTTGCTTTATCTGGTAGGAACTCCTGTTGAGTCACGGGACGAGGCCTGGCTGGTAACTTAGCCAACGGTAAAGGCAAGCTTGGACGAGATGCCCTGCAATGTTGATTTCATCAAATTATGCCACGTATCGGTTTCTTGCACCTTTATTTCTATTTGTTACAAGGAACATGTATCGTGCTTCAATGACATTTATGGATATACTCACGCAAGTGGTGGGCAAACTGATGAACTCGTCGTATACGATAAGGACGAATCTGTCGAGTTGGTACACGGTGGACTGCCACTTTGCGACTGAAAGCTGAGCTTCAACTGTCGTCGTTTCTCCGCTAAAAAGGGAAATGAAAATACATTTCCATTGCTCCTTGTACAATTCTTACTTCAAGACATTACATACCAGACATATCATTTTGTACATCACCACTGGATCGGAAATCCATACGTTGAAAATTAAATGACCTGCTGCCACCTGTAATTTGTGAGGTAGTACCATGAGTACACCGATCTATTCAATACAAGAATGTCTATTTTACTTGCAAGTTTTTCTTACCCTGGTTTCCTTGACCAGAAGAGTTACCCTGGTTCTCAGCCATTTTAATCTAGCTCTTACGCAACTCCCCTTATCCAAATAATTTCAGCCCGAACTCCACTTTTCCTGGTATTCCTCTCTTAGGATTTCTCCTCCCATGAACCTATCGGCTTAGCGTATAAGCCGCGCAGTGACCAAAACATTTGGCTCCTCTGCTTTGCCTCTAAACATAACAGAATCAATAGTATCAACGCAGGTAGGTTATTGACTCTAACGAGATTACGTATTTACCAAATGGTACATAAATATTTACCACGATTCGATTAAATGTTGGGTACACTGTGGAGCTTGTAGTTAGCGTTTGAACCTCTGCTAGTAGATCAAAGACTTAAAAATCAGCTCCGCACCGATCAAGTGATGGATATACCTCACCAGAGCGATCCGTAGAGTCTCTTCAATAATACTGGGTTTGTCTGGAATGATTGACCTACGACCTAGCCAACGAATCCCCAGACTGTGGACGAATTCCGTTTAGACAAGCCAGACATGCGAGGCACTCGGTGAATTGTTAAAAGATGGTAAATACGTACCAGGATCGCGAGAATGAGCGAATCAAGACTGACGGAGACTAACTGCTTCAGCCAGCCCGAACGAGAAACACATCGAGGGCCGTTCGAGTCGAAAAACTGGTACTTAGGTCTTTCAGCCTTTAATCACCTTCAATGACAATCGGTCGGCGAAGCCACCAACGAATCTCTTAGGCAAATCCAGGCAAATCAGTTAACGACCATCCCAGAAACTGGCAGCGGGGAAGACGGCTGAAATTGACTGAAATGGGCAACGAGGAAACATTCCTCTAGAGGGCAAACCGTAAATTGGCAAAGGAACGCACTCGTTACCGACAAGGAAATTTCTAAAGCTTGCACGTATGTAGTTCCTCCATTTGCCGGTCGCCGTGCCACCTCAATATTCCGTTGGCCGCCATTTTTGAAAATACAGGTTCATATTTGCGAATATGGCGGGTAATTTAATTATAGATTACATGCAAGAACGAGCGCTAACGATATGAATTTCGGTATTGCTTTCAGCGAAAGAAAGTTAATTTAAATAAATCTATAATGGTCCTTCTATATTATTTATGTACTGTAATATTTAAAGCGTGTATTGTATTTTATAACGATAATCTCGCTCAACGGGTGATCTCGACATATCGCGAGTTGAATACATATGTACATAAAGTGAACGAATTATATGGCGTTTAATGGAAAATATTATTTGTGCTGAGTAGTTTTAACATTGTTTAAAAGTTGTCGGCTATTGTGCGACTGATTGAACATGAAAGACGAGATATAGTTCAAGAGCTCATTAATAAATTGAGGGTATAACCTCATTCTCATTACAAGAGCAACAGCTTATAATTTGAATATTTACAGGATTAGAATAGTAACGTTGTAATTACAGAATTATGCAATGATAAAATAATACTGACGATGGCGGACGAAAAACAACGCGCTATACAAAGACTTAATGCTTTGCTCGGCTCTGATTTGAAGAATTTAGACAATGTCAGTCGATTGCATGAACAATTTGAGCAAGAACGGAAAGAAATTGAGGAGTCGGTAAGTACCTTGCAATGTGAATTTTTAAAAATAATTACGACTTTAACAGCTGAATTATATATGCTTTGCTAGCTGTCATTGGCCTCGACAGAGGCACCACCAAAGGTTCAAGCAGTGATCGAGGATACGGAGCGTCTAGCAGACCAGATAAGCGATTGTGTACGTTCCTGCGAATTTTTACGGCTTCTCATTGAGGAACAAACGTCCCAGTCATGTAAAATTGAAGAATTACGAGGGAGCATTGATGAAATAACTTATTTGGAAAAGTCAGTACGATATCTGCAATTCATACAATGTATCGAAGACATCAGGTAACCATGGTTCCAAACATTTGTACACGTTAGCATTTATCTCTGCAATAACTATAATCTTGGAAATTTTCAGTAATAAAATACAAACATCGTTTTTGGCGAAAGAAGACGAATCAGCAGTTGCATACTATGAGAACCTTTTAGAGATTAGTATTAAAGTTAGATCCTCCAAGTGTCACCATTTGCTTAATTACCTCCGTGAGACGCATCACTTTTGGTACGACCACTTGAAAGATAAATTCTCCAAGTAAGTATAAAAGTCATTACTCTGGTATTATAATACATTTTTGAAACTCTCCTTGAAATATTTTTCAGGGAATTCAATGAAGTTTTAAAGACAATTAAATGGCCTTTCACCGGATCTAATGCATCTGCTGCAGTTTCACAGCCTTCGGATGTTATGGTCAGATTTACATTGATCACCGAGTACTTACTGCGACTCCAAGTTCCGTATCCTTTCTAGAGAACAATGAATGTATTATAAAATTGCAACTAACAGTAATAGGCCCTTTTCTACACAAAGATTCAAGAGATACAATCTTTAACCGATCTTACTTAGGAAAGACGCAACGACAGAGTCGACTGTCACCTCCACACTTTTAACTGACTTCGCATCGATCAGTTTACCAATTGCACTTTTAATTCGGCCATTAAAACAGAGGTTTATATACCACTTCAGTGGTGCGAAGCAAACTAATCGTCAGGACAAACCAGAGTGGTTTTTCACTCAAATACTTACTTGGATTAAAAGCCTCGCATCTTGGGTCCACAAACATGTCCAGCCTGTTGCAAATATTTTGAATCTCGATGTAAATGCCAAAGTACGTAACGTTTCAAAGTATAACTAAGCAGTACTATCGATGTATTTCTTTGGTACATTTAGTCAAATTCCATTACATTCTCTCTTACCGATACATTATTTAAATAGGTTGAATTTATGCGAGGTCTGGTGCAGTTAGCCGTAGAAAAAGTTCATTCGGAACTGTCCATCGTTCAATACGACGACGCACTTTTCGCTCATCTAGTGGACGAGTCTCTTGGATTTGAAAGAGAACTTCGAGACTCCTTACTGTACCCTCAAAATCAACCTGGAGTTGTGTTTGTCCTGACGCAAGCTCATATCTTCGTAAAATGGATAAACATAGAGAAGAAATGTGAGTGTTTCACTAAAGTAAAATTGAAGTGATGTAAAGATGGCATCCGAGTTATCAATTGTTTATAAGACTTCTCCTGAATTGGGTTTACTGAATCGCTCGAAATTTTAATACTTGAATACGAAGGTTCTAAGGAAGGTACCGACACTCATGAAGTTTCATTTCTCATAATAAATTAAAATCCTATGTATAAATAAATTTAAAATATTGAAACTTCATGGGTGTCAGGACTGTCCTCGGATCATCCATATTAGATGGCAAATTTTCAATTGATTCAGTATATCCAGTTCAGAGAAATGTTTCAAATGTTTAATTGTTATAAAATTGTGATCCCCACTTAGATGCAACCGAGAAAATGGACGCCATTCTGAGTTCGGAGACTGCTTGGGACACCCTCACCGGAGCTAGCAATGACGGTATGAAAGTCACCGAATGTGCTGAAGCATTCCTAACCCTACTCATGACGATCACAGATCGTTACAGTCACCTGCCTCAACCTGGACATCGGTAGATCCACTTTCAACCTTGAACTACGATCACACAATTCCCAAACCATCACGGCACTTTTATTCACAGACTGCAGTTCTTGGAGTTGCAACTGGAGCTGATAGACGATTGGAGAGTACGTCTCTTGCAGTTATTACACGAAGAGTACACCGATCCATTGTCATCGATCGTTCCAAAAATATTAAACACGCAGCGTTACGTTTCTAGTGTGCTCGTAGAATGGGCCGACACAGTTGTACGTAAAAGATGCATCATAATATAAAAGACTGTCACCGATTCTCCAAAACTGTAAATTCTGTTGCAGCACTTCATACAGTTGCACTTCTTCAAGAAGCAGTTCGAAGCTGCCGAGTTCGCGGAGAATTGGGAAGCCGAGGTGGCCGAGAATATTGCCGAAGAGGACGGATCTGTATTTTCTGAAGTTTTAGTGCTACTCGAGCGGCTGGAGAAGGAACTAATCGAACAGATCTGCGATTCGCTCGTTATGGACGTGAAGGCGAAGAGTAGGCCGTATAGAACCGACAAGTACGTCTCGCAAATCTTCAGGGTCGAGGTCGAACTTCATAGTTGTCATACAAATGCTCCACATTTCAGATGGTTCGCTATGCAGTCGGAGAAGGAGATCTCTTCGCTGTCTCTCACCCCCAGCGGTTGTGCGATGTTCCACGAGCTAGCTACGTGTCTTCGAAGTCTCCACGAGCTCCTCGCCCGGTCTCTCTTCACCCGAGCTTTAAAAAAATTGGCAGGCCAGTTCGATCAAGTAATCAACTAGCATCGTCGACGACTTCCCTCGTTTCTCCTAGCGATACTAAATGATCTATTCCCAACGCTTGCAGTACCTACTCGAAGAGGTTGTCCTGACGAACCGATTCAACTCCGGCGGTGCGGCTCAGTTCCGGCACGACATCTTCAGGAACTTGTTCCCACTATTCGGCCTCTACATCAGCAAGCCTGATTCGCATTTCCCCTTGTACGTTCCTCAATTCTCTGTCTATCGCTGCTTGAACAAGCAATTGTACGCCTCTTGTTTGGCTTTAAGGACGAGAGAGGCGTGCTCGTTGCTGAACATGGCTCTGGGGTCGGCGATGCTTCTGATGGAAGCTCTGGAGACCGACGAGAACACCACCGAGGTGTTGGCCGATGTTGGAATCTACAAATTACCTCTGGAATCGGTCCTGGCAGTGCTGAAGACGAGGACGGACGTTGGCACCAGCTTGTCGTAGTCTGATCCCTTCCACGCGTTGTTCAACGCGAGATGGTACCTTTAAAACGGCCAGCGATTAAAATTTAAGGAACCGAAAGTTCCCTCGTTATTTCACCCGAATTACCTCTTAAATGATTACTCGCCTTTGAATACCTCAAAAATTCTAACATACCGGGAGTTAACACAGTAGACTGATTCCGCCATTGTCGGCGCCTAACAGCAACAATCTGTTAAGCGGAAGAACCGTCATAGCAGTGAGAACTCCTTTGAAGGTATCAGACCTCAGCTTTGTGGACGAGAATGTAGTGGAAGCCTGAACTGCCGTGTGAACGCCGATCCGATTGGCCGTCGTTCCCGATATCAGCTGTTGCTCGTAAATCGCCATGCAGTGAACGGGTTCGGTGATGCCCCTGCAATGTAAGGTAAATTAAAGCCATACGTTTATTTTACAGTCCCATTTTTTTTATTCGACAGAGTCAAACTCCGTGCGTCTCACTTCATGTGGAACTTGAGTTTCCCATCTATAGCACTCCACACCGTCACAGTCTGGTCCAAGGAGGAGCTGATGATGGTGGTTTCGTTTACTGCCTCCAGTTGCAGTATCTACAAATGGAAGGACGTCAGATCCTCGATATTGACAATCACAAATAGCCAGAAAAGACAATAGTACCTCGCATTCGTGTCCCCTCCAGGAAGCGATGATCAGACCAGTCCGAACATCCAATATCGTGAGGAAACCCGATGCCTGGCCCAAGGCAACCCAATGTCCACTAGGAGCTACTGCAATTCGCCTTATCAGGGCACTTGGATTCGTCGATATCTGTAAAATGGGGATATCTTCAGCAACGTCTTCACCCGTTGAATAGTTTCAAGCTTCATAATGTGAATATGAAGGCTATAAGGAAGGTCCCATGAAATTTCAATTTTTTATAAATTTCTTCATGGGTATTCTTAACATTTGGGTAAAAAATTTGACTATTATCGGTAGTCTTTAAATGTCTAGAATATGTCTTAACACTAAAAGTGAGGTATGTGTCCAAGTCCAAGTAACCTCGGTACCTCGGCAACCCACCTTCAATTCATTGGTGTACCTAACGGTCCTGCAATCGACCAATCTCAAGGTAACGTCCACGGTAGCTGCAAGCAACACGTTCGATGGTGCTGGACAAGCGGCCAGGGTGTTTATGGGAACCGGTCGAGTAGTTTCCGGCGAGCCCACCAGGGAACCCATGAACGGATCCCAGCAGTGAATGGACCCGTCGCAGGTTGCCACGTATCTCACGGATTCGACGAAGGTCAGGGCCAAGATGGACTTCTTGTGCCCCGTGTACGTGTACTGGCAAGAGGAGACTGTGCTGCCGTCACCCTGGACATTAAGGCGATACCCAGTTTAAAGAAAAGCTTGATAAACAATTGATTCCTTAGATGCCACTCTCATATCGGCTTAAGATATTAAAAATAGAAAAGAAAGAGATCAGTTTACCTGGCTTCGCAGACTCCAGAGCTTGACGGTCTTGTCCCTGCTGCCGCTCATGAAGCTGTTCTCGTTGTCCAGGACATGCAAGGATCTCACGCTGTTCGAGTGCCCGTTAAAAGACTGAAGTTTGATCTGCTTTACGTTGAAGGCGGAGTCCTTGTCCGATCTGCCGATCTCGTGTTCCCAATAAGCAAGCCAGTTTCCACGAAGTTGCCGACCTTGAGACGAGGAAGACGATTGAGAGGAACGAGATGATCGTCCGGTCGACCTGGAGCCCAGCCAGGGACTCGGTGGCACCTGGTGATCCGGCGATCTAGCTTGGTCCAGCTTCGACGAATCCTTGTCTCGTTTCTGGAAAAGACATCCAGAGATATAAGATAACTGGATGGAGTGGTCCATCCACTCTCAATCGGTGGATCTCGGGTACCTGCACTTCGATCTTGTTCCCGATCAACGAAATATTCCCAAAGCTGCCGACGTCTCTGCCGAACGAGGACGCGTCGTCCGAGGAGGCCCACTGCTCCTCCGGGGAGTACGATGAGAAGGACGAGTCTGAAGACAATTGACAATTAAGTCTTTTAGTAGTTTAAGGAGTAGAGTTAACAGACGTATTTTAGGAGACTCAGAGGTACTTGTACCTTCTGCAATCGTCACGGAAGTGTCGTAAAGTATGCCCCCTTCTTCGTGGCAGAGGTCGCGAATCAAGCGGCTCTTCGAGACGAGTTCCAGAGATGCATCGCCAAGGTATTGATGGAACATCGAGCAAGCTTTACGTGCAAACCTCACCGTGAACACGGATTTCAGTTCCCCCAGGGCCTGTAAAAAATTTCTAGTTTAACAACTGCACGTTCTACATCTCGCTACCTGTTAACGGAGAAATGTAAATGCTCACTTTGCTCCTTTCTGAGTCGAACGAGCCGTTGCTCTCCACAGTAACCGGAGGAGAGTACGAATCAGCTGCTGCATCGGTGAACGTATCTCGAAGCTGGGAACTGTCGTACCTGGAACATCAATGCGAATATATAGCAAATTACAAGCATTCTATATCTTACTCCTAGTACCCGCTTTTTCATACGCGACTCTCTTCCCCCCATACGTGGGGTACGCTTCCATGGAATCTCTGAATACTTTCTCGCTTTTCAGTACCGTATGGGGACCTGGTCTTCTTCGTGGGATGCAGACGAGATGCCTCGGGATTCCTTTTCATCTCCCTGCATCGTGGAACTCTCATCTCGGTAGCCGAAGGCCTTGTCGAAGGCGAGGAAGAAGCGATGTATGGGTCCAGCCAGGTGAACGCTCGTCGCCGAATTTCCTAATCTTTGGGCCAGACGAAGCAGAGCTCGCAAATATTTATCCGCCAACGCGTGGCGAGCTGTGCTGCCGTTTGGGAAGACGTATCTCGTCGTCGAAATCAGCCTGACCGTAGGGTGAAGGATCGACTTCAAGATAGTTTCCTGCAACGAAATCCGGAATTTTCAAGCTGCGCCAAAGTACTTTAAATTTAACCAAGGACCTGAACCGAAATGTATTTCCAGTGAGTGTTGTAAGTCTCACAGGTTATTCTTTCAATCCAGATCCCTGGGTATAACGTTAATCTGTTTCCTCACATGAAGAACGTCCATCAGGGTGGAGTCGCTGAGGCAGGGGATCGCGTGGATGAGCAAAACCAAGCAAGACACGAGTCCTCCTTCAAGGCCCACCATCAGCTTCCGCTTGCACAAAGCCAACAGCTTGGTAGCGTGTGCAAAGTACTGCAGAACAATGATCTGCTCTCCATAAACGCCTATAAATCCAGATAAGATATAAGAAACTCGAAGATAAGCAGAAACCCCCAAAGCCAAACCCAACTAACCGGCGATGGCCTCCAGACACTCCAGCACCTTTTCCGCGCTGCGATCTCCGACCAAGGTGGTTCCATCAAGGTCTCCTTCAGGGCAAGCCAGGTTCGTCAGGCTCTCCTTCCCAGCATAGCAGAGGGTCAGCATCCGGAGGAGATTCCGCGACAAATATCTGGCAGTCAGAACAGGTCCCAATCGATGAGACAACCAAACGATCGACTCGACGCTCATCTCGGACACCTTGCACTCGTTCGAGGTCGACCTCCTAGCAGTGGAATTGCTTTGCTCGCTGCGAGTCTCCAGTCCATCCGTGGTGTCCTCGCCAGTCCTCGTCAGGGTTTGCTCTTCATCCTCGTCGTCTTCTCCGTCTTCGTCGTCCTCTTCGTCCTCTTCGAAGCCTTCCTCGTCGTCCTCGTCGCCAGGACCAGTTTCTTCGGACTCGTCTGCCGCGTCTCTCGCCTCTTCCCTCTCGGAGAAGACGCGTTGTACGGTCTCCAGCTTCTTCAGGGTGTCGGGCTTCGACCCATCGGAGTCTGTTGAAGAAGTCAACGAGTCCTCGGAGACGTGTGGCACGTAGGAGCCGTCGAAAGGCGCGTCTTCGCTCGGGGTTTTACTCCCTACGTGGCATCCTATGGTGTTTAAATCTATCGCCAGTTTTGCCGTGCAGACGAGGCCGTCGTCGCTCGTGTGGTTCCTGGCCGGGATGGGGATGGGCTTTGCGATGGTCGGACCAGATCCAGAAGCCTGAGGAGAATTCGTGGACGTTTCTTCGTATTCCAACTCGGAGCTGAGCTCAGGGTCGACGACTAGATCAGGGTTGTAAGCCGGAGCCGGCTCTTCCGATGGAGAATCCTCTTCGGCGTCCAGGGTGAACACTTCTGTGGGTCAGAAACTCTGGATATAGAAAACGGACATGAAACGGAAAGATACCTACATCGAGAAACAAATTATTTCTTCTCGCAACAAATTATATCTTTGTAGCATAAAATCAAAGAAATACAGTCTACACTTAAAAAATGCCGAATGCTTAACTTTGATGCATTGATCGAATAATTTATATCTTGAAATAATAAAGTAAATTCTTTTTCTTTCAAGAGAATTATTTCTTTGAAAGGAGTTAAAGAAATGAAACGTATAGTTTCGATTTCATTAACTTCTAATTTTTTCTCAGTGTAAGAATACAAACAACTTGGGAATCTCTTCAAGGTCTCTCCCATCAGCACCTTCGTTCTCGTTAGAAGTGGAGTCTAGATTTGCTTCATTAACAGCCGGCGCGGATGTCGATGAGACATTCTGCTCCGAATCCAGGGAAGAGTCTTCCTCAAGCGGGGAGAGAACAATCGTGGCTTCAGGGTCGGTCCCAGCGTCCTCCAGGTCGCAGTTCCTAGAAGGAAACATCAAGTTAGAGCTAGGAATGACGATAAAGGCATCAGAAACGACATCTTACTTCAGATTCCCGGCTCTACGAGTGCCCAGGTCGCGACAGCCTCCCAGATGATCCCGGTAGCCTCCAACAGCCTCCACCATGGGAGCGACGAAGTTCTCCAGGAAGCGACGCAGCCCTAGACGTACTATCAGCTTCAAAAGGAAGCTGCGATGGTAGAGTCGCATGGTCCTGAACTTGGCCAGGGTGGCTGTTGGTAGTACATCCGCATGGACAGACCCATCCATCGCTGACCCCACCTCGTACAATTTGACGATGGGGTTCAGGAAGGTGTCCGCCGTGGTCTTCGGACCCAGAGTCCTTGAAGAGGAGAGATATTAAACCTTGATATTCCATCTAGACGAGCCGATTCACCTGGGGAACTCACTTGGCTACAGGGTCGAAGAGGTACCAAGCAGCAAGCACCGCTCCGTAGGGGTCCTCCAGGATCTGCCTTACATGGCCTACGATGAGTCCGAAGCAAGGATCTTCACAGCCTGCGATTCCCGCCCTGGGAAGAAGAGCGTCCAGCTCTCTGGCGACTGCTTTTACCTTGCACTCGCTCATTTTGCAGAGAAAAGCCGTGCGAGTCTTGCTCGCCAAGGAGGGGTCGATCTCGTCGTCCGAGCCAAGGGCCATCGACAGCTCCCTGGCGAGGTCGTCGTACTCTCTCAGCATCTCCACGATTCGGTAGAGCTGCCGAAAGTAGCTCGAGAAGGGGAACAGGTGGCTCGCCAGGATGGGTTGAAGGAACTGATGAGCTGATGGTGGAGGCAGTCCCACGTATGTGACTGGAGGGTACCTTTGTCTGCACACCTTCTCGTCCACCTGTAATTTCGTCTTTGCTCGACCTCGTACCTCAGAGTCCTCGTCCCTTTCTGCCTCCAGAGTGCTCGACTCCATGGCGTTGTAGCTGCGAGGGACGACATCATTGATCCGAAGAAGAAGAGCGACCATCGTCCTAGCGCACCGAGGAAGAGCATCAGGACAAGCTCGAAGAGCATTAACGCATTCCAGGAGTCGATCTCGGTGCCTCGAGGACACGCATCTCCCGTCCCTTTGTCTCCTCCTGGCCTTCCTGGAGGTCCTGCCGCGGAACCGCAGACTCGGGTGTCCTACAGCTCTAAGTTTGCCTGCCAGGAACAACTCCACCACAAGGCATCCCAAGGTTTGTCGGTCCTTAATCCTGTCGCAGGTGATCAGGTGCTTGAAGCTCTCGTAGGAGCTGGCCTCGTCGAATTCCTCCACTTTCTGGACGTCAGAGCTACGGTGCACTTTGTTGCTCGCTCTGTTCAGGAAGGCGTGCAGCGTCTCCACCTGGACGAGTGCCGTCACAGGATTGTAGTCCTTGGGAAGAATTATTTGGCTCGAGGAGCTTTTCTCGGGGTGTCTGGAGCTCTCTTCAGGAGTCTGCAGGGATCCTCGAGATCTGCTCAACAAACGACTTAGAGCCAACGGGGAAGATCTCGTCGTCGCGTTCTGTGATGGAGAAGAGGACTCCTCGTCGAGGCCCGCGACCTGGACCTCGTCCTCGTTGATCCTGTCGGCTGATCTGTCGCTCTTCATTTTCCCACTAGTGATGATTCTGCAGAGACGTGGAGGTACTTTACCCCAGTACGGAGAGGGCACCAGCCTCTGAGGATGAGGCTGGGTGAACAATTGAACTATCCCAGAACCAGTCAAGCTTGTGTGATTGTCGACCAGCTGCAGACACACGTTCTTTGATTTTACCGCAGCCGTTCCTGACAACTTGTAACCGAATGTTAAATCTATCCAATGATGTAGTCTTTCGGAGACGTAGGGACTTTCTAGTGCCTCTCGATGCTTCTCAATAAAGTCTTCGGGTGAAGTCGCCCAGGATGGCACTTCCAAATCTGGGAGGTCTTCGTGAATGGACTGCAAGTAAAAGGAAATATTAATCTAAGTACTCTAAAAGTACAATGAGTGTAAAAAAGTACAACGCTGAGGAAAGGTAATATCATCGATACCTTGAATACCGTAGGGTCTGTAAAGAACTGTGGTATGCATTCATCTGGACTCCAATCATGCATTCTTTGTATCGATGCTGGATACTCCCAAGGAACCCAAAGAGGCCTCACGTGTTTGCATAAAATTGATCTGCTGTACCGTCGAGAGAGGTACACGTAGTAGGTGATCTCCGATAGAACATCTGATACATGGTGGCCTACCTAAGATAAAACATAATCTAAACTTGGATACTTTACTATTACCTGGATAAGATAAAAGTCAGACTGTATAGCACACACCTCCGATGATTGGGAATCGAATGTCAGGTCCAACTGTCTATCGCCTTTGTTCAACCGAAACTTGGATTTGGTTAAGTCCCTCCAGTTGCCTCCGGATCGAGAGGTAAAATCCGTGACCCATGGAATTACGTGGTGACAACTAGGATCTCCATAACGCCTTCCAGCTAAATCGTTTAGGGCGGTTAAATAATCGAAATTGGTAATTTCGCCACGTACCCACGATTCGCACAACTTCTCAATATTTCTTTCAGACTTCGTGGTACATAAGCTTTGAGCAGTTTTATGAGTTGCTGCCTGTTTAGTGGTTGTATCATTTATTATGCTTGACCACAAGTAAACATTGTCCTCCAATCTTGGCAAAACCTGGCATGAAAATACTAAAAGTTGTTCAATTCGAATTGATTATAGTTTCTACTTTATGATAATATGAAATAAAGTGATTGAGTTCCATTACCTGTATAGTAAGATTGTCCATCAAGAGTACGTCACTCAATGTAATTTCACCCAGGGTAAGTCCGAGATCGTGCAGGTCTCTTGCTAATCGTAGCAGTTGGTACACTATGAAGAGAGGTTTACCGTAACTAGAAGAGAGAATAGCAGGACTGAACATCACGCATCTGTAATCACATAGGATAATATTGATTATGATATCACTTCAATATTAATAAATTCCGTTTTTCATCAATGCATTACTTACTCTCTTAAAGAATGCTTTGCCGTTTGTTCGAAGAATGTGACCAATGCCGATGAAGTCTCGATTGTGCATAAAGCTGGGAGAAGATTGCAGTGAAGATTGGAGTTTCTCGAAGCTACAAAAATAATTTCACTGCCTTCTATTCGTATCGTCGGGCAATTGTATACTCTTGATAATAATTCTTGCATGAGATCAACGTCTTCCATCTCAGGTGTCAAACTCTGTCGATCCATCCTCCCGACTGCGTGTCGCTGCTCTATAACCACACGATAGTTTCTTAAAAATAATTGAAATCTCAAAGGTATACACTGCTTCCTTTTTACACTCACTCTGATATTTTTTATAAAATTCTTTCCATAGGTTTCTATAATTCGTATTCGCTACATACTGAAGAACCTGTGCAAAGGACAGTTCCTCTTCAAATTTTGCGCAATCTGTATTTATCCAAGGAGGAAGAACAATGGCCTTCTTGTGTTGTTTCTTATAAACCTAAGGAAACATGCTTCGTTATAAATTAAAATTAAAACCTCAAAATGAACTAAATCTGTTCCTTTTATCCCAGAATATGCATAAACGTTACCTTTGCATATACTCTTTCCCAACCCGATCCCAGCTCTTCCAGAGACGGCTGAGCTGCAATTTCATCCACCGTGAAGCGATCGTGTTTAACGAATGCAAGTGAACCAGCCGTCAATAAATTTCTTATCCAGCTTCGATGAATCGTTAAAGTAATCCTTCCATCAACGAGTCGTACATATTCTCTGGGTATATCGAGTTCTTTAACGATAACCTCCATTTCAACTTCTCTGTATACCCATTTAATATCAGAATTAAAATGTCCTATACAAGAAATAAAACGTTGCAAGGACAACGACCACGATTTTATTTAATACTGACGCCCAGCTAGAGAGAAAGAGAGATTGTAAACAACCTTGTATTTACGTATATTCGATTACTCACTTCGCTTTTGGCACGTCACAAAGGAATACAAAGAATACCTTGAACCGCTCTTCAAGAAGCAATAAGTTCAAACTTTAGCGTCATATCTTCGATTAAAACCTTTCTGCATTAAAATCATCTCCACAAAATCCTGTTGATTCGAATTGAACCAAAACTTGCAGATTTGGCCGCCATTGTACCTAACCTTCCCCTTTACAAACGATAGACCTAACAGTAGCTAAGAACTCTCATAATAATACAAGGAGATAGAACATCAAGATGGCGTCATCTGGCAACAAAACTAGTTACTATCACAGTTATCGGCCGGTAAGTAATGGAACTACCCCTCGTTCGTGCAAATTCAAAATTCAATTTTAGATGGAGAAATTTAACGATCGCGTAGCTGAGATACTGGATAAATAAATTTGATCTATTCTTAATAATTAGTCATTCCAAAGAGAAAGAAGTGTCAACCGGTGACTTGAGTAAATCGACTGCGACCCGTGCGAGCTTTTCCTTCGGCAAGGATGTTTTTGGCTCGTTGATTGACAATCGAGGATCCCGAAGATACCATCTGTGCAGGTGAGGAATTCATTGATTTCGGTATGTCTTCAGATTCTTCTTCGAGGTCGGCCTCTTCGGGAGCAAAATCCACGTTCTTTCGAGAATAGCCTCGACGTTCCTTCTTCTCCTTAGTCCGGAATTTTCTGTCGTTGTATTGGGCCCAACAACGTTGAAAGCTGGAGAAAACGTCGTTCCATAGGCAGAGCTCCTCGACTGCACCGAAAACCACGATATTCTAGGTATTCTAGACGAATAGATGTGAAATAAAGGAAAATATATGGATTTAAAAATAATAGGATGAAGTTCAAGGCACAAGAGGAAGAATGGAGTGGCGGCCATCTTTCTTCCCTGGCGACCTCGTCTTTTCAATGGATATAAGAACAATTCCGAGTACACGGTACCTGTTACTGTAGTTTGTAATTTTTACGTTTTTAAACAGAATGTATATAATACAATTTCACGATCTTTATATCTTTCAGCAGGCGTTTTGTCGTGCTTTAAAAAAGACGCCGGACATACTCTTTGGTTGCCGCCATTTTGGAATTTATTGAAAGAAACATCACTGGCTCACCGTATAGAAGAAGCGCGATGAAGACGAAGGTTCCCGAAGGCACGCCAGCGTCAGGAAGCAGAGCATAAATCATGTCCAGAAGAGCAGGGCCTTCGCGAAGAGCCATTCCTCGAAGGGTGTTGATAAGCCAGGGGATGTAGAGATAGGGATTCCCGTATTTATCCCCACAAGCCACCATTATGGTCGAGATGAAGCCTGAGATGACGCTGGTGGCCAGGATCTTGATCTTGAGACCTGCAAAGTGGTCCTGGTGAACAGGGCGAAAATGGTCCATTGCGGATACACTCCTTTCATAACATAAATGGTCATTAATTATTTCTCCAGGGTTTGGCCATTGTCTATTACCATAACTACGACGGAAAAGGGCGTCGAAAGCTGCGGATCTGGATGTCACTGCGTGACCTAGGGGAGATCCTGTGCCAACCTCCAGGGAAACCGAACTCAAGCACGTGGCGGCGAAGCACATCAGACCGACGTAGAGAGCTTCTACCTGGACACATGGTTAATGATGACAAGGTAGCTATCAGCTCTATAAAAATACCTTTGGTGTACAAAAACTTGGGCAAAATATTTTGCCAATTGTCACAGTACAATTTGATTAACGCAAAATATGTGTACACTATTTATAGCGACGGAATGGCTGTTACAAGCAAGGGTCGTACCTTCGAGACAGTCTTTCCTGCTCGGCCTTCATGTCGGTCCTCTGCCGAAGATTCGTTGCCAATCATTTTTCTTATCGGAGAACTAAGTTTGCAGGAACGTCGACGTCCTTACCAGCCGCGGAACGCCGTTCATTCCGATAATTGGATCTCCACCAGGATCCTTCAAGGAGCAGTGGGCTGAACGTGGTTTCGCGACAAGATCTCGAACGATGTCGCGATAGTTCCTTTGTCGGTCCCCAGGGGGACTTTCTTTACGAGTGACGAGGAAATGCATGGGGAGACACGATGCGATAGTAATTTATTGGAAGACGGAGGACGGACGTAACAGAGAGTGACATTATCGACTTGTCATGGAACCGGCTGAAGAGCTTGACGATGAAACAGACAGAAGACCTGCAACCAATTGTGTATTGTCAGAATGGCCAGGAACATCTCACCTCGCTTTACGTGCAAGCCGTCCAGGAAGAGTCGCACGAAGAAGACCACCACTTCCACGACGAGGACGCACAGCTGCATCAGCAACCATGGGGTATGCAGCATGGGGTATTCCTGAAGACAAGAGACAACGAAAGCGAATCATCCTTCGACTATGTCCACCTGTGTTTCTTGAACGACGTGGCGAGCAAAATGACGTCTTTAAAGTCTCACGTAATAAACAAGTCATAACTCACCGTGATGACGCCCAACATGATCAAGGTGTAATGTTCGATTCCAAGGATCGAGGTCATCAGCTTCAAGTCTCTTTCTACGTCGACGGGCACTGTGGATGAAATGTTGAATTAATCAGCAGGAAAGCCTCTCGACCCGTGGGTGTACGATCGCTATAAAAAATGTTGATTTATCGATAACGGTTCGCTTATCGCCACAAGACTCACCCACTTGCTTGCTTCGAGATCGGTTTGGGTATCGAGGAGGCATTTTGCAGTTCATTATCCTTACAACATCGAGAGCCGTTATGACCTGCGGCATAAAATCGAGTTTTTTCTTTTTAGCTCGACCTCGAATGATGACATTTCATGGCGATGAACTCACGGTCCCGATGAGGCCCAACACGATGACGTAGATGGGGTTCCCCATGATGTTATGGTCGCAGACGGTGCAGGCTAATCGTCCGATGCGCTAAAACGAGAGGCAGAGTTTAGGTGAAATACATTTTTTATTTGAGAAAATTCAACAGGTAGATTATTCGGATAAATGAACAGTTAGACTTTTTTAATAAATTCTTTCGCTCATCCAGGTTAGGAATCTCCGAAGACGTCTTCGCCATTCCGCAATTCGAGGGCCCTGAAGAGGAACTTACAAGATGCCCCGCTTGATTTTCAGAAATTTTCCGCCGACTACGGAAGCGGATGCGGATGCCCATTCCCACTCGGGCGGAAATTTCAGTTCCCTGAGGAAGATGTTGCGAGATTTCCTCCCGCCCGGGATGCTGCGGAACGACGCAGGCGCAAACTCTGACCGCACGTGGCGCGAAACGTCACTTACGGTTTTGCGATTTCGCTCGATAATCGCCAGAATTCCGCAACTCGCGCACCGTTTCCGGCTCCTGGCCATTTTCCCGGTCCTTTAATGTTCCGCACTTGGGGATTTTCTTGTAGCCTCATTGAGCCGATCTAGCTCCAAAAGGCGACATGTCGATCCGAGATCTCGGACCGAGTTTTCGGTCCAAGTTTTCCGCGCTTAAATGCAACCAGAGAGCGCGATAGTCAAATGTATGAACTGAAGTTAGATGTAATATTGCATGCATCGTGAAGTACTAAAAGGAGAGAAAACGCCAATTGTAGATGACTTTGCGAACGTCGACCTCGCGACGTTCGGACCGGCTCCTAAGAGCAGTCACCATCTACATGATCTACATTTAATTTGCGACCAATCGTCAGCTTGTATCATGGTCGCAGGACTTCGTTCAGAAACGAGGAGAAGTCCCGAGGGAAGACCAGGAAAAATCACAGGAAGGCTCTCAGGATTCCCCGAGGGATTCCCCTCGCGTCTGACCAACCCCGGACGCTTCTCCTCGCCCCCGCAATTTCACGACCTCGAAGAGCTAGCTGAAGAGAAACGGTCCTTGGGGAAGACCAAGCCATGTTTTCGCGAATCCGGAGCCTTGGAGACGATCCTGATGGCCCTTTCCGTCCTGGCTTTGAGCTACCATGGACTGCGCTATGGCCGATCTCAGTACAGCCTCCTGGAGAACGGAAGACCCGTTAAGGGCTTCGCAGCGCACAAAGCGGTTGTCACCCTGAGTCTTGGATACTCCTTTCCTCGTTCCCTGGTCTCTTCCCTGGCCGCTGGCATGCTCCTGTATTCCCTTTTCTCGGTGAGTTCTGTCGAGAGACCTAGAGCTCTCTTTCTGGACCGGATTAATGTTGTAAACTTTGAAGCGATTCGACGACCCGATTAAGAGAAAATTTTCATAAACCTCTTCGACGCCGTTTTCATATCACCTTAACTCTTTATCAGAGGAATCCTCGCTGGAGTCTGCCATCCATCGCCCTGTGCTTGGCCGACCTTACCTGTGACGTGGGGGACGCCGTCGTCGCCTCCTGGCTCTTCCTTGGAAATCTTCGACTACAGACTGCGATCCTTTATACCGCCGTCACCTGCCTCGTCGTTTGTATGTACCGAGACATGAATGTCTTTCTTTATACTCTATTGGGATCATATCCTTAAGGGGGTCTGAAAGTGCCATCCGAGGGATCGATCCTTTATGAAACTTTTCTCCAAACCGAGTGTACCGAATCGTTTCAAACTTTACAACGTGAATACGGAATTCATCAGCTTAAGGTGATAGGAAAGGGTCATTATATATATGTGAAAATATCATGAGATCCTTTTCAAATCTAGCGGTGGAGCTCTGGCTGTGTCTAGGAGTTCTTCGGCTCTACGAATGCAGGACATTTCGATGAACTTCCTCAGGACTCCAAAACCTACATGAATGGAATCGTCATCGACGTTTTTAGATTAAAGAGATTTTTTGGCAGTCCGTTTTCCGTTTATTCGACACGTCTATACATTCGGTCTTTTATAAACGATTGAAGTGCCTCGAGTAAAAATCGAGCGGTGGATTCACGAGGTCACCGTCGATTTGATTATGTTTATCGAGTCGTGATAAGGTGATTCTCTCTCGATCCGATTTCCAGCTGGACAAGGCTCAGATCGGTCGACGTCTTCTCCGGGAAAATGGAAGGACACGACAGGACCTCCGAAGTGTTCTCTCGCCCTAGGTCCACCATCCTGACTTCAGGGCAACGTTCCATCCTGCAAAGATACTCGATAAAATGGATTCTACATGGTTTTTTAAGTATTTTCTGTGGGCTTATCCGTAGGCTATAATATACTTGGAGCAGAACTCTTCAGCAGCTTGCTTAAGGGTGTACGGTTTCTCGGACGCGGATCGAGTCTTGGACATCTCCCCGATGAGGAACCCTAGGAAAGCCTGACAGGGAACCCCCGTGGCCTGAAGATCTCCACCTAACCCTATGGTGGCTCTCTTGTCGGGTTTGCAGTCCTCTGCTCCCCTGGGATCGCCCTGGACCACGGGAGACACGGAAGAGGGGTCGACACTGTTGGAGCAGATCCTCTGTCTTGGTGCAAACGGATCAAAGGATGACAAAGGGATATTTAGTTAAGTACATACTCGCAGAGGAATCTCCTGGCATGCTTCAGCCCGAAGTACATCCCGGGGTCCAGGGCGATCCCCGGGGAATTCCAGAGCACGTGGGCCCTTGCAGCCGTCTCAAGGTCCTCCAGGCTCATGTTCCTCCAGGAGTCCGAGAGCTTGGACCTGGAGATTAAGACGATATGTATGAGAATTATACAAACTGAAGCGTCAGTCAGGTATGACCTACCCTCGGAAGAATCGTTCTAGGACGAGATCCAGATTCTCCAGGTTGAGGTTCCTGCGAGCCAGTTCGACTCTCAGTCGCTCCTCCGAGGAGTCGTTCGACAGGATCCCCAGGTTAGGGCGTCTCCTGGACGGCTCCTCAGCCTGTAGTCCGATTAGATAGACCTGGAACCACGATAAGGGTGATATAGTTTCTTTGTAGTATCCTTGAAGAAGCTCCACGAACGATTGACTCTTCAGATGCCACTTTCACATCCCCTCAAGGGTGCTCAGGGTGATACTCCGACCTCACCTAAATTACCCAGGATTTAAATATAAATATAAATTTCGGGAAAGCCACGCACCTTCGCGTCCGGATGATGTCTGGCCGCAGTTTCGACTCGACAAAGCTCTTCCCTGGACCAAGTCCTGTTGGCGTGCTTCAGGAAGTAAACGTTAAGAGGACCATCCCCGACGCCGAGGTCCCTCGTGCGTCTGAATCGAGGAATAGAATTTCAATATTTTATTTTTATTACATTTATACAAATTAAACCAACCTGCACCCACGCTCGTCTCCCGGACCCGGTGCAGCCAGGGCGAGGACGACGAGGCCGAGCAGCAAGAGGGCCGCCAGGAGGAGACACGCAGCGGACAAAGCCGCCTGCACGTGTCCTGGCCACTCGCCGAGGAAACGGACGACACCCTGGGCAACGGCCGCTTCTCGGACACCTCGACCTGGGAACCCGTCCAGCACCTCCGCCACACCCAGAAGAGGTCGTCGGTCCTCCTCGAGGCGACCTGTACAGAAGAGGACGAGGCTCGCGCCAAATCGGAGGCAGGTTATTCCGCGTTCCGCATTGCTTTCCGCAGATATGGAGAGGAGACATCAGGGTCTACTTACGATCGGCATCCATTCCAAGGGGAGCACACCCGAGACTGAGTGAGAATCCTCACTCGACTTGGGCCACTTCGCAGCCACGTCGGCCGCGTCAGCATTTCGCGACCCTCGAAATCGCGAGTGGACGCGACCGCGAAGGCGAGCACCCAGCGAGACAGAGAGAGTCCTGGGGGATGTCCTGATAAATCTCCAGGAGTCGCGCCTCCACTCGGTAGAGCCTTCCGAGGTTATTTCTCAAGCAACGTCAACCTCCCTGCGGGGGTAGATCTTCATTTGTTGTCGATTTCGAGGTTTCTCCATTTTTTTCCGAGGCCTTCCTCAGGGACGAGAGACTCCGGGGTGCGGGGGTACTTTCCTGGGGAGCCATTGTTCCTGGTAGGATTTTTTATCTGGAACTTCCTTGACCGTGGTATGGTAGATTTAACCGGGTTTCAGGCTTGCACCCCCTAAGGGCCATCCTTTGCGTAAAGAAACCCCGGCGTGACGAGCGAGGCTCGTGTTCTTGCTCGGAACGCAATACCAGGCAAAATAGAAAACAGGAGAGGGAGATTTATACAGGATATGAACAATTGTTTTGCATAAGGTTCGATCTCACGATCGGGCGGACTTTTATTCGGAATGTCGGAACTTCGGTGGAGGTGCGTCCACGTGGGGAAAAACTTGCGGAAAATTCATGACAAACCTTTCTGTATGATTTTCGACCTTACGGGTCGTAAGAAATATCCTCGAGTTCCGGTCCTTGTTCACTTAGGACTCTGCTCGAGTACTTCATTACTCAACTGTACCAAAATTTGCAGAGACGTCAATGAGGATTTTTTAATGCTTACTTCACGCTTTGCGGTGGCACTTGTTCGACATTGTTGGCAGATTGCATAGGTATTGCATCGTCTTTACGCATTACGGGGGGTAATTATGCAATTACGCAGAAAGTACACAAGGAAAAAAAAATAAAGTGTACGCTCGGAAATGAAAAAACGCCTCCCGATTTTCGTCGCACCTGTTCCGTCGACTCCACCTCTCTACTCCGACTATGTACAAATAACACGTGCTACGGTAAACCTCGGTAGCAATAAATATTCATATTAACATTAATATTAACGAATCACTATCGCGGGAAGATAAAGGATGCCGACATCCGTGGAACGCAGAGGCCGAAAAATCGGAAAATCCGAAATTCACGAGACCCAAGATTTGAAGAAAAACAAAAATAATAATCTAATAAATATTTACAGGCGAAAAGTACAAGCGCGAGTACAATTGTTCATCGACGTACTACGAGAAAAGCTGCGGACAAACTCATGTCTAAAAAGAAGTGCTCTTAAAGAGGCTCAAAGAAGTACTTAACACTACACCGCAGTCGTCCACATTTTACAAGATGGACGAGTCTTGTCGCTCCTCTACGTCGAGTTCATGAAATCGGAGCAAGACCCTCGACGACTTTGGAAATCAGGAAGAAAGTTCTCTACGGTTCCTTCACGCAAGAATTATAAATAATTACGATCTACGACGATCGACAAACGTCTTCTGTGTAGGAGCACTCGCGAGAATCAGTTCTAGGACACCCATCCTCGAAAGATTAAAAAATCTGGAATTAATTAAGGCACTTGAAGACCAGGCGAGATTAATGACGCGGATTAATGATGAATTAATTAAGAATCTAAGGGACCTCGCAAGGTCCCTCCAAAAGCCTTGGTCAGACACTGGTGTAAACGGTCCGCTTAACACAGGGCTCATCCCTCTCACTGGAGATGCAAGGAGCCCTTTCGCTCTCCTCTTCACTATTCCCACTACTGGACCCGCTCAAAGCTTCATTAACATCCTGCAACTGTGCGTGTTCATAGCTCCTCCTGTGACTCCTGTGCGCGGTGTCCACCTCCAGCAGCGCAGAATTCGCCTCCGCGGTCTCCTGGACTCTTAGCCCATCGCTACCAACGAATCCCGACTCAGGAGACGAATCCGACCCCGCAAACCTGGACTCCGAAGGAGAAGAAGCACTCTCCCTGAGGGTCAAATCAGGATTCCTGGGGCACTCCACCTGGAGCGGTTCCCTCCTGGTCGAGTCTGGACTAGAAGAGTCCTCGGAGGCTGCCGATCCCGCTCTAGTCCTAGGTCTATCCCTCGGGATCACCTCCTGGACAGGACCCTGCCCCGACCTGGAAGTCCTCTCGACATCAATGGCGACCTCGTCCGAGGACCTGCGACACACCTCCAAGCAAACATCCTCGTTCCTCCTGCGGGACCTGGGTTCTTCGGGACTCTCTTTACACCCTCTGGCTCCTCCCAGGACGGTCTTCCCGATGGACTCCAGTCGTTCCCTGCTTCCTGTGTGCCTCCTGGTCCCCACTGATCCTTCCCTACTGCAGCAACAGTGCCTCCCGTTCTCGCTCCAGGACTCAGGCTTCTCCAGCACCAGGATGTACCTCTTTCCGTGGTTCAGGTTCCTCTTGGACCCGTTCAAGGACCTGCGTTCCTCTTCGTGGGTCGTCCCCCTGTTCGCCAGGCTGCGCCTGGACCCGCTGGGCGATTTTCGCTCCTCGTCCTGCAGGACTCTCTGGATTCCCTTCTTGGCCATCACTCTCACCTGGGGGGCGCTCTCTTCCCTTGGGATCTCCTCCTCGTAGACGATCTCTCTGCTGTTCTTCAGGATCTCCCTGTTAACTGCTTCTGGCAGGTTCCTGAGGTCTGACTCTGCCATCACCTGGATCGCGTCTGGGTCCACCTCTGGGATCCTGTAGGACTCCCTGAAGACTTCTTTCATCGGCTCCCTTGGGTGATGGGGATGACAACAATGGGGATGGTACTCGAAGAACTTTCCTGGGTCCTCCAGGCTGTCCACGCTGGCTGTGCTTCTTGTTCTTTCAGGATGTCGAAGCAAGGATGTTGGCTGATGGCAGGACGAGTATCGGTGGAGGATGTCGCGATGGGGATCCACTGCGATCCCGTCCTCGTCTACTATGAAACCTGAAAACCACTTTGTTGCTCAGTACGTTTACGCCGTCATTATCGGTATCAATTTTACGAGATGTTTCAGATCGTTCGGTTTCACTTGTCACCAGACCACAGCGTTACCTTCCCAGACACCTTATCAGAGATTAAACACGATGTTGGTTTTTGTGGGGTACCATGCTAGGAAATACTTGACCCAATCGACAGAAAATAGAGGAAAATAGTGGAATAGTTATTGGGTGATCTCCTCTCCCATTTGCATTCAGAAAAAAGAAAAGGAACACGTCGATAACGTATAGTTGGGCACAAGGACACAGGAAGCGTTACGGTGATAACAAGATCCGCGTCCCACGGGACGGTCTTAGTGGAATGATAACACATCTGATAACAGCGGGCCGGGTTTACCCAATCGCGTTCTTCTCAGACCAATTCTATTCCTTTAAGATAACATCGAATAATCTTATGAATTATTTTCATTCCCTTAATGACTCAGTTCTTAATCATTTAGGAAGCAGTCGAGGTTCCCAGGACTTTGGTTAATGATTTCTGGATTTTACAAGGACATGAGCTTGAAGTTTGAGTGGCAAGCGAGTTGTGGTGGTTTTTTTTTTTTTTCTTGAAATTGTGGTCTCGAGGTGGACTGAAGATCTTCCTGGTGGCTTCCTGGTGGAAGACCGTCTTTCGGACCTCTAGAGAACCCTCCGAAGATTGACTTTTAGATTTATGGAAAATCTCAAATTTGAAGCCTTGAAGGTTGCCTTTCAAACTTCTGGAGAACCCTCGATCTGAAGCTTCGGTGGTCCCTGTTGGATCCCATGGTGCTGGACCAAAAAGCCCGAATCCATCTGGTGGGTGGTCGGCAGGACGATGGGACTCGATTTCGGCTCGCTAGGGATTTTTCTGAGACTTCCGCCGTCTGAGGTGCACCGACACCGGAAACGTCAAGACAAGGACAAGGTCGTTACCCAGGGGGAAAGAAGACAGGCGGTCTTCAGGAGGCGAAGCATTTCTAGAAGCCAGGCACTCGATCGGATTCAGCTCGATCTTAATTTCCATCTTCAACTAACATCCGAAAAAATTCCCTCGACCCATAAAGAATCTGCCCCTAAATTCTCACGACCTGATTTTCAGCCCCAAGGATTCAGTTCATCCCCCATGCACTTCCCAATGCATCCCTCCTCCACCAAGCAAGGACCACCCTGGACAAAACCCCAGGACCCAAAAGCATGCCAGAAGCCCCAAAGCCGAGAAACACCATGCAAACTCACCAGTCCCATGTCGCAGGTCATCCTGGACCCTGTAGAACTCGGCAAGCTCTCTCCCAGAGCAAAGTGGAGTATCAACCTGGGTGGTGCTATCAAACAGGGAATAATCGACCTCGTATCCCTGCCTCTCCTTGGAGTAGCTGACCACAGGTTCGAATCTATGGCCCCATAAGATCTCCTGGGGTAAATAGCTACTCCTAGCCTGAGTAGTCTGTCCAGTGGACTCTATGGTGCCTTCGAGGATGACCACGACCTCGAATCTCTCGGTAAGCATATCCTCGGCGGACATGTCGTAGAACGGCGACTCCTGGTCGATCCTGTGGACGATGGTGTTGGGCCAGATGAAGAAGAGGTCCCCACCGGTCCCATCGGTGCCGACCTTCAGTTCCTGTTGGTTCTGGGACAGGAATTCCCCTTCCCTGGTGGTCCTGGACCTGATAAGCTGCGCCCTGACGGTGGCTCCGATGATGTGGCTCTTCCTCATGTCGCCCACCCTGAACATCAGACAAAACTGGCCGTCTCTCTGGCAGATCACCGCGTTCCTGGAGAAGAGCAACGTCTGGGTCCTCTGTTTCGGCCTGGTCATCTTCGCGAAGACGATGCCCACCATGAAGGCTTGGATCATCACCCCGGCGATGCTCTGGATGCACATCACGAAGATCGCCTCCGGGCACTCCTCCGACGTCGACCTACTCCCGTAACCGATGGTGTGCTGGGTCTCTATGGAGAAGAGGAAGCAGCTGGTGAACGAGAAGACGTTGTGCACGCAGGGGGTCCAGTCGTTTTCCTCCTGGAAGGGCGGAAGGTGCTTCTCTTCGAAGTCCCCGTGGGTGAAGGCGATCAGCCACCAGATCACTGCAAACCCTAGCCAAGAGAGGAGGAAGCTGAGGATGAAGCAGAGCAGCGTCCATCTCCATTGTGTGTCCACCAGGGTCGTGAAGATGTCCTGCAGGAAGCGCAGGGATCTCTTCGAGATCCTGGATTGGAGGACGTTGCACTCTCCGTTTTTTAACACCGCTCGACGACGCAGCTTCCGCACTGGACCAGGTCGGTATCTGCTCCTGGAATAAGTGGAATTCATTTCCAGATTTAACAAAGAGGCACATTAACCGAAATTAACCTGATACGAAAGAGTTCATATCCATTCGTAATCACTACCAGCGCACTTTTAATGTGCGAATGTATTTGACTATGACGTAAGAAATTGAAATTAAAAATGAATAAAAAAGAGGTCCTCATCAATTTCGATTCTATCTTCGGTTCTGTCCTGACACTTTCAACTTCACCTTAAATACCTGGCTTCCAGGAAGGACTTCCTGGAAGACCATCTCAAGGAGCGTCCCCAAAAAGTAAAAACCTGCCCATCCGAGTGACGTAGTCGAATTTGAATTTCAAATTGGCCATTGGGGGAGAGCCTTGGCTTTTTAATGAACGTTATCCCTCTCGTTATTTACGGCGACGTCGGACGTCGCCGGAACGAATCGCGACGTCTACGGTAATTGGCCGCAATTACGCAATTCCGAAGGTGTAAACATTGCGTCAATTCGCGCCCGGGAATTCCTCCTGATCCTGGGAACCTAGAGGATCTCAGAGGTGTCGATCCCGATTTTAGATGCCCGATAAAAAAATAAGAACGCCCAAATTTACATTAAAAATCGACCCTTACGCGATAGAGAAAGGTGATATGAAAGTGGTCTGATAAAAAATGAAATTTCACCCGACATATCATGCCGGAAATTTTTTATATTAAAATTCCTGTCCATATAAATCCCTATTGACCCTACCTACACTGTTACAAATATTGATAAAAATTATACACCTTCAGAGAAATATAAATAAAGTGTCATGAAAGCACGCGTGCTTTAATGGTCTACTATTTGCAGGATTTTCTTTTTTATCGTGTTTCATTCAGTCATTCATGACTCACGCCACTTTTTTTATCAGTATCCCAGTTTACAAATGACGTCTTTGAGATCTCCAAATAGTACTTTTCTAGGGCCAGAGATTGACCGTGACACAAAACCGAGAAGAGATAGCGGACCATGCGACCTCGTCCATGATTCGCGTTATCAGCCACGCCGTGATAAGCCTAAGGAGTCCTCCGGTGATTTTGACGACTCGAAACCTGGAAAGTAGAGAGAGAAACGGAATTCTAAAAGAATCTTCAAGCCGACCATGACCCGAATTCAAGGCTGACATTGGCCGAAATGACAGAATTTCGCGAAAGGCCGCGAGAAGTCCTTATCATAGGCGTTAACGAGATAACCGTGACGCGTTTGCAAATTCATAATCGTGACTTGAATAATAAATATCCCAGAGAAATTCTAGGATCGAAGGTGAGCCTAGAAAGAGCCTGATAAGCCGAAGAAACGAGAGCGCTCGTTATCAGACTGCGCGAAAATAGAGAATCACATTTATGAGAAGAAATTCTCGTGACGAACAGATTTTGATATGCTGTTATCAATGAAAAAAATTCTAGGGTCGATTGGATGCGATGTTCATTTTAATATTTAATTTTTAAGAGACCAGGACACTTTTATTTTTTTTTCAGCAAGATACACTTCATTGAATTTCGCGAGTAATTAATTTCCCTTAGAAAGTACAATTTTTTTACTCGCAATCTAGGGGACATTTCTTGACTTTCCGAAGTGAACAATGATGGAAAAAAGAAAAAGCTGAATCTATTGGATTTTGCCATGTGATAAGGTATCTGAAAAGAAGGAATCGTTATCGAGGCCTGCGGCTAGGATAACGAGTCCATATTTCTAATCGTTCCGCTCTACTGACACTCGAGGTGGATCGGGCTGTAAATTACAGATCGAGGGATACATTAATTATCATCAACGACGTTAATCGATGCGACAATACTATCGACGAGAAAAATTATGAGCTGATTGGGAAGGAATAAAAAAAAATTCATAAAGGCCGGAATGAAAATCACTTGACATTGAATTTGACGAAACCCTTTCTACGCATCGAGAAAAAAAATTCCCTGAACCGAAGAAATATATTTTTAGTGCAAGGAATAAGTTGTAAATAATTCCAAAAAAACGTCCCATAGAATTTATTCGATTTTCAGTCACTTAATTATTCACTGGATTAAAAAAATATTTCTTTCGTTCAATGAAATATTGATGACCCGTCATCAATAATTCATCGAAGCGAAATGAGTAATCAGTGAACGGTTGAAAATCAAAGGACCTGCGAAATCCCAGGGATATCTCTTGATAAGGAAACAAGGGAACGATTTTCAAGAAAAAAAAAAACAAGATCGCCTCGAAGAAAAATACACCAACGGTCGGGAGGGAAATTAATAAACATTGAAATTAACCCACTCTTCTCTTCGGCTGATTATGGTAATTTATGGAATCGTGGATCGAATAAATATCGAAGTCTCGCGATTAGTAATCAGTCTGTGACGCCCGCGAAGTGGAGTGCGTATCTCAATAACACACTTCGAAAATTTATAGGGATTTTTGCACGCAACGGGACGACTCTTCTTCATTTCTCCTGGAGAAACTTTCCAAGCCGTTCTTAGCCCGTTACACTGAGAAATAAATTCCATTGAACCAAAGAAATATTGTGTAAACTTAAAGAACAATTCTTTGACGCATGCTATTAAATGTACTTGGCGCGAGACTCTACAGACTATCTTGATCATTAGTTTTATTTAACCCGACATGAAAGTGCCGCCTGAGATCGTGAAACTTTCCTCCGAATTGTTAAAAAATTTACAATTTAACTGTGAAGGCTATAAGACAGATATTCCGACATCCAAGAGATTTTATTTTTTTTATGGAAAATTTTCAAAATGCCTATAAAAAATTTTTTCAAAAATTCATACTTCTTGGGTACCTTCCTTTTAGTCGTTGTATACACATTGTAATGTTTATACCGATTCGGTAAGCCAAGTTCGAAGGAAAGTTTCGCGAAACCTCTTTAATGCCACTTTCTTATCATATCACCTTAACGCCACCCTTAATAATTTTTATTTTCCTTCATTTCCGGCATTTTTATTTTCCTTCACTGAGCTTAGGATTAATCTAGAAGTGCTGATAACGAGCTGGAGGATGAAGTACCTGCTTCTGAACGAGGCATTCGGACTTTTCGGCGGCTGCACGATGATCGGTCTTCGATTCCACGGTGATAAGAGCTTTTGATCTTCGCCGCTATCCGGCGAAGGTGTCTGTCCATTCGAACACGAATTTCTGGGGATTTCTCCGTCCATTTCGACCCTATCGAGGGTTCACTGATAAGGCGAATTAGGAATGAGGAAACTCTGCGGAAAATTTGGATTTTTCTTGCGAGAAGTCAAGGAGAGCTTTTATGCGATTAGTCTACATAATTTATCGTCATTTACAAAGTTGGAGAGTCTCTTTAAAGAAGAGTTGAAAAAGAGTCGCCCCACATTCTGCATCACCGATTTCATGACTTCGATCAAACCCTATCGATCATCGATCACCAAATCACTGCCGATAGGCGATTTATCTAAATGGCGATCAGAAGTACTCGAGATCACTATCGACGCCCTTTTGACGCAATTGAATTAATCGATTCATAGTTTTGAAAATACTCGAAGAGGTGACGATATCGGAGATCGATCGACGATACAAAAATCTAGTGTCTAGAGGCAGTAATGTCATAAAAAAAAAAATTATCGATTGCCCTCTCACCGTTTCTCAGGGAAAAAATTGCCGTTAAAAATAATTATTGTTTGAATAAACTACACATCCCGAATGAAATGTAAAAATAAAGTGTCTAGAGGCAGTAATGTCATAAAAAAAAAAATCATCGATTGCCCTCTCACCGTTTCGGGGAAAAAATTGCCGTTAAAAATAATTATCAAGCACTCTCTCACTTACTTCCCGAATAAAATGTCCAGATGAAAATGGAGGGAACGCGCGGGTGGAATTTCGCCTTATCAAAAGACATCCTCTTAACGAAGGGTAAATCCGCCTCTCGACCGGTTTACACCGCAAGATTTAGCGACGAAACCGAGTCCTCCCGAGAAGGTGCACAGGATGGCCAGCTAAATATCTACTGACCACGGACAGTACGCAGGACGCTTTATATATTCCGCGATCAGCTGATCAGCTGCCTCCACTTATCGGTCACTAACAGTAGCGGTTTGCTCCGGCAATTTGCGAAAACCCGGAATGCAAATCTTGCGGCACGCCGCCAGAGGAATGGACGAAATACCGAGGACGACATCGGTAATAATTCCGCTGATCCGAGAAATGAAATGAAAAATTCATAATCGATTGTCCCCCAGATATGAAGACGCTGAGAGACGCTTGATAAAATAATTCGGTGATAAAGGGTTGAAAGGGGTCCTCCGAATAATAAACCGCGCACACGTGGCTCGTTTAATTCGCGCCAAGTTTGTCCGACTGACTGACTTACTGACTGACAGACTGACTGACTTCGGCAGTTCTTATCACGAAATTAGCGCCCCGCTCGGTAACTCCTTATCGGTGCAACTGTGAGCACGCGCTCGGAATTCTCGCGGAATTCCCTGACGGTCGCGAGAATTCTCCTCGAGATGGTTTTCCTTCCTATCTTATCCACATGAAATTGTTATTAATTGTTTCGGAACGTATCGAGTGATTTTTCATAATTTTCGTTACAAGACAATGGACTAATCAGGAGGATACAGTCTTGGCAGAGTTCCGCGCCAAGTACTAAAACTTATGCATGTATATGTCACGGTTACCCCATAAGCAATGCATAAGAACTGGTAAAAATGAGAATAAAATAAATCTCATTATTTGGGGACGCTATAAATAATTGTAGGTGAATAAATAATATAAACAGTCACTTAATGACTGCAGAGTTTCGCGACAAATAGGAATAGTTATTAATATATACAGTAATTAAAATTCTCCTTAAGCGACATTTCGCAGCGAAAGTCAATTTCTCGGCCCCACGTGTTTCCGTTCTCGACAAAAGTCAATTCGACCGAGACATGTCTTTATCTCGTGACATGATTTTCTTTCGAGCAATTGGCCCTTCCGGGTCCAATTATCATTTCGTATCTACCGGAAGCGATTAATAATGAAATAACCGGGAGGCAATAGCAAATCAGCCTGTTTTTTCTCGAAATTCAAATTTCGCGCCATTTATCGTATTCTTATCTAATTTCTACCGTCGAGGTGGAATTCATCGTTAATGAAATTCGTCTCGGTAACACAGGAAGCGGTTAAAGGTAACAATGGCAAAATAAACGCAACGAAAAGCGGCGTCGCGATTTGCATATGCAAATCGGAGGAGGGAAGAGCCCGCAATTATTCGACAAAGAAATGACCACTGCGAAATTCTACCTTGTCTAATGAACCAACCGGCTGTCGCGTCGTCCACGCTTTTGGAAATTCCGAAATCTTTGCGACGAGTCCGGCTTAAGGTCCCTCTCCATCGCCGATAGAAAAACCACGGAAGCTTTTTCGAAAATCCCGCCATCTTCCATCCTCAGAATCGGTCGCAAGTCGATTTCTTCTTCAAACTATCGATATTACTCGAGGAAACGTCAACATCTTCACTCGCGCAATTGTTATCAAATAATTCGTCAAAAAGGTGATATCAAGGCGAAAGTCTGTCTTTCAATTACAAAACACTGGGGAATTATTTAACACATTGCTGGTGCACTGAATGATTAATTTTATCTGATAATTTATTTAATTTGCGAATATCATTAAACGGGTCGACATGGCGGCACTAATTGGAGCACGTTAACGGCGCGGCATTACATATCTTTATTCCGCTTTATTGTTATCTTAGAGATAGGTGAGGTATTATAATCGGCGAGTAGTTCCGTTGATAAAGCTTGATTAACTTTTCGGGAAAGCTCGAAAAGCGATTCCGAATTAATATCGACGATCGACCCGGCCACTCTCGCGCCGAATCTCGCACTGGAAACGGACTTTACGACCGAGCAGTGTCGAGGTCGTATCAGCTCTGATAAACGCTCTTAATAAGACTAACGACTGGTTAAGTTAATAATAAATGTGCGAGATTACAGCGTTCTTCTCTCACCCTCCGATTCGGACCGGACGACTCGATTGCGGAGCATCCGCGCAGGAATTCTCTCCGCTCGGTATTTTTTTTTCCCCTCTTATCACCGAAGACGATTTCTCGAATTTCCGGAAAATTATAATAACGAAAATTACACTCGACGTTGATCGACGAAACTCCGGATTTTAATTCACCTGCCCAGGTGCGACGATACCGAAGAAGTGATAACAGTCCTCGCTTAAATTCTTCCCTAATCTCGTGCAATTTCAATTCAGTCCTCATTATCAGTTCCTTCGAGGTGTCCCTCGAGTACCTCTGCATTGTTGTACAAGACTTCAGAATAAACCTCGGTTATATCCTTTATTAATCTTGTACAATATGCGAAGGATCTCGTTCCGATAGTATTTATTATCAGCGTCTTCAAGGTGTTCCTCGACTCTCTCTCAAGATGCATTATTACTCCCCCGGAATTATAGAAAAATCATCCTTTCGTTCATTATTAATTTTATGTATTATTATTAATTTTTATATATAAACGATTAAGCACCTCCACGTTTGACTGATCCATCATCGTCTTCAAGGTGTTCCTCGACTCTTCCCAAGGTTTGTCGTTATTCTCCAAGACTCGAGGACAGATCCCATATGTACTCCATTTATTATTAATTTTTTATATATTAAACGAAGCGTCTCCACGTTTGACTAATCCATCATCGTCTTCGAGGTGTTCCTCGACTCTTTCCAAGGTACCTCGTCATTCTTTACAGGTAAACGACGGATCTCCTTTACGTTCGTCGTTAATCCAGGGTGTAGTAAAAGCGGGTCTCCGCGTTTCAACGATATCCATTATCAGCGTCTTCGTGGCGCTCTTCGTGGCAATAAAAAATTTCGCGCACCGACATCACCTGTTTGCACATTGCGTTACGCGAGTATGCTTACTCGCGCGTCACGCTATCAGCTGTCGACCGTGATAAATGCTCGTCGACGTTGCAAACAGTGTCATATGAGGTGCGTTTATTGTACATCCACGCCGGCTCGATTTTTATTCCGGCCAAAACGCTGCGGAATACGAAGATGGAAGGCGATACGGAAACACTCAATTAAACTTCCACTTTAATCGTTTGTACAGGAAATCCTCTCGTTAGCCCGAGAAACGCCCAAGTAAACCCCTCGATTACATACGACTTGTACAGAGTCAACGTGCTCCAATTTGAAGTCGCTCAAAATTGGGACTCATTATTTCTTCTTCATAATTTAGGTAATTAATGGCAGTTACATTGTTTAAATGAGATTGAAATTAATTCATGAAACGGGTATTGGGAATTTCATTCAGATTTGTAAACCGTTGTTAATTAAATACGTATGGACTTTACACGGCCTGGTTCGAATCGTTAAATGAAATTAGCAATTGTATAACAACGTGTAATGGAAAAGCATGAAATTTGCAATGAATTCTAAGCGTACCATAGTGCGATGATAATATTCCAATTTTCTCGCTAAATTTAATTAGCTCGAGACGAGGTAAAATTGCACTTTGGAGGCGTGCTTCAAATGTTGAGTTACTTTCCGTGTCGAAAGATCTTGCAAAGATATTTACTCAGCTTGACATCGACACTTGACGCTCGACACACTTTAACACCTAACAAGGGTAAGATCGGTCATAATGGTGCTAAGTACGATATTTTCAGGAGGTAAAAATTAAAAAAAAAAAAAGTGACCAAGCAAGCAACATCCAGTCTGGATGTTTAATGGACGGATAATGTCGAGTAATTGTCAACATCAAAGTCTAATATTGTCTATTCGTTCGTATTGTCTATACGTAAGTATGAAGGTCCTGAAAGAAGTCCCGACACCCATGAAATTTCATATTTTAAAAATTATTTATAAAAATTTAAAAAATGTGCGTTTTCCAAGTCTCAGGTTTAAACTCACCTGGTGGAATCCTGGCGACCAACGCCGCCAATGCTGCTGCTCTGGGTGCTGACCCTGACCAGGGTGACGTTCCTAGGTACGGAAGGTGTCCTGTGAGCCAAGAGAGGCGACTCGGGCCTCGGAGGATGATCCTCGTGGCCATGTCCTTGAACAGGACCCTGACCAGCCTCACTGTGGCGAACCTCTTCCTCCTCTTCCTCGATGGTCCCGGGTAGCCGGAAGAGTTTCTGCGGCTCTTCAGGGTTCTCCATCCCGGAAGTCCTGGTTCCTCTTCTCCTCCCTTAACTCAAAGGATCAGGATATCTAATCCTGGCAGGATCTCGCCGACAACGCGTCGCTCCGAGACGTCATCCGCATCGTATTCGAGAGGAGCGGAAACGGGTCCATCCTTTGGACGTCTGCCTCCAGGAGAGGATCTCAGGAAATTCGGTCCACTAGGTCAGGACTGGCAAGGATTCGAGAGGTTCTCCAGGAATTCCGCGTCTTCGTCCTCGAGGCCGCTTCGGGGATCGCTTTCTCGGACATCTCGCTTTCTCGCCGCACTCTCTGCTCCTTTCGGCCGAGCCTCGAATCTGGAAATAATTCATGATTAAAATCTGATTTCTCCGAGTATACGTTTTTCTCGAGCTTAAGGTGACATAAAAGTGGTATTAAAGAGTTCTCGTTCGTGACGCCTTTCTCCAAGCTTTACAGTACATACATGGGGGTTACAAGGAAGGTCTTGAAACTCAGGAAATTCCATTTTTTTTTTTACATTTCTTCCTAGGTATTTTTAAAATTAGTTATATAAAAAAAAAAGGAAATTTCATGAGCCTCGTCAGTTTTAAACGATCTGGTATATCGGAGAAAGAACAACCCCTCTATTCGCTCTCTCTTTAGGGAATTCCCGCGCTCCATGTATTTTAAACCTATGGGGCCTTCGAGGCGCGCGATTGGTCGTTTCCGTTGGAGCCGTTTCCGTTGGAGCCGCTCCGCCACTGGCTCCTCGCGCCAGGACGACCGGCTGCTCGCGCGTCCGATTCGCGACTGCGTTCCTGATTCGCGTGTACGAGATTGCACCTACGGATGCCATGGCGTGCACCTCTTATGGCGGGGATGGACTCACGTGAGTACGTGCACGCGTTCGCGTGAGTGTGCACACTTTCGCATCTATGCGCCGGAATCGGATACCCAGCTTCGTAAACGATTCTTCCTCCTCGAGTTAAGGGAATTTTTTCGGCAATTATCACGACCGAAGACGGAAATATTTCCCTAGCAACAATTTAAACGTTTTAAGGCGTTACGAAAGTGACGTTTCACTAGAGAAGCGACTCGACCCGATTTAAATCGAGTGGAGGCGAGTCGCACGCTGCGCGCGCATCCGGCCATCTTGCGCCGCCACTTTGCGTCGCTCGAGGACTCGCATCCGCACATAATTTACATAATTTCGTTAAATCGGCCCACCCAGAGTCGTCGATTCGCCTCTCGGATGACTTCCGAGTGCCCTGACGAGCCGTTTCCGGTCCGCGATCGCGTAATCTCGAGTTATTTCAGCCATCAGACGCCGCTTTGAATTCCCGCTCAGGGGCCGAGAGTTCCGCGCGAGAAATTCAAACGGTCCATTCCGCTGGGTCGGTCGCCGCGGTCCAGGGGAAAGAGCCAATGGGCTGCCGGGCCCGTTGCCATGGCGACGCGATGGACGCGTCGCGACTCAAATCCGAGGACCGCGCCGGCGGAAAGGCGCGAGCAGGACGTTTTTATCGCTTTTTTTCCCCGTTTCCTTTTTTTCTCCCCTCGAGTCGCGGAATGCGGGCGGCATTTTCATCGAAGGTCGTGCAAATCGGGAGTCGCGCTTTCGCAAGCGAGAGAACGGCCGAGTGCAGCTGGCAACTGAACTGTCATCGAGAAAAATGACGCTTACGGTACAGGGACGAGACGTCAGGTCGGAATTACGTGGCCACTGTCTTCTCTTGTCACGTGTACGTTCCTCTTCTTAGGCAAGATCGCGTTGAAAAGCCGACTGGAGCTGGTATGTCGCGGAAACGCTGCGGAAACTCAGCCGCGAGGCGAATCGTTATACCTCATGGCCTCCGATGCAGCGAATGCAGTTTCCGATCTGCCGCATCCTAGGACTGCGGAATCGCGGCGGAACTTATCCTGTCACATGCACGCGTCTCTTCTTAGACGTCAACGATGTATCCACCACACAGAAAATCCGTCTCGCGCGAGCCTACTCGCGGAAACGCAGCGGCGGACCGCTACAACTTGCGGGAATTTCTATTCCTTTTTTCCGAATCGACCGTGACTTGTGACTGCGGAATCGCGACGGAACCGCAACCGGACTTATATCACGGATACGTCACAAGTCTTACGCCGATGAGCCGATTCGAGCGACCAGGTTGCGGAAACGCTGCGGAAGGATTATAGCGAACGAAACGTAGTGCCGAGGCGGAGAGCCAGAAAACTCGCGGTCTCCCATTCAGCGAGTTCTCTGGTCGATCGATCGCGACTCTGTGCGTGCGGAATCACGACGGAACCGCGACAGGACCGCTGCGGGTCGGTCCCCGAAAGGAAGGCGGCCGGCGCGGCGAATGGATATATACGCGAGCGATGGGTGAGCGGGATCGTGAGTCGGCCGGTGACGTCAGCGGTCTTTCAGTCTTTCTCTCTTTCTCCGTTGCTTTCCCTCTGGGCGTCCTTTCCGCGCGGTCCCTCCCGGCGGCGCCAAGAGGGGGACGCAGGGGCCGTCGAGGTGCCTCCTCTACGAGGAGTCGTCCGGGGCCCGGAAGCGTGACTTTGACCGTATCTCGATTGCGGCGCGTGTCGCAATTCGCGGCAAGTCGATCCGGGCCCGACTCGGGTTCGCTCAAGCCGGAGAACAATGGCCGCTCCTCTTACGTTTCGCCGTTTCCGCTACCCGGGGACCGCGGAAACGGCCAAGGCCGATGGGGATCGGGTGGCCCTTTGACCAAGAAGGGGGATACGGAGGTGTCTGCAATGCCGGGTATCCATTTTAGGTATCCATGGTTCCACTTTAGGGAGCCGTGGTTCCACTTTAGAGATCCATGTTTCCACCTTAATGATCCACAGTTCCACTTTAGGGATCCACGGTTCCACTTTTGCCGATCCAGTGCCGGGAGCGCCTCTCCGGTGAATCTTTGCAATTAAATAATCGTCGTCTAGCGGATTTGCTAATCTTTATTGCGTTATACCTCTTTACGCTACTTCGTGGCCAAAGGGATGGTGGCGGGTTTCCAGTGTCGCGACGACTCGCCCCGCGAGCCGGAAGATGGCGTAACCCGCGCCTGCCCGAAGGCCAGATGGATGAGCGGAGGTTTAAGTGGAGGAGTTAGCTCACAGGCTAGACCGGGATGAGTTTAGTGGCGGGAAGTGCCCTCGTTATCACGCCAGTCAATCGTTTAATCTCGGCCTCGCCCCTCCACTCTCCTTTCTAACCCGAGCCGCCCTATGACACCACGCAAACCGCGTTAACCCTTTTGCTCCTGTCACTTACTAAAATCAGCTTTTACGACGCGGTCAGGGAGGAGAAAGATAATTTGCTTACAATTACTACAACATTTTTTCAAATATTCTCGTAATACCCTCATTAGTTATATCAGGGAAACAATCGAGTACTCACCTAGACCTCTTCCCGTAATGTCGCATTCTGACGTTGCGGAGGATGGCGATGGGCATGATGGGAATGGGCATGAGGATGGGCCCGATGGTCGTGCCTTTTCGGACTGACTTCCCGGCCGATAGGTGGAGGTGACATCGAAACCTCTTCGGGGTCCTGACTCTGGTTCGTCCCCTCTTTCTCATCCTGTTCCAGCACGGTGTCCGTCCTTTTGTGTTCCTCAGGCTTGAGTCTCTGGTTCTCCAACGTGCCGGTCCTCTGCAAACCTGGAGGAGCTGGAGAACGGCGAGTCCGGTCTGGAGAATCGGCGAACCTCGTGTGCCTAAAAGTTTCATAAGCGAGAGTTCCTTGACGCAACATTCCCATCGCCTTAAATAAATCTGGCTCCGTTTTTTCATACCTGGAGTCCAACGTCGACCTCGAAGGCGACCTCCCCATGGCGTGGCCTTGGCCATCCGGGGTTATCCTCGACGAGGACCTCTTCAGGCCCTCCAGGGTCGACCTGGAGTCGTTCCTCCTGGACTCCAAGGTAACCCTAGAACCTTCTCTGTGAAGCCTCCTCTCCTCCTTCCCTGGAATGTTCGGCTTCCGGTTCTTCCTGAAACTCGCGTTAATGTCCTCGAGGACCTTGTTGTAGTCCTCCTGGTTACTCGGATCTCCTACGGTGAAGCTCGTGACTGCGGCTTCCCCAGGCTCCGTCGTCTTCGGAACAAAGAAAGCATTGTCTCAAAGAAAGCAAAGTTTCGGGGAACAAGAGAACGCGACGAGGGGATATTCACGAGTGAATAATCCCTCGGGAAGCGAGAGGAGCTGAGAAAAGCGAAAAGCGGAATACCGAGGGTTGGTACCTCGTCCAGGGTGTAGAACGTGGCGAGCCTCTCGTCGGTCGGGGCATTTATGCTGCCACGTCTTGGAGAGTCATCGGGACCGGTAATCATCACGGGAATGGGCGTCGGTGGTATCGTCGATTGCATGTGCAATCCTCCCATGGAAGACGCGATGCTGGACCCCGAACTTCCGGTCATCGAGCTGCTGGAATCGTCGCGGAACGCCCGGAAAAGCGCCGAGCTCGTGCGATCTACAATCATGGGAAATATAATTATAACTTCACCTTAAGGCGATGTGAAAGTGGCGGCCAAGACGTTTATGAAACTTTTCTCCGGACAGGGTGTACCTGTTCTGATTGTATAACAAATTGCGACTACATGTATATTATACTTTTCACATAATTCCTTTTCACCTTTTATTCTGTGTTCGGCTCGAAACTCTGCCAGCTTCGCTGCCGAGCAAAGCGGCGTGTCGACCTCGTAAGTATTGTTGAAAAGAGTGTAATTGACTTCGTACTCGCCGGTTTCTTTACGAAACGTGATGATGTTCTCAAACCTATGACCCCAAAGGATTTCAGAAGGTAGATAAGAGCTCCTCGCCTGAGTTGTCATCCCGGTAGACTCGATCACTCCTAAAAAGTGACACCAAATCAACGAACTCGTTTATGAAGCTTTCCTCCGAACTGGATGTACCGGGGATTAATTCTAATTACGCGTTAAATAATCCTCGATTAAGGTTTTTAAATGTTGGCAGTGGGAGTGAAAGGAAGTGGACCTAAAACGAACCTTCCAGGATCACGACGATTTCGAACCTCTCGCGAAGCATGTCGCTGGCTGAGAGATGATAAAGTGGCGATTGTTCATCGATTTTGTGAACAATAGTGGTGGGCCAGATGAACAAAATCTTGTCCTCCTCCCCATCGCCGCCGACCTTAAGTTCGGTCTGGAAGAAGGGCAGCAGTTCTCCTTCCCTGGTCACCTGAAATCGTTTTCCGTTTACAAATCCTTATGATAAGTAAATTCGGTTTAGGTCTTAACCCTTTTATGGGGAGGATGATTATCTCCCACCTTCCTCTTGATCATCTGCGCCCTGACGTGAGCCTCGATGATGTGGCTCTTCCTCATGTCTCCCACCCGGAACATGAGACAAGGCTGTCCATCTCTCTGGCAGATCACGGCATTTCTGGAGAACAGGAGGGTCTGGGTCCTCTTCTTCGGCCTGGACAATTTGGCGAAGACGATGCCCACCATGAAGGCCTGAAGAATGACTCCGGTCATCGACTGGATGCACATGATGAAGATCGCCTCGGGACACTCCTCCGTCGTGTGCTTCGAGCCGTACCTGAAGAAAACATTAAAAAAGTCAGGAGTCTCTCTTGAACAAGTTCCTCTTCCTCAAGGAACAAACACAAAGCGACGTCTTTGAGGAACGAAACTTGTAAATCATTTCTCTGAATCTGCGCCCAAATTTACAAAAAAAGTTTCATAAGTATTCGGACCTTCTGGTACGTATATATGACACTTTCGTATCACCTTAAACCAGGAATAAAAAATAGAACCACTTACCCGATCGTGTGCTGCGTTTCCACGGAGAATAGGAAACACCCTGTGAACCCGTGGATGTCCCTGACACACGGGGTAAAAGTCACGTTTGGGTCGTTGAAGTTTTCAGGGTCAAGGTCTCCATGGCTGTACACGATAAGCCACCAGATAAAGGCAAAACCCAGCCAGGATAGGAGGAAGTTCATCGCGAAGACCAACAGGGTCCACCTCCACTGAGCGTCCACCAAAGTGGTGAAAATGTCCTGTCGAAGAAAAACAATTAGATGGTTCCATCAAGCCATGAGGTACTTCAAGAACGTCCAGGAGTACCTGCAAATATCGACGACGTCGCTTCGCGACATTTCCCTGCACGACGTTGCAGTCCCCATGCTTGAAGACGACCCTCTTCCTGACTCTCCTAGTGCTAAACCTTGTCTGCCGATATCTGCAAGGGAGATAAAAAATTCAAAGAGAATAATTCCACACTTCCAAAGTGCCGGGACAATTCTTAGGCGCTCGCGAGTCACGTGTCAAAGCATCATACAATAACGCACAATACCCTTCCTCATGAAATTTCAATTTTTTTTCAAAATTCGTTCATAATGTCATTCAAACGCCTTATAAGAAATGAAATCCCATGAGTGTCAGGACCTTCCTTATAGCCTTCGCGTTCACGCTGTAAAGATTGAAACGATTCGGTACACCCATTTCGGAGAAAAGCTTTCATAAACGAGACCTCTTTGCCGCCACTTTCACATCGCCTTAAGGTCGAACTTGTCACTCGTTACCGAATCGCATTGTTCTTTATCATACGAAATCAAAGGCAATCGGTTCTCAAAGAAGGAAATCGATGAAAACGACTTCCAAGTGAATAGCTCCTCGGGTTAAGTCCTGAGCACGTGGTACCGCGTTGGCCCACGTGGTCCGGCGACCCACGTGGGCTCTTCCTTTCCGCCCTTTAAATCTTGGCCCTTCGACCCTGGCGCCACTCGAGGCGAGTCCAAATATCGCGCATAAACGTAGAACTCGAGACATATCGAACGACAGGGTCGGGAACGACTGCCAAACGTTCTATTTGCGAACTCGCTCGCCCACGCGGCGCACCGGTTCCTTCTAGTTCAAAACGAGTCGATTCGCCCGAATTCGCGGGTTCTTCCTTCCTTCCCCTCCAAGTGGGCGGAAGACGTATCGTCGAAGGCCGCCCTCGATGGAGTGGCCTTGGACGGACCAGACGTCCATTTTTTCGTCTCCTTCCGGGTTCTCCGTTCGGGAGAAGGTCGCTTTCGAAGTCGGCCGAAGGCGAAATGGGCCGAAAAACATGCAAGGCGAGAGATTCCGCATCTATTAGCATTTATTAGCTCCTCTTCAACCCGAGAGTTTAGAACTCCCGGGTCTCTTTCCTGGACCCTCCACCCAGGTCCTTAAGGTGATACGAAAGGGCCATTCCATATATCGAAACGTCAAAATATTTATGAAACTCTTCTCCAATCTGGGTGCACCGAATCATTAGAAACGTCAGCACGTGATTATGGAAATTTCAATTTCTTAAAAGTTCCTTCATAATTGTTTAAAAAATTTTTTTTTTAAAAAAAGAAAAATTTCAAGTGCCTCAGGATCTTCTTTAAAGCCTTTGTATTCATCGTGTAAAAGTTTGAGACCCAGGTCGGGAAGAAATTTCACGTACGATTGACCCATCGGATGTCACTTTCATATCGCCTTAAAGAAGCATCCTCTGGAGGAGTGTCGGCGTCTCGACCGATTTCGACCCACGCGTTGGGTATTATTTCCCCGCATTAACGTAACATGCATTAACGACATAACGAGACGAGAAAGTGCATCGTCGTTACGAGCATTACGCCGGTCGAGCCAATGAGACTAATGGGAAGAATTCTTACGGATTATCAGAGAAATTGCCTCGTCCGGATTAAACGCTTATCACACTTCGCGGGGGAGGAATGGAGGAGTGCAACGTTCTCGGTAATATTTCTGGATTTTAAGTTTTCCAGAGTTCAACCCTTTCAGTGCCGGACAACGATGTATCGTCGTTTTACATGTGCGGACTACGACCGATACCGAAAGGGTTAAAAAAAAAACCCTCGTCTCGGTTCCGTACTTGAGGCACTCTTCGCGCCAGGCGGCTTCCCCGGAGAAGGCCGCCTTGGAGACGAGGACGGAGACCTGGGAGATCGCCCTGCGGAGGCCAGAGAAGGGGGTCAACTTGTCCCCCAGGTGCTCGGCAGGGATGCGCAGCTGAGTAGACCCCTCCTGCATGCTTCCTCGCCTTATCCGCCTTATCTGTCTCTGCTCGCCCGGGGCACCGGCATCGCGACCTGGGGGTCCCTCTTCGGGAAGATCCCCCTTTCCGAGTCCCGAGTCTTTCCCCGACTTAAATTTGCCGACCCGAGGGGTAACTCACTCGCGAAATCGACGCTGCAAATTCCTCGACACTAGGGACAAAACTCTTTAAGGCGATGCGAAAGTGGCCTCAAGGAGTCCCCGTTTATGAAACTCCTCCGACTAGGGTGTACCGAGTCGTTTGAAATTTTACAATGTGAATAAGCAGGCCAGAAGGAAGGTCCCGACCCTCATGGAATTCTTGAAACACATGTTAATGGGCATTTAAAAAATTCTCTATAAAAAATGAAATTTCACGGGGGTCAGGACTTCTCTAATAGCCTCGGTAGTTAAGCTGTAAAGTTCGAAAGGATTCCATAGATTAAATTCGGAGGAAAGTTTCAGGAACGATTGACCCCTCGGATGCCCTTTCGCATCCCCTTAAAGATCATTCGAAATCATCGAAAGATCGCCCGCTACGTAGGAAGTCGCAAGTGGTGCGTTGGCATCATCGGGCATTGCTGTAAATCGCGTTTAATTCGTCACCGAGACTTTACCGGTGAACGTCACTCCCCGCGAGTTGCATTTCCGATCATCGTGGAAAACGATTAGCGATCAATTTCGAAGGTCATCGATTATTCGGATCCCTTTGGCGGGTCCGACCTTAGCTCTCGGAGCGGTCGCGAGACTCCGGGGTCAGAGAGTTCGTGGGGGGCGACCCAGACGTCTCTTCCGGTCCACAGCCACGGGAACACCCGGGCGAGTCGGTCGCACCGCATCCGGAACCCGCGGGGCCGCGACTCCCGGCGACCGCGAACGATCGTCCCCGGCGACTGGCCGCAGCTCGCGTCCACGTCGGCCAAAAATAGTTGGCGCCTCTCCCCTGACCCCTGCCGCCCGAATTCCTCCAAGAGAGTTCCTCCCTAAATACCGGCAAGGGCGGCTCCCACTTTGGTCTTCCCTCTCTGCCACTTTCCACCACTTATATCCAAACATTTCGACCATCTTCGCGGTTCTTTTCCGTTTCCTTTGCCGCCAATGAATCGGCGGCCACCCATCCCAAGTGTAGGCCAGGGCGACCGTCGCTTAACTTCGGGGGTAGAGGGTGGACGGGTGCTTTGCAACGTGGGTTAAGGGGATCTGAAAGTGGCATCCGAGAGGTCATTCGTTCGTGAGACTTTTCTCCGGAGAAGGTGTACCGACTAGTTTCTTGACAACGTGCACGTGGAGACTACAAGGAAGGTCCTGACGCCCATGAATTTCCATTGTTTTTTACACTTCTTCATACACGTTGTACAACTTTTATAAATAAACGTGATATTTCATGGGTGCCAGGACCTTCCTTAGAATGATCGTAGCGATCATCGAGCAGGGTCATTATGATAATTTCCAGCGTGTGAACGTTCGCGACGACTAAGGTCACTCTCGGATGTCATGGTGAATGATAGTTATCCTGCAACTTACGTAACGGCAATCACCCTGGACTGCGCTCGAGCGCGCTCTACCTGGATATACATCTCCACGTGTATGTTGTAATTACTATAAATTGTAATTACCGTACCTGGTCAGGAGAGGTCCAGACTCTCCCTTGGAGCCTAAAGATGCGCGTCCCGAGGGAGGCCTTCCTTTTTCCGAAGCGAATCCCTGCTGGACCCAGGACGCGCCCCCAGGGCCGACCGGAACTTCCATCAGGATCTCTGCTCTTCCGCAAGGACCTTCTTCTTGGAGAAGACCTCTCCCTCTCTCTTCTCGAGATTACAAGAGATCTCGCTGTACGCTTCTTTCCTCTCTTCTCTCATCCCGAGCACTTTCGCGCGGTCGCGCTTTTTTTACGTGTCTCTTCATCGTCTTCTTCGGCCACGCACGGTAACACCGCGCACATTCGAGTTTACTTTTTTCTTATATCTTAAATCCCTTAATTCCCGCGCAACTTTTACCCGGTTACGCCTTCGCTGATCTCTTCAACGTCCTCTTCGAGTACACGAGTTAACAGTACAACATGTGATCTTTGAATTTCAAACCACACACCGAGGTACTTTCCCAGCGAAGCGTGGTAACTCTTAACCGTGCGATTCGTCCGCGATCGCTCGCCCATTTCGCCGACGCAACACGGCATGTCCTTATCACGCTCTCCACTCGTTATCTCCGCCGATACCTCGCGTCTCTGCGAGCGAAAGAGAGAGAGAGAAAAAAAGATGCGCTCAATATCGGCCCCCTTGATTGCCGCTATCGTCTCCGTTCATTGAATTATCGCAGAATTATTAGCGCTGAAACCCCAGATTTACGCTCGCTGGAATCAACCTCGATCCGGGTTTGCATTCCACGTGTGCATTGACCAAGTCTATGTATCGTGGGCGGAATCAGGAATTCCAGGTGAATCGTCTTATCAGCCTTGCAAAGCCCTTTCCAAACGTCGCGACAGGAGCTCCTGCATTGTTTTCCTAAATACTGTCCTCCTCAATGCAGTTTTCCGCACGCTGGTCCACTTTTCTGGGTCCGATTCTTCCGAAATTTCGAACTGCTCCATGGAATCACAAAATGGGGTTATTCACTCAGGAAGTCATGGATTTTAATGCTAGAAATATTGTCACTTATTACCGAGTCGCATTGTTTGTCATATAAAATTCGTCCATCGTTCCTCCTCCTCAAAGAAGGAAATCCTTATCACGGATATCCGAACGAGTAGTCCCTCGTTGGAAACGTTTCCGTTTCTTGAACATGGCGGGATGGAATATCCGATTTCTAAAATATCTTATTTGTAGCCTTGGCCGAGTTCACTTAATACTTTGGTCGTTTTCCGGATTGCGTTTTAGGCTTTCCAAGGGAATGCTTGCGATAGCTCGTCCTCTTCGATTGCTCATCGTGCAGGTGGAAGGTAATTCCGAAGAATTTCTTTCCCTTTTCCCTGAACCCTCTTCCCGATGCACTTCCGGCTGACGATGCACTGGACGATTCCCCTTTAAAATCTAAGCTTTAATGAGAGAAGCCCGCGGAAACGCACGTTTTTAAGCCGTTTTAATCGGTGCGAGACCGCGCACCACCTTCCGCAGTTGTCAACGAGCGAGAGGCCACTTCTGAGATTGCGGGTGCCGGCATACGCAAAAATAATCTCGCTAGCACACATAACCTCACTCCCGCTTTCGTGACGTCACGAGACGCCGTAACCATCGTGGCACGCGTGGTATGGCGTGGCGTGACGTAGCGCGAAGTGCCGTGGAATGGTGTCGCGCGACATGGCGTGAAGTGACCTCGTGTCACCTCTCTAAAAAGCGAATTATATCGCAGACTAATAAACGCATTAACGCGATACGATTCCGTTATCTTGAAATCTCGAAACATCTAAAATTACAGTAGTGCATGTCGCGTGTTAAAAAAGGGGAGCGTAGAGATCCCTGACTAAAAAACATGATTTGAAAACATCCGCATCTATAATCTATGCATACATGTTGCATAACCTATGAATACAATGGCATCAGGCAACAGTGGATAATCCTACATTTATACAATATGTACACACATACGTACAAGTTAAATGATACATGGGTATATCCTCGCAAGTCGTATGTTCACTTTATAAGATTACGAGCTCTCAGCTCCATCGACAAGAATGCTCTCATGTTGGGGTCCTGTACCTTTTCCATTATGATCGCTTGCACGTCCTTGTCGCTCGATTTCAGGACTTCGCTTAGATTTTGGGCGTACTGGATCCATACGCAATTGACGCAGCCCGACATGCAACACGTAGTCGGCTCGACGAGGTCTTCGAGGTTGATTGGAGTAGCAGGATTAACTTCGGAGTCCTTTGAAACGGTTTGAATCTCGCGACCGTTAGCGTCCTGCGCGTCCGGCTCGCCGCCACGGCTGTGGACCAATGAGGTTTGAGCTTCTCCAAGATGGCGGCTGTGGACCAATGAGGTGCGAGCTCCCCCAAGATGGCGGCCCGTGCGCGCGTGGAGGAGCGACCGTAGGCGCGTCAAATCCCTCGTGGCTCGCATCGAGATCTGTCAATGTCAAATTTGACATGTAATTCGCATAGCTGTCACCTTTGACCGCGATCGATGGAACACGCGGAAGGGATGATAATTTCCGCTTTCGCTTTCGAAACTTCGATTATCGACATTTTTCGTTTATTGGATACGTGGCGGTTACCTTAGATGGAGTTCGCACACCTGCGAGCTCGAAGATCGGTTGTTTTATGAATTAATAATCCGAGTTAATACTCGTCTATGTTTATGATCGTTCTGAAAGGAAGTAATTGCGGTACTGCGTCAAAATTGTCAACTTCGACACGAGATAACCTATTTTGGTCTATCAACAGTGCTGCCAACTTTTAGGTTAAAGTTGGTGGTCCGTTCTAATTTGGCGCGAAAATGGTGCGATGCGTCTAATAGCAGACGACATTTCCGTTCACGGGCACAACGGGACAAAGACGAGCCCACGTGTTGTTGCACCGGCAGATCAAATGCATTTGATCTGTTCGATTTGTTGTTTCATTTAAGTATACGTGTTTTTGTTTGTTTATTGTAAAAAATTTTATCAAGCATGGGAAAAAGAATTCCGAAAAAGAAGCACCGTGGTGTAAGAGATGTAGAGAAGCAACGTGCGAAACGATTCGCAGAGTAAGTTTCGTAGAACGTTAAGTCTTTATTCCATTGTTACATGAAATTGTGAATATTAAAGATAGGTAAAGTAAATATGAAGTGTCGGAGATATAAGGCAATGTTGTATTTGTTTCACTTCTAATTTTTTTTATTTTGGGTCCTCTTATGAGCTCGGTATCAGTATTGTCTTTGTTCTAGCATTGCAACAAAGACCAATGACCCACCGAAAGACGTTGATGGGCAGGATATACCAGAAAGTCTTAAAAGAGTGATTAAGCTTAAAGATGACACAAAGGCAGGGAAAATAAAGAGAGAGATTAAAAAAAAGAAGAAGAAAGGTGGGAATAGACTGATCGCTATAGACGGATCGAGTTCACACAAGCCACATCCAAAAGGCAGGCCTGACAAGGTCGTTCCAAAATTCATACAAAAGGTTGGAGAAAGCAATGAATCGTTCATGCATCGAGTGTCTCGAGAGACTCATGCGTTCGTTAATGAAACTGCCTTTGAGAAAAAGTATAACGTAGAAGTGGAGCGTGACCCAGGGAGTGGCACGGTTGTGGGCGTGAAGAAATGCCCAAAAGACGAGCTCGAGGAATTGGCCAAATTAAAGATGAAGCATAAGAATATTGGGAAGAAGAAGAAGAAAAAGGGAAACTCAGAAGACTCTGTGAAATTGACCAAGGCTCAGAAGAAAAAGAAGAAAGAAGAGGAAAAAAAGATAAAAAAGTTGCAGCAGAAGGAAGATGACAAGGAAAGAGTAACCGAGAAGGTTAAGTTTGGAGAAGTGGTCCATGCTCCACCGAATTTGACGGTACGACCTAAAAAGGCGAAGGACAAGACCACTAACAAGGTAAAGGAAATATTATATTTCCATAAACTATTTAAACTGTTCAATTTTAATAATAAAAATGATTTCATTTGTATTTGCAGCCAGGCAAAAAGGATTTGTTATTAAATGCTTTAGTCCAAACTAAGGCAGTTTCTCCAAAGCATCGTCAAGTTGACAAAAAGGGTAAACTTAAGAATTTGTCAGCCGGTGAAAGACGACAATTAGAGAAAGAGCGGAGCGATGCCATTGCTGCATATAAGAGACTGAAGGCGCAAAAATTATCTGTTATTTAATATTTTAAGAAAGTACAGCAGATGCAGATGAAAGAGTACAAATAGATAAAAGTTTTTATACCAAGCTGTGAATGCGTCAAGATTGTATTTAATATAACAGTTAATAAATCTGAGGATTAGAACAAATTTATATTTAATTTACTATGTTTACACAATCCAGTGTCCAACTGAACTTGGTTTTGTTCAAACAACTATTATATTCAAATTAAAATAACTGACAGAAGTAAACAAAAAATTAACTAAAGGCATATTCATTTGAATGGTCTTAAATAGATGTATGCACATATTTTGTCTCACAGTGACAAATAGATATTTTACAAGTCCAAGTTGTAGCCGACACATCTGACATGTGATATTCCTATCATTAGCTAATTTCATCCGGTCGTCCAAACAAAAGGTTCCAGCCTATCCTCTACTGGTAACAGATTGTTTAGCATTTCTAGGCTTTCTAAAGTCTGATTAAGTTGTTTGTGACACTTACTAAGTTGTCTACCAAGCTCGTGAACCTTGTTAAGCTGCTCGGAAAACCTGGCAACCCGTTTCAGTCGATCGTTTGCTAGGCTCAGGAGTTTGTTTACTTCGGCATCAACATTGGTGCACAAGGTAGACTGTTCACTTGCCACCATTTGTGCATTCGTATTTAGGTGATGTTGATAACGAGCGCAAAGATTAAATAACCCAATTGGATCGAGCCTTTCTAAGACTTCCGGGTCTCGGACTCCTGGTGGTAGATTTAACGTTCCCCTCATAATTGGGAGGAACATCGGTATACTCTGCAACTTCATTAAATCTGGATCCCTGTCGGCTGTAGGATCCAAAACAGCAGGTTTTACAACGACAATATTATGCACTGGCTTTTCAGGCTTACGATGACCCAGGCTTGCTTTACGTCTCGATATCTCCTGCGCTCCTAAGCTCTTTCCACGCTGCAACTGCGACGGTTTGTTCATCTTTGGAGAATCTCCAATCGGTCGATTCACCGTGTAAGAGATATAAGGCAAATCCGAGTCTGAACAAATACTCGGTCCTGGGCTGGTGCATCGTGGTGGAGTATCTTCTTGAACCGACTCACGGCTGGGAACACTTTTACCCCGACGTAGTTGCATCGCTCTGGATCTAGCATCGGAACTCTGAACTCCACCTTGAGAACTTTGCTCAGACCCCATTCTTCCAATTTTTTATAGCTCCGATACAGTTTGCATAGCTTCAAATGGGCTATAGCACGCAATAGAAAATAAATGTTACGGTCCCCTCAAAACTCCAGAATTTTAGTATTTACCTTTGAGAAATACTTACAGAATCTTAAGTGTGACAGTAACTAAAAACGTTCAGGTACAGAGTAATCGTCTTCCCGAAAATCATTTCAACTTTCATCAATACGACAATTGACAAATACTTTATGAGGTTAGAAGTATATTTTCAGGGTATTATATCTAAGTTTTAATAACGATATAGTGATTGTTTTACAAGCAATTCAGCAATTAAACGTGCAGCTCGATACAGCCGGGCTGAGCAGGGACGAGCTCAGCTGTCAAAGATAGTCAAAAACAAGAGTTTTAAAGATTGACTTTTGCATTTGGTTTTCTAACCTTCGTGTTCCAGCACCATCTGTACACTGGACTCCATCGATGGCTTGCACCTGGTTCGCACTGCCCTCTCCGGCCGCGCAGAGTACTAGCGGCGGGAGCAGCGCGGAATTCGAATCGCTCGAGGGGCAGAAAGGATTTCCTAAAGAAAATAAATATTTATAAACAAAAACAATTAATGAAAATTATTTTAGTATTACTGTGGAGCGTCCCTGACCCACCTAACGTAGTTTTCGTAAAATAATAATTTACAGAATTTTATAAAGAATATAATAGAACATGTTCTATTAAATGTTAACAAGTTTCTTAGTGATTCAATTGTTCCATTCACTGAACCGAAGTTAGAATATTATCTTAGCTTAAAAGAAATAGTTTCTAAATATATATACAGTGAAATACCGTCGGAAAATTTACGACGCATCAA